GGTGTAGTGAGGTTAGCTTAGCTTCGTTTTTGCTTATGTGTTTACGTGTTTACGTATTTACGTGTTATACTCTTACTAAGAGGTAGGTTAGGGAGGTATGTATGGACGAGATGCGAGCCTATCAATCAACTCTCCCGCCAGCAGGATCGTCCGCCACATCGGCCCAGGTACGGCGCGCTCGTTCGGATTTCGCGCCCCGCCACCCTGTCAGCTTACACCGCATACCGCATACCGCATACCGCTACACGTAGTGTATGTAGATGAGATGCCGACAAGCGCAAACGTTGCCGTGTGGGAGATCCCGCGTCGTGTCATGTTTATACATATGTGAGATCCGTAAAGGGGGGGAATTGATATATGACATGGCTCATGTTCCTCGGGGGAGACGAGAATGTACCGAACGTAGATCCCTTGCGGAATTCGGCCTACGAGTACCGATTTCATGTACCATACATACATCCAGTTAGCCAAACAAAATCTCCATCCCTTCCAGCCCGTTGCTGCGGGAGGGGCCGCATTAACCCCACGTCATTTACATTCGTGTAACGACCCCGTACTATGCATGCGTATATATATATATATATATATATATATATGTGTGCACGTATATACTATATATTATATTATATGTAGGTCATATGCTGGTCTCTATCTGGTGGCCTTGCCTACACCGACCTACCGTACGTATATGTAAGGAGCCGGGAGGGCACCGACGAAAACCACATTCATATTAATAGCAAGTTGGGAGACACGCGCAGTGTTCCCCCGTGCCTCACAAGAGGACAAGAATAAAACAAAAAGATCATCCTACTTCGAATCCTTCAGTTTGGTACCCGATGGTCCCGGGCAGGCAGGCAGGCAAGCAAGCAGGCAAGGGATGGGACGGGGTTGGCTTGGCTCCCGCACAGTTGCACTTTCGACGGCTACGCACATACGCGGCATCGTATATCTACATCTGAGTAGGAGAGGCGCCAAACATCTCGTATTCTACAGAATGCCCAAACGCACTCTTAGCTTAGGAAGGAAGGGATCTAAAAGCGTGGACACTTGAGACAAGTGTGCTGATGCGGGTTTTCGAGGGGATTCGATGAGGAAAGCGTTCGTCGGCCCATAAAACACATGAGCAGCAACAATAATGATGTGGAATCGTGAACTTTGAATTTACCTAGGTAGATATGAACCTAATGAGACTCATTGGCTAGTCTTTTTACCCCTATCCGTTCCATTGCAGGGACGGACCCTGATGAGCAGAACCCTAATGATCCCGAAAGACACGACAATTGGGCAAAGTCCTCATTCAGGGGTGGAAGCGGTCAAGTTTCCAGAACCCTTTTTTTCTTTCTTCAAAGCCCGTTCACCGCCTTGAACTTTGCTGGTTCGCTATCTATGGTCTATCATAGGTAATAAACCCGCAGATCGTATCGTGTGTCATTGCCATCCCTACCTTTGAACAGCGCGTAAATTCAGCTCGTCGGGTGTGTTCGTTACATCCGGAAGACCCCAAATCTGGTATCACCGGGCTGGACATCGTTCCGACCCGACAGTGCGGCTCTCAACCCCAATCCAAGGTAGCGCCGCGTGTGTTGCGGCGGAATAACACCATCGTCCTGTGTAGTAAAATCGTGTTAGTAGGTAGATACGTAAGCGATGACGATATAGGCAGTTTATAGGATTGGCGCGTGACCCTCCACGGATCCCACGATTACTTACCCATAACCTCGCCGAGGAATACACAGCATCGCTCTCACGCTCGATCCGGTCCCTCAGCTCCGGATCTGACTTCTGGCCCACCGTCTCCATGACGTTGGCAAGCTGCTCTCCACCCATAACCCCAATTCGTGCGTTAGGCCACATCCACAAGAATCGCGGACTGTATGCCCGCCCGCACATGCCGTAGTTTCCAGCGCCGTAGCTCCCTCCCACGACGACCGTAAACTTGGGGACATCAGCGCACGCGACCGCCGTCACTAGCTTAGCGCCGTGCTTAGCGATTCCGTCTCGTTCCGCCTGCGCGCCGACCATGAACCCGCTGATGTTCTGCAAGAAGACTAGCGGAATACCGCGTTGCGCACATAACTCGATGAAGTGGGCGCCCTTTTGCGCCGATGTCCCGAATAAGATTCCGTTGTTGGCCACGATGCCGACGCGGTGTCCGTAGATGCTCGCGAAGCCCGTGACTAAGGTGGTACCGTAGTCGCGCTTGAACTCGGCAAAGTGCGAGCCGTCGACGATTCGCGCGATAACTTCGTGAATGGGTAACGGTTTCCGTAGGTTCGTCGACGCTATGCCGAGGAGTTCTGAGGCTGGGTATAGGGGTTCGGAATAGCTTGTTTGAGGCGGGGCTGCCTTATGCGGCCAGTTTAGGTTGCTGATACATCTCCTAGCGAGCACAATGGCATGTGCGTCGTCTACAGCTAGATAGTCCGACACGCCGGATACAGAGGTGTGCATAGCGCCACCGCCAAGTTCTTCGGCTGATACTTCTTCGCCCGTAGCGGCCTTGACGAGAGGCGGTCCGGCTAGAAAGATGTGACCTTGTCCCTCTACGATGATGTTCTCGTCACTCATAGCAGGGACGTAGGCACCACCTGCTGTACATAAACCCATAACCACGGAGACCTGGGGAATTCCTTGAGAGCTCATCCTCGCCTGGTTGTAGAATATACGACCAAAATGGTCCCTATCTGGGAAGACATCTGACTGGTGAGGCAGGTTTGCACCGCCAGAATCCACCAAATATATGCAACTATTTCACTGTTAGACTAAATAAACTAGACCTTACCAAATTATCTAAGCCATTAATAAAAGCTTCACTCACGGTAATTTATTCTCCTGGGCTACGGCCTGGGCTCTTAGATGCTTCTTCACAGTAATGGGGTAATAAGTACCGCCCTTTACCGTGCTGTCGTTCGCAACGATCACACACGTTACGCCCTCTACGACACCAATCCCAGTAATGATACCTCCCGCAGGTACGTCTGCCTCTGGGTAGAGCTCGTGACCAGCCAGGGGCGACAATTCCATGAACGTCGTCCCAGGATCTACCAACGCCGTAACTCGATCCCGCGGTAACATTTTCTTCCTCGCTATGTGCTTGTCCCTTGCTTTCGCGGAGCCGCCCTGCTGTGCCGAGCGCGTTAGCTGCTCTAGACGGGCCATAGCTTCATTCATAAGCCGCTCATTCTCCTTGAACTCGTCCGAGCTTGAGTCTACATTGCTCTGTATTACGGAGATAGCATTCGCTTGATAAGGGGCCGTATAAGATGCGATTGCTCGAGCGGACAGACGGACATGAGGAGCACGGCGGGGGTATCGTGTACATTGTCGGGTCAATTGGCGTGAGAAGCCTAGGAGATCCCTCGAACATCTTGGTATAGACATCTTGGCGCGACGGTGTACGTCTTGCTACATACTGCTGCGAAAGGTCGTTATGTAGAAAGGAAACTACATAGATAAGTTAACGAGGAATGTTGAAAGACGGGGGAGCTGAGGGAAAGCTGAGGGAGCTGACGTCGGGAAACGAGGGAAGCTTTGAGGCGGATACCGCTTATAGCCGCTATGCCGAGGTTTACCGTCACCCGTTTACATCTTGGGGGAAGGAATAAGCCGAGGGTTATCAGCAATCTGTAGTACTTTCCTCCTTTCTATATCTTAAAAACTTACTTTCTATATAAACAATTGATTATTTATATAAAGGATGAAGGCATTCAGAGCTCTACGTCGCCCAGCGCGGCATCCTTTAACACCGACAACCAAATCCCCCCTCCCATTAGCCCTATCGCCATCACAACTCCGGCGGTATGCATCCTCAAAGCATCCACAGGGCTTCACGGCACCCACCACAGCCGACCTAGCCGAGCTCCGCGAACGGGTGCAGGAGTTCACGCGACGCGAGATCACGGAGGAGGTCGCCGCGCGCACGGACAAGAGCAATGCCTTTCCGGCGGATATGTGGCCGAAGCTAGGCGAGGCCGGGTTCCTAGGGATGACGGCAGATGAGGACGTCGGTGGTCTAGCCTTGGGGTACCAAGCCCATTGTATCGTTATGGAGGAGATCTCCCGCGCCAGCGGCAGCATCGGGCTCAGCTACGCCGCCCACTCCCAGCTCTGCGTCAACCAACTGCAGCTCAACGGGTCACCCGACCAGAAGACCCGGTACCTGCCGGACCTGATCGCGGGGACGAAGGTCGGTGCTCTGGCTATGTCGGAGTCGGGTGCGGGCAGCGATGTCGTTAGCATGCGAACTTCGGCCAAGAAAGTCGATGGAGGATTCCTGCTCAACGGGACTAAGATGTGGATCACGAACGGCCCGGACGCCGACGTTGTGGTTGTGTATGCCAAGACTGAGCCCGACAAGGGATCTAAGGGTATCACGGCCTTCATTGTGGAAACTAGCTCCGACGGGTTCAGCTGTGCGCGGAAGCTCGACAAGATGGGCATGCGGGGGAGCAACACAGGAGAGCTAGTATTCGACAACGTATTTGTGCCGGAGGAGAACGTACTAGGCCGAATCAACGAAGGGGTGCGTGTTCTGATGGAGGGGTTAGACCTCGAGCGCCTTGTGCTTAGCGCGGGACCTCTGGGAATCATGCAAGCAGCTCTTGACGTCGCGCTGCCATTCACACACCAGCGGAAGCAGTTCGGCGCACCGATCGCGCACAATCAGTTTGTCCAGGGCAAACTAGCCGACATGTATACGAAGCTACAGGCGTCGAAAGCATACACCTATGCCACCGCTAAGGCCGTCGACGAGGAGGGGGAGATCAGAACTCAGGACTGCGCGGGCGCCATCCTGTACGCGGCCGAGCGGGCTACTGAATCTTCGCTGGATTGCATACAATTACTCGGAGGTATGGGCTACGTGGAAGAGATGCCGGCGTCAAGATTATTAAGAGAGTAAGTTCAACACATATCTACGTCGTTCTCGTCATATCACTAATCACTCTACTAGTGCCAAGTTATACGAGATAGGAGCGGGAACATCAGAGATACGCCGCATGGTTATCGGCAGGGCGTTCAATAAGGAATATGCTCGTCTTGGAGCATAACATAGTTAATATAGGAGATGCAATTCAGGTACGCTCGGCGTGTTGTAGACTCCCTATTCTACTCGTTGCGCCCGGATTAGGAAATGCAAACGGTTACCCGCCGCCTCCCCATCGTCGCTATAAGGGTTTTCGCGTTTCAGAATGAACTCGACTACAGAGAGTCCACGTGCATTCAATACGCCCCTGTCCACGAATTTCCTTGCTCTAGCTATCTCGCCATACATCTCCCAGCAATTTCCTCGATGCGTTGAAGGATTAGACGGATCTAACATACCCTGGAGCATTATACCGGCCTGTGAATGAGACGGCCGAGATAGGTCAAATAACGAAGACTCACTTGAGCCAACGCCGAAGTGTATGTATTCGTTATTCCAGACGAGTAAAATATTGAATCGCTGTGATCCATATTCAGATTCCACGGCGAAATTTACAAAGTAAGGGCATTCTAGTGATTGCCGGAATCCAAATCCAAACGTGATACAGCCATAAATTGGAGACCACGTTATCTCTCCTGTTGGAAATACCGCAATTGGTGTGGCTGAGTCTAAAGGTTTCTGTAATCCAGAAAAGTATACCGTCTTAATTTGGAATCGAAAGGAAGGATCGTATGCTGATGCTATGAATAATGGTGCAATACCTATCGCAATGGGGATGTTTTGTAGATGAACACCCCCGGAACCGAAACGATTCTGTTCCCAGGAAAGGAGTGTTTTGTTGATATATATCTGATCCGTGACGTTCTGTCCATTGAGTCCCCGTAAACTGCATCGTCCAAGTGTTGGTGTTGCCAATCTGGCGTATCTATTAATCGACCGGGAATGGCGCTGTGTAATTTGTGGTGTTCTGATTAGCACTGTCGACACCTGGCCTACAGAAGTATTGGACTCCCAATAGCCAGCATTGATCCTGCCATCGTAGACAGCAGCGTTCCTAAAATATAAATGAGAATGTTCGTTGTAGTGTCGATTTGTGAGTTCAAGGTGAATCTGAAGTCCTCTGTTGGTCATTGCGGATGGAGAACCTGTGTCGTAAAGATTCCCAGCGATATTTCCGGAATCTGCGAAATCATTAGGGGATTTTGCGAGCACGCTTTCTAGCGACCATGCTCTAGGGCTAAATCTTGGAACGGTCCAGCACAAGAGCGAGTGATCATCCGTATCCTTAAGGATCTCTTCCTGTAGCCTGACGAAAGCCTTAGGGCCTTCGCCGTAGAGGAGCGGCATATTAATCTCGAAAATTCCCAGCAGAGAATACGCTATGTCTTCAATGCGAGTGCTCAACCTGTGAGCCGCCCAAGACATTTTTTGGGCGACGCTATAATGTGATAAGGAGGACTTGGGTGTGGATATAAGAGACTCCGGAATCCCCGTGACGTGCGTGAGGGCATCTCGAATCCATTGTTCAGATGGCCTGCCTATCTCCGCCCACCCACGACCGTAGAAGATAATATTCGACGGCGCAATTAGCTCCTGCAACGTCCAGGCTCTAGTAAACCATCTGGAGGCAAGTGGTCCATCACCATCTTGATTCGGAAGGGAGGTATATGGAAACTAAAGGTGTAAGTATCGGCCGAGTTATTAGACTTCGTTGGTTCATACATTATCTTCCACATCTATAAGATAAGCGTAGCACACGGCGGACTCTTCGTACCATTGATACATTGAATTGATAGCTTCGCTGAGTTCAGCACTGCTTGTCTTATCGATGCAGCATGTGTCGACCCAAGCCCATTTACAGCCGTGTTGCTTCGCCTGCTCGCAAGTGAGAGCAACTTTCTCGTAGCCCCGTTTGGAGGGGCCGGTCCCTGCCTGCAAATCCTGCAAGCTCACCTCCTCTTCGGCCCAGGTGTGTGAAAGAATAGCATATCGGTACTTTGGGATATTGCTGCCCATAAACTCGTGCAGCTCGAGCGTATCAACGTCTAGTAAACGCATTGCGACAATGTAGCGCAGTTGTAGGATACACGGAGGTAAGCGAAATGGCGAGAGCCTTACCCGCCATGTTGGTGGCCACTAAATCGAGGATTTGTATGATTTGACGAATCACCTGCATTGCATGATGGCGTACCAGCCACTACTACCTATCACTAGAAGGCATCGTGTAAATCGGAATGCCGGTCATGCAGGCAGGTTGGAGCAACACTCATAAGACTGCCTACTCAGACCTACTATAGATGTATATTGCGGGGATTCATATTAAAAGAAGTTGGGCATTAGAAGCTGACCTGAGACGTTCACGTAGGTCTTGTTCCATTGAGTTGTCAGACGTATTGTTGCTGACGATGTCTTACCTAGGTATGTACCAAGACAAGGTCCAACAATCCCGAATAAGCTTGACAGCCAATAAATGGACAAACTATTGGCAAAAAACGTGAACGATGTCTCAATAACTGCCCACTCTAAAACAGCGGCTGAGAGTAGGACTTCGAGGATGGACTTTGAGGATGGAGGATTAGAAATAGTGGCGCAACTTTGAATTGCAGCTTGTGTTAGAGTAGGAGAATTATCATGTGATTTTAAGGTACTAATGACACCATATATGCATAATATTTGTTCTAATAATCGATCTATCGAGGTATGCGTATAAAATTAGATTCCACCTTAAGAGGTACCTAACATAATCATAATCCTAGAAACTACATCTTGCCTAAGGTGAAAGGTAGAAACTATTGGGAATCATTTTGAGGTCTTTTTTTTTTTTTTTGCTCATCTCGTTCCCCTACGTAGATCATTGCCATCTGCATGTCACTGCCGTGCACTGATTCCGTTGGGCTCGGAGTCTCCTGCCGATTCATAGGATTACCCGTGCTACCTTTGGTCATCTAGGCCCGACATATGCAAGTTGGACTTCGGTTTGCTCAGCGATCGGTAGATGTAAGGGATCCCTAGATCATACGCTGGAAACGTGCCGAGGACGGATTGGTCATCTTCAGCCGCCCGACTTGAATGCGTTCAAGTCCATCTACATACAAGCCGCCAGTAGGAATCTTTCCTACGTCAGCAGTACTTCGAGGTTAAGACGTCATGACGACAGGAAGGTTGCTTGAACGTTATAAGCTTATGTGCACCTCCTCTACCTGGCCACTAGCGACTAGGAATGCATTCCGTTCGCGACACGGCCTTCTCATTACCGTGCGCCGTACCCATGACCGGTATAATCGGTCGGGGATTGTAAGGTCGTTAGGGCAGCCAGAGCAACTAGGCAAATGGATATGATCGTCAGTTTGCCTGGCTAGTGTATTGTTTGCATTAGCAGATAATTAATAATCATAAAATTAAAAAAAAGGCTGAGACGATCCAAATCCAGGATCCCGTTCACCGGCTCTCGCGATGCAGTGGCACGTCAGATGGAACCGCATTCTAGCCGCTTACTGACCGGTGTGGGTATTCCCGGTGATGATCCATCCTCGACCTGAACAACCACAGCTCCACCATTGCGATGCATCACCAAGTTATCGCGAACGGGGACAGCTGAAAAGCTCAAGCCATATGCTCTGTTGGGTTTTGTATTTTGCTTTTTCCTGTCAAGTACCCCAGATTCGGGTCGGACTAAGCTCCGGTACTTAATATAAGCGATTGGATACCTTATATGCACATATCCTTAGTCTGGGTTATCAGAATGTTATTTGAACTTCCCGATAGCTTATACGAAGTAGTCAACAAGGTTATCCAGAAGCGTCCGAACTTTCTGTATCCCCTTTTAGCCTCTGATAGATGGTCGAAGCTAAAGGCTTTTCGCTTCTGGCTGACAAGGTGCGAATCCCGGTTCGGGTTAGGCATCAAATCCTGGCATATATGTGATGAAGTAAAGCCTAAGAGGTGTGTGCCAACCACTAGGATGCATCTTGGGGTGCCCTGTCAATACAACGAGACACAGCTCGTCGTTTTCGCAGCGGTCCCAGCGTTACGGTTCTGTCAGAGGTCAGAGGTGCGAAATTAGAGAGGATTTGTCATAACAGAGGACCATGATTGTGTTTCTTCTGGTAGCGTATGCAGGGAAGTCTAACATCATACATTAGAGGATGACCATCATGACGGGATCCTGACGATGCGATAAAGTGGATCACTGGTAAAGGGACTGGCTAATATAAACGGGCGTTGAACCGCCATTGACTTGAATCACCCCTGCTAAATGGAGTTGTCTACCTCGCACAGCAGTGAACTAGAAATATGGGAATTCTTACATCTCTTATGATACCGTCGATCTCGTCTTGGTAGCCGTGCCGTAGCAGCCCAATGGTCGACGTTTCGGCGACACTGTCATCCTCACCTTCGTACGACTCGGTCTGTCCAAGGGGGACGACTGATCAACTTGCGGGTCGCGCGGCGTCGAATAGGGGTCCGTGGTTCCTTATCTTCTGGGTCGGTCAAGGAGTCGATGCGGGCACGTTCCAGAAGCCGCGGCGGTCACGCGTTGCCTTCTTACTTCTGTACTTCCGAGTTCCAGGGACGAGGGAATGCTAGTCTAAAGATACACACATGCTAGGGGTTCTACCACTTAAGCTACTCTCCCTTACGTGAGGGTGGGTAATCGCAGCGGGCTCCCGCGGAGTGCATCAAGCCTGACCGGTGATCGCAGATTCGACTCACCTGAAAGTCTTCTACGCGTTATGCAGTGAACTTATGCATGACGTTGATGGCATGAAGGATCCCACTCGGAAAAGATAGCCATTGAGGCTAGGTTGGTCGGGAACCCAGTTGGAGGCTTCAGTTTCCACGAATAGGCTCCAGGGCTTATCCCAACTCTATGGTTATTTGACGCCTCGGGCACTCTCTATTGAACCGGAAGATTCCAGATTTCAGATCGAAATGCCCGCTTTGGTTGGTCCCACGGGGGACCAGAGATGACCTATCTCATTTCTCTGACCGATTTTGCAGATCAATATGATAGGAGGTATAGGGGATACAACGTCTAGTCTCCGAATGGAGCAAAACTTGCGAATTCGAAGGCTCTAGCGGCAATGCTAATCTTGATCGTAGGTACGGTGCGCGAGCCGCATCGGATACGACCAGTTGCCTTGAATTGGGTGGGATATGGCTAGTATGATAAGAAGACTTCTTCTCCGTGGTATATTAAATACCAGAATATCCCTACCCAACTGCTATAGTCAGATTCCTCAGTAAAATCCAGTAACTGTTTCTGATGACTATACATTATACCACTTCCGCCAAAATTCTTTTTCAAAAGATAGCGTTTTATATCTCCCCGCAGCTACTAATGGCACACGGATCTCACGAGAAACCAAACCGGCCAGTAGCCATAAAGAATGTTGCTACTCGGCTTGTGAAAACTGAACCCACAAAGATAAGCAAGTTAGTCCGAAAGTTCAAGGAACTAGCGACGCGAGAACTCTGGACGAAGGAAGACCCGGGCCATAAGGTCGATTGGACCGACGACAAGGTATGGGAGAAGATCAAAAACGAGGGTCGCTTCCATCAGGCAGACGAGATGCTTGTCAGTTGTGGAACAGTCACAGTCGACCAGGCGGATTCGACACGGCCCATGGTATTGGTAGTCTATAACAAAAACATCGGCATATATCAGTTACCTAAGGGACGCAAGAATTTCGACGAGGGATACCTTGACGCAGCCCTGCGCGAGACGTCCGAAGAGACCGGAGTGGCCGTTCAACCATTGCGGCTTAGATTTGGGTCCAGATCGACACCACCGAGGCTAGCCCCGGTCCAGACCATCACCAGAGTAACTAAATATGGTCTCGAGGACAAGCTCACGGGTATTACGGAGTGCCTCAACAATGAGATCATTGGTTCCAGTGAATGGTGCGCTATATGACATCTCCGCAATTCCCTGATTTTTATATCTGTTGTATTGTGTTAGTCTCGACTTTGCTAACCTACCATTGGCAGTACGTTGTCAAACAGCTCATAAAATTCCTTGTATTTCCTAACCCCTCTCTTCCCTACCTTCCACCGCGCGAACTTGTGTATTCTCGTGTCCTAAAGCAAAGTACCAATATGTATTAGACCCCGACCCCGCTACCGGCGCCTGGAGGCATATATACTGGTTTGCAGCGAAGCCCCTAGGGGATACTAAACGCGACGAGAGTCGTATGACGGAAGAAGAGGATCGAAATAAGTTTTCGACTTTCTGGTTCTCCGAAACAGAGGCACTTTCTCGACTCAAGCTAGAAGATGAACAGTTCAGTAAGTAAACTTCGGTACAATTTCCCATATCGGCAGCGACTATTCGCTACCCCCTGTCCGAAACGTATTTGTTGGTCCTGTGTTTCAACCCCGTATTTTTCAGCCCCCTTTAACATTGAGCAAATAGCTGATATTTCCTTTAATGTAGTGGTCCGAATTACATTCGCATCCATCCGTAAGATGACCGCAAGCGACTGGGCAAGCACTCGCGAGCAAGAGGAATGGGAAAAGAAATAAGGGAAAGGAAGGGTAACTAGGGACGAAAACAAAAGGATAAGGCTGATCTCGAAATGGCTAGAAGGAAAATTGATGGGAGCAATAGGAAGGTTATTGTTTGCAGCTAGGCCACTAACGATTTTTCTAATGAAAGTTGAATTTCAAACCAGTTGAAAATAGGGGCATGGACCCCTTACTGACTTTGCAATTCGTACCTAGTATTAGATATAGAGATCACGAAATTCCGTCCAAGGGCGAGAAGGTGAGGCTTTGTTTGTTGAATAGATCAAAAAGGGGCCTTCAGCCCTATGGCTTGCTATGTATCCCGCCAGCCCGCACCTAACTTGGTGAGATTTTAAATTAAACGCTAGAACGTTCTTGGAGCTGCCGTTCTCGAAATGGACAGCCGCTAACCCATATTTAGCATGGGAATGCTGTCCGCAGTCGGCGGCTTCCGATGAGTTTATGATATATGACATCACGGCTGGTTGGTACTGTACAACAGATGTACAAAGAACTTACCCCACGTCTTCTAGCATCATCTTTGAAAAGCTACCCCTCACCCGATCCATTGAGATCATCGATAGCTAGGTAAACTTGAGAATATCTGGGTGGGTACTATACGGCGTACTTTCTCGAAGGGCAACCCGTTAATATTCAGAGTAGTTAAACTGTAAATCAAACATACATGCATGCAAATTACCTATATAGTTCCATACATAGTTCCGTATAACTACGTGTAATTCAAACTGTACAAGTTCTACGTAGTAACCCCTCACATGTCACTATCACGACATCTTCCCGGATCCCGAAGAGCTGTTGCCGTCGCATCAGGCTTTGTATCTCCACCGTCAACTACCTCATGTAGCCCTCTGCCATCCTCCCTTCCCAATTCCAACCCCAATCCCTCAACACCATCAGCCTCACATCCCCATCCCCATCCCCAGTCCCGAAGCTTCGCTACACAATCGACCCTAAACCAAGACATTCTCAAGCAATTGTCTCCTAAACACACCTGCAAGATGTCGACCATGCCAGCTCAACACGGCCACTCCGAGGCCTGCTGCAACATTCCTCCCGTGGTGTCCAAGGGCTACACCCCGAAGGGCACATACGAGGAGCTCGGAGGTTTCAAAACATGTAAGTCAGCTATATACCTACCTACCTACCCAACTTACTCCTTTCCCACCTTCACCCTACCTCATACTAAACGCATCCCCAACACCTCAGACGTCACCGGCCCCAAGGAAGCCACCAAAGGCATAATCACCATCTTCGACATCTTCGGCTTCTACCCGCAGACCCTACAAGGCGCCGACATCCTCGCGACCTCAGACCACTCGCAGCAGTACAAGGTCTTCATCCCGGACTGGTTCAACGGCGAGCCCGCGCCCCTTTCGTGGTTCCCGCCCGACACCGAGGAGAAGAAAAAGAACCTTAGCGCTTTCTTCCAGAAGAACTCGCCGCCTAGCGTCGCCGCCAAGGTCCCGGACTACGTCAATGCCGTCTCGGCCAAGTACCCCGAGATTAAGAGCTGGGCCATTCTTGGGGTAAGAACCATCCCTTCTTTCTCTTTATTTTTTTATTTTTTATTTTTTTACGTTTTTTAGACCGTGGTTAACACCAACTTCCACAGTTCTGCTGGGGAGGCAAAGTCGTATCTCTCGTGGTCTCTAAGCCCGACACCATCTTCAAGGCAGGCGTGGAGGCTCACCCGGCGATGGTCGACCCCGCCGACGCCGAGAATATTAAGGTGCCTCTAGCGCTACTAGCATCCAAGGACGAACCTCCAGAGGCCGTCAAGAAGTTCGAGCAGAACCTCAAGGGCCCCAAGTACGTCGAGACCTTCGGTGACCAGATCCACGGATGGATGGCCGCCCGCTCCGATCTTGAGGATGAGCGTGTCAAGGCCGAGTACACGCGAGGCTACGAGACTGTGCTAAAGTTCTTGTCTAAGTATGTGTAAGGCGTGGATTAATCTCTCGATAAGCCTTAAAAACAAGAGGCCAGACGTCGCTAGGCTTCACCTGAAGAGGTAGCCTCTAATGAAAGTAAAGATGAATGAAATAATTGTCCTTTAATTAACGATTATAACAGCACCACCCCCTTTTTTATCATATGGGTAAATTCAATCTCAGTCACTTAATAGGTATGATATGTCAATTAGTGTTGTGTCAACAGACTTATCTAGCCATCTCGAATCGTAATTAAGTCATAACGCCACTATGCATCATTTTGAAGTGCCAGTGTCTAAGCAAACGCCAGAGAATGCGATGAGCGTGAAAATAGCTCGCAACACCTGGAAGAATAGGGAAGACATTCTTCATCCCTCTATGTTCCACCTGGCTATGTCGAAATAGAAGCCTTTTCCTAACCCTAAATCCCATCTTGGATTCCTTCGCCGGTCTCTGCTTTGGCTGCTTCCGGCTGCTTGCCTGATTCTCTTGCGTAGATATTCTCCGTGAGAAGTTCCTTTTCGCTCCCTCCTACAGCGACAGATGCTACATCCGTCTTTCCGCCTGTGTCTTCCTTCGCTCTCACATTCTCCTTTAAGTCTTTCTCTACCTCACCTTCACCCTCACCTTTACGTCCATCAGCTGCCTCGGTAGCGCTTTCAAGTCCAGGTTTGGGTGACTTCTCGATGCCAGGAATAGCGGGTGCCTCCTCGTCGCCAATCTTCTCAAACTTAACGACTGCCCATTCTATACCAAGTGCTGCATTCCATGCCGAGGCGTCACGAGACTTGCTAGGGATAACGTTGCCATAGCGGTCGCGACGCTCCCACTTTTGCTGCTGCATGCGCACGAGCTCTGCCGAGTGCGGCGCTAGCACATTGATGCGCGCAATACGGTACCAACCTGCGAAAATGAATCGCTGACTGCCGCGTCCATAGTCGTAGAAGCGACGCTCTTCAAATACGGCGACAGGCGCGTGCGCAGATGGGGCGTAGTCGATAGGTGGAATAGTGGGAAAGCTAGGTACCTGTCGTTGTTGAAGCTTTAGGCGTTGCTGCTTCTGCTTCTCTACTATACGCTCTTGCTCTTCAGGCGGTAGGTTACGGACGTCGCTGAACTTCATGCGGCTGCTAGAACTAGACGATGTTTCCGTAACGAGTGTCTCATCTGTCTGGCTCGCATCAGAGGATATAGTAGCCTTTGTTGTCTCTTCGTCGGTGACGGACAATGATTCAATAGCAGCCGCAACGTGGCCAGCTTCGTTGTCCTGAGTAGTAGTAGACTGAGATGCCTCTTCCGTAGGAATCTTATTCGTAGTTGCGTGGAGATCTTGGGACTCCTCTGACTGCTTAGGGATTGGCCACTCCCCATATTCCGCCTTCTTTGAGCTGTACTCGGGTAACAGAGAAAGCTTAGATTTAGCAAATACGATACGGTCGCCAGGCCAGCGGGGGTTGGCGTTGGTGAAGAGCAGCATGTAAGACAACTGGTCTGGATGCTCCTTAGAGCCGTGGAAGGTGCTCGAGTTATGGTGTGGAACGGCTTCAACTCCCTCTTCGCCACAGAAATACTTCACAATTGCGCGTTGGTCGTAGATGTCAACATCGTCGAACTGACCTTGGTGCTGTTGGTTGCGGTCTTGGGAGAGTGGGTTGCTATAGGTACCTCTTCCGCGACCACGGCCACGGCCGCGTCCTCCACGATCTCGTCCTCCGCGGAATCCTCGGCCACTCATATCGCCTCTACTGCCTCCGTTGTTGAAAGGTTGGTATGATGATGAATGGTTGGGAGGGAGGGTAGATGACTCTGATGTATCGGGCGTAACGCCGGTTGCCTGTGAATCTCCACGGCGAAAGGGAGGAATGTAGCTTCCGTACGTAGACATGACTTATGACGTACGCGAAGGTTAAAAGGGTTAGAAAGGTGAAAAAAAAAAAATGGGTGAAAAATGGGGATTACGGGGCCAGCCTGTGGGGAATGAGGTATGTAGAGGATATTATGTATATTAATGTATATTAAGTTTACCCAAGAGGTAAATATGGTGAGATAGAGTTGAAAGTTGAGCTGCAAATGGCAGCTACGGTGGTTGTAATTGTTTTTCCTCAGATTCTGCAGTTGCGGTACGGCGGGGTTGATTGTTGTTGTTTGCCGTGGAAGTTGCAAACGTTGTTGTCGCACAGCTATCAACTTAAAGATATCGGAGTACCCAAGTATCTTAGGCAGCACCTGCACTCATTTAGATCCCTTAGGTACCTACCTCCTATCATTGTCTTCAATGTCCTTAATATATTGCCGTCTTAATCAATTGCACGCGCGAACTTGAGCACGTCTTGGTATTCATTCCCTAATCGCGAAGACGCATTTGCTTATCCAACCTAAAACACAGAGACCCAAAGTTGCCACAATCCTACATATGCAGATTATTAACACGATGCAAACGCCGTGTTGTTTTTAATTTCTCTGTCTAAACTACATAGATATCATCTCTTCGTTCTAAGAGGCAAGATTTTGTGACAGTATTATGAGGTAGACCCAAAATGCGAAATTGGTTCATAGGGAAGTCTAACCTAAGCTATGGAAGCCCGTAGCTAATACGGAAAGTATCCTTCGTTACAGATGTCTCATCAATAATCCTAACAGATAGAATATATTTTATCAAGGAATACTCAGAGTAAAATTTCATACAAGGTATCACACAATTCGACAAGGTCTAAACTTTTTATACAAGCAATCACTTAAAAAACAACGGGTTTAATAAGCAAACTTCTACGACTTTTGCCATTACATAAAACAATTGAGATTTGGTAACCACGTTGGTATGTCGTCAAATTCAGGTATACCTAACCTCGCAAAAGGGGCACAAAGTACCTAACAGTATTAATACTTTAAAATAGCTACCTAGGTTAGGTACCTATATGTACATAATGAAAACCCGAACTTCGGTACGGATATATCTGTATTTATAGTCAATTATATATACTAATATTATCTATCACGTTACACACGTGCAGCCCATAATCATTTTATGGTTATCGACGTAGTTATTTCAACTTGCTCTCTCTAACGAATAGCAATCCCGTGCCAATGTTGCAATGCCAAGAATATCGCACACTGCCGGTACCGAATTAAAGTATATTGAGGCATTTAACGGTTGCGTAGTTTTTTATTTTGATAGGTATGTTTAATCTCCATGATAACTCGGGTGATATAGCGGTATGCTGACTTCTAAAGTCATCTAAGTCGATATAGCCTAGAAACCTAAACTGTCTGTGAAATTCGTACCTTTTTACAACCGGTTATTTACGGTTTATGCGTATAGTGAAGCTTCACATGGTAGAGGAGGCTCAAGTAATAATTTAGAACTACACCACATTCTACAGCCACAGAAAGATATGCCAGAATTGGGAAGCCTTGGCTGGAGGTAGCAAGAGTTGTCGGGTGCGAACTGGGCAACCTTCGATACTGCCAAAGGCACTGATAAGTCCACGAGAGCCCTGATAGAATACCCCGGAACTATTTTATTTAATAATTGTGCTCTACTAAAGTCTTCGGAGCCAATCCACTAACATGATAGGGAGCCTCAAACGAATCCAGTGTCAGATACATATACTACTCGATACGGCAAGATTCACGAGTCTAAATTCTCCGCGGAGTTGTAACTCCTGCAAAGTCGAGTCGTCTATACCAATGATAATACGTAAGTCATAGATAGGCAACTAAAATGAAGATTTCAGTCATTTGTGATAAGTATGCTATGCGTGCAATAGTTCCTTACCTAATTATGACGTGAAAATGCGTACTAAGTACCATTCCTGTTGTATTATAATCCTCTATCTCTAGAAATATAGGGCCAGGATTCGTTGGGGTAAAGGTCGCGGCCTAGTATCAGATTGGCTTGTAGGTAAGTGGCGTTTTTCTCCATGAATGGGATGAGGTGCTGGTTCGAATATTGCAACCTCTAGAATTTGCTTTTCCTGTCAGCGTAGATGGCAAGTCCTAAAAGCAGTTAACATCCAATGATCCATTTTGTCATGCATCCCAGAAGAAGACGGCAGGTATGAACAGCCTACGCAATCCACTATGTAGTTCTATTAACAAGTATGAATAGACATCTCTATCTCCCCCACATTACTACCATGATGAGTATTTCATGTTTACTCTTTTTACCACAAGTGAATCTCCAAATACCACCCTAACCATCTACAAGGTTAAGCATATATTGCTTTCATTTTACCTATCATGTTCGTCCTCTATCTAAATAGCACGAGCTTGGAGGAGTGGTTGCTTGTATTCTTCTCGTTGGGGTTCCTCTTGGTTCGTTTTATCGGTTTCGTTATGAAATCCATCAAGCATGGCAAATATTACAATACTAACGGAAATATTGGGCTCTAGTTCCTCATTATAGCATTCTACAATCTGTTCTTCCATCCTCTAGCCCACATCCCTGGTCCATTCTGGAGTCGAATAAGCGGGTTTCCCTCGTGGTACTATGCGTGCCGGGGCGACCGCCATATTTGGCTATGGCAGCTGTTCCAAATCTACGGCGACAGGGTTCGTCCCCAGCCTGACATGGTATTGTTTTGCGACCCTCAGTCATACACCGACATCTACAGTATGAAGTCAAATGTGCGACGGGCCCCTTTCTATGGGGCGTTCCAAAAGAATAGGCATGAGCCCAAGACTGTGACTGTACTTGATACTGCTGAGCATGCACGGAGGCGTAAACGCCTTAATCCTATTCTTCTTAATGAGAAGTCCATACGCGCGGCTTCGAAGTTCGTCATTAAGCACGTTGAACGCTGGGTCCAACTCCTGACAGAAGACAACGAGATAGCTACCGAGTGGTCTTCTCCCGCGAACTTTTCGAGGAAAACTGACTCACTTACTTTCGACATTATGGGTGATCTTAACTTCGGGGTGTCTTTTGACATTAAAGAGCCAGAGGAAAATCCTCTGAAACTGACCCCATTTTATATTATTCAATTTTTACGATTTAGCTACATGGTAAGTATTTCTAACCCACACCTCGCTCTCTGTCCTTTAGATGGAAGGTGGTGCTAACAATGTGAAAGATGGGCCGTGCCCCCTTTTTTAAATTCCTCCACGGGATGAGGCCTTACGGATTCGACTATCTCCTTGAATTTATTACCCCGCCAGCTGTTCAAAGGCTTAACCAGTTCATCCACAATAGCGTCTCTGATCGTATTGCTCTACAAAAAGAGCAAGCGGAAAAGCCTGAAGCTCAGCGGCGTCAAGATACTTTCTACTTCTTATATGAAGCGAAAGATCCTGATACGGGCCGTCCCGCTTACGACGAGGCCGCTTTGCGGGGAGAATCTAATCAGCTTTTGACCGCGGGATATGATACGACCGCTACTGCTATTTCTGGTATAATTTTCTGCCTCACCGGCGATCCTCGACGACACCAGAAACTTGTGGACGAGATTCTATCAACATTTGAATCAGCAGAGGATATCGTCTATGGACCTAAGCTTCTAGGATGCACCTATCTAAGAGCTTGTATCGACGAGGGAATGCGTCTTAACCCCTCACTACCAAGTGACCTTCCCCGGGAAGTACTGCCTGGTGGCCTAACGATTAAAGGAGAGTACTATCCCGAAGGCACTATCGTAGGAAATGTTCCTTGGGCCCTCATGCGTAACCAGGAAGTTTATGGAGACCCTGAGGTATTCCGACCCGAGCGTTGGATCTTGGACGAATCGACCGGGGTGACTCAAGAGGCCATCGCACAGGCAAAATCCTGTTTCCACCCCTTCCTCTCCGGTCCGGGCAATTGTGTCGGGCAGAATCTGGCCATGGCTAATATCTTCATTACGGTGGCTCGACTACTATATCATCTAGATGTAAGAAGAGTCCCCGGATCTACCTTTGGAGGTGGTAGTCCTACGATGGGGTGGGGAGCAAGGAACAAAAACCAGCTACAGCTAAAGGATATATTTGGTTCAGGCAGGGAAGGTCCAGAGGTACAGTTCAGGAAGAGGGCATTTGTTTCCTAGGTTGTCACCTGAAGTAAAAGTAGCAATGTGATATCAGGTATAATAGAAGGGAAAGAAGATGGGAATCAAAGTAACCGGCGCGAAATCATTCTTTTCATCAGTATGAAAGCAGCACACCTTGTCATAGCTTGCCTTCTGGCGGTTTCGAGCGTGGAGGATATCGTAGAATGAATCGGGTTCGCTCTTTTACCTATGGGTCAGCGATGATTAGCTGCAAGGAAAGGTAATGTCGTGATGAATTTCATACATGATATTAGGTAGCTTTCACTGGATGTTATATAAACGACGCTCTCTATTACTCCCCCAACCCCCTTACTTATCCCTTACCTTTAAAATACAGCCACCATGCCTACTTGTAGTGGTCTATAATTAGATCCCGCTTTAGATTAATAAACACGGCTCACTCCTTCAGTCCCACAAGAACGCCCCATGAATTATATACCTCTTATCGAACATATTTATCATTCTTGGTAACACTACATAGATCGTGGCAGATAACATTGTTGAGTGGGCTTTGAGTGATGTCTCATGGGAGAGGAGGTATTAGAATGCCAGCAAAACGGCGCCCTTGCTCCAGTAACGGCTCTCTAGCTTGTCTAAAGGAAAGTATATTTAAATTCATACAGGGTATAGAGCTCATACTATAAAAATAATCTGAAGCAAATATGTATTTAAAGATCCAGGTTCGAAAGAGTTTATATTTAAATAAAGGGGATGGTATGATTTTCCCGACTGAAACCCGACAGAGATAAAGAGCTGAGTGGCTTCTATGTCATAGATGCCTACCTAGGAGGTACCTAGTAGACAAATGAATTTTCTTGCCACCATTAGCCCATCAAGAAGAGGATCAAAGTATTAGGTATGAAGCGGCGAGACTGATAAGTACATCATAGGTATGCACTTATATCTACGAATTTATGATTAATGGTTATTACCGACAACGAAATGGAACCCGTCTTTATTCACTCGCCATATGAACGAACACGTGGAAAGAATCCCTTATAGTATTCTTCTTTATCCCTTAGAGGCCTAAACCAGGAACAAGAATCAGATCCATAAAGCCGAACCACGCTACCAGCCGTGATGATTCAGATTTGATTCAGAAGGTGGCTCGAGTGGCTCGAGTGGCTCGTTTCTAAGGCTGATATTAAATATAGACTACCTCTTAAGTCTTTGAAACACAGGCAAATTAGATGGAGAAGCTATTAAAGGCTGCCTTTCTATACGCCCATACTATGGAGCTCTACGACACAGGAGCTCGGAGGTACTTGGTGAATTAATACAAGGCACCTTTCATTATCGAGACTCTATACCGTATCCCCGACGGCCGAAGCAATCACAGTGGCAATCTCCCCACGGCCTCTGATATAAAGGAGCCATGCTACCTTCGCAATTATATATTTTTCTCTATGATTTTAGCTAGGAACATTCATTCATTTTCCCCTTTTCACTTATTTAGGGACGAGATCGTAGGTAGCAGCATGGCCCAGACTCTCAACCCGGAAGCACTCTCAAGTTTATCACCAGAGTATCTGGCTGAGGATTGCCACGAGATCTGGTGGCGTTGGAACATTGCACTTACAGTCCTTATAACCGTTGTCTATGGTCTATTCAATATATCCCGAGTTTTCTTCGCAAAGTACAATGGCTGGGAAATCTGGACATTATATCCGCTCTCATATGTCTCTTGTATAGGACTTTGCATCCTATATTTTTGTGAGTGTCCTTTTTACCTCTCTATTAGCTATTACACCGTATAACTGCCTCAGCTACTAACTATGTTGCTGGAATTAGTCGCCATCGATATAGGGGGTGCAGGGAAACACTTGGTATACTGGGAAATTCACGATCCGAAGACTATCACCACATACCTTAAGCTTCAGACTGCGTCAGAGTTTCTCTATATGCTCACCGTAACGCTCCCCAAAGTCTGTATCATCATCCTGTATCTCCGTATCTTTACCGAGCGCAAGATCCGGCTTATAACAAAGATCGTCCTTGGAGTTGTAATCAGCAATTATGTTGCGATCGGTATTATCGCCATCCTTACAATTTGTAAGCCATTTGCCTACAAGTGGGACAAGACGATAGACGGCCACTGCAATAACCTCATGAATTCTTACCGGTATACCAGCTTACCGAACATCATCACGGATGTAGCTATTCTTGTCTTACCTTTTCCCATGCTTTACAAACTACAAGTAAGCCCGATGCGCAAATTTGGGATATTCCTTACTCTCCTAACAGGAAGTCTGTAAGTATATTTTCTACATCGGTGCCTTATATCGTACAGTTATATTTATCTACCTAGGAGGTATATATAATATACATATATACCTACCTATGCAACATATCCTAATTAAAACACGCTTTCTTTGTTTTGCTTACAAGACGTCTTCTAGGGGCCTTATAACCGCTATTGCTCGCTTCTCCGAGTACTTAGGGGCCGATTGGATGTTGGACCCAACATACGCGGGCAACAAGCCTATAATTCTCGGCATTATCGAATCACATGCATATTTCATCTGCTCTTGCTTACCTGAAATGCGACCTCTAGCGCGCGGGATCTATAGGAAATTTAAGCCCCATAAAGTCAAAGAGATTCACTACAACCCAAGTCCGTCCTCCCAGCCTGTGGGATCCAATGGCTATGGTTCTTCTGTCGGTAACCTCCATGGCAGTTACAAGACATCAATTTCGGTTCTCGGGGGACAGCAGGATTATACCAAAGGGGTTGAAAACCCTACTATAATTCAGCTCGATAAGACGGTTCAGGTGAATTATTCTCAAAAGCGCACTCCCCTAAGAGACATGGTCTAAACTCGGGGGGTGTCTGTATAGGGAAGGTCCATGGCAGCTCACACAATGTTCTTTGCCCTTATATTATAGTACTAAGGTGTAAAAGAAGAATTATGATGTACCTAGAATTTTATAGTGCGATACTAGTTGGGTACTTATTTCAAATCCCTCAAAGCTAAAAACCAATATAGACTATCTAGGAGGTACTTAGGTATCCTAATATTTAAAATAAAGTATGATCTTAATTTTAATAGGCACTTAAATGACTGTAAGCTATCTGCTTCTATAAGTAACGGTTGATAGCTTCGCCTCCGAATCTTTAGTGAAATACCCTTGGCTCTTTTAAATCTAGGAGGTAGCCTATGAGATAGACTGATGTCAAGATAAACTCCTTCTAGTTAGCCGCAAGAGTCGAATAAAGAAGGGCAAACGTGGTTAATGGAGATGAGTCCATGTGGGATCAATACCTAGCCCTACCCTTTGTTAGCAAAATACAATACCGCACTTCATAATCTTTCTCTGGGGGAGTGGCAAAGCTACATGAAAGATACATACCGGCCGTTAAACACGCCTACAACAAGCACACCTCCTTCCTCCAAATCTGTCCTTGGTATGAGGCAGTCTCGTATTGTCAGTTCCGCATGATTGGACGAGTTGTATAGCTTCGCTTGCTTTGAGGGGACTAGCAAGTCCCTTTCGAACTTCGTTGGTAAGTTTGTGGCTTGTGGTTATCTGTTGTTGGGTAATCTTTGGCTCCAAGGTAATGACAACAACGTGTTTGTCTTCGGCTATGGCTTGATCGACTGATTGCACTTCAAACTGTGTCCCTGGCGCGAATACGTATTCTATCTTCTTGGGATCATCTGACAGATCCGTTACGTATGCCGCCGACTCCCATACCCAAGATTCTCCGGGGGGGTTAGCCACCAGTAGAATTCCGTTGGAGTAATGCATGGCATCTTCTATGCTGTCTGTGAAGCTCCAGACCATCTTAGTTGTTATAGTATTGCCCGTAGAAATGTAGCTAGCCATTGCATCGGCGAATGCATAGATTAGCCTTTCGCTAACGGGGCCTTTGTTGAGGGGACATTCAAGGAATTCGATACCAAAGCGGTCGAGTCCCAGCTGACAGATGTCCACTTGCCCACTAAATAGTTGCGGCTTCAACAAAATTGAGGCGCGAGGGAGTGCTTGTGTTGCAGCAGACAACAGGCGGTTCTGTACATCGCTGAATTTATGAAGCTCGGTGCCGACTTTATCTAACTGCGCCTTGACTTCTTCCAGTGACTGCGCGGGGTTCATCATAAAAGAGTTCATGAAGTCAGGATTCTGCGGATCATACGGGGGCCAGTTGCTGTCCCAGATCTGCTCAGCGACGCTAGTATCGTCGATAGGAAAGGGAGTTGGTGGTATGCCGGTATACTCGAATATCTTCATGAAGACCATACGAGTGAACGAGGCAGTGGTCCAATCGTAGATACACATAGCGAGTTGAAAACTAAAGGGGGAAAAGGGGAAGAGTCTTTTGCCGAGCGCTTTGATTTCCTCTTCCGTCTTCCCTGGGGCGTCAGGGATGTTCTGATATGGAACATAATTCCTTTCGATCATCTTATTAATATAATTGACATCCTCTTCGAATACTTCAGGGAGTGGCTTGAGCTTTCCCGATGCGCGTTCATCTAAAATAAGAAACCTGTGTTAGTAAAGGTAATGTACCCAGGACAAGAAAGCAACCATACTCGACTCCACGGTAGGGCTTTTAACGATGCTTAGTTCGAAACCGCCATCTCCATCTATCCGGAGAGAGAGCTCAAACCATAATGGGGTGTTGTTGCCTGTGGGCGGAGAATCTTGATCTGTCTTGACAACTATTATTGAATCGTTGGCATTAAGCAACCTCATATCAGGTAGAGTTATCTCAGTAAGGTCAAGGAAGCCATTCTTATCAATTACCAATCGAGACGATGCGAGGTTACCTCCTCGTATGGAATCAACGGGCTTTCCATCACTAAACCAGAGATGAAAATCCGAATGAGTCTCAGTAATGCGCCACATGATGACTGAACGATCAAGATAGAATAGTATATTTCGAGTTAGTATACAGTTACTTCTCTAAGCTGGACAACTATGGGCTATATATATACAAGAGAAGTAACCTAATACTTCATAATGGATAACAAAGTTGCTCTAAGGGATCATAGCTCAGCTTGCACGAGGCCTTTCCTTCTTACAGGCCTTTCTATTCTGGTCCGGATGCATCTTCACCGATTATGTTGATAGCTGAGAAAAGATAATGATCCAGTAAGAACCTGTTTTATCACTTTTGGCGCTAAAGAATCAAGTACGGCTTATGTCGCGTATAGCGAAACTTACAGCTTGCAGCTTGCAGCATGGCGTTCAATATATTGAAGTGTGCTTAGCTGAACACGATAGAGATTTTACATAGGTCCCTAAACTGGACATCAATTACCTATAGTGTACCTTCCTCTACTTCTAAGACTGCGAAAGTTGAAGTACCTAAACCATTAGGTAGTATTTTGTTGCTTGATAAGACACTAGGTAGTTCATTCTGTTTCTCATTTGGGGGGGAGGGGGGGTATTTAAACTCATACTTGTTGGGGTAAGACAAGATTTCTACCCAAACCAATTACTATTGCCAAAGACCACCGAGTAGTTGCCTGTATTGAAATTGAAAATTGCAGTTCTTCGCCCCTTGCATGTTCACATTGTGGAAGGAAGCATGTACCGACTTTTACTCTATACTCCACTTGCCATTGCTATATTAGGTAGCTGTTTAAGTTTGCTGCTGCTTTTGACAGGAGGCTTCAGTAAGTACCCCTTCCACCGCAGGTTGTTAAATCTTCTCTCTCTCTCCCCCCCCCCCCCGGTGTCTAATGACACACCCCAGCATAGGGTGTACTACTAACACCGTCGCGCAACCCCTTTTCAACCCTTGACCTATTAAACTTACCTTAGGTACATCTAAGCTTATCTCAGTAAACTCAGACCATAAATTCGATATCGTTCGTAAGGTTGTACCTCCCCTAGCCACACCACTTTTCAACTAATCAAAACCCGGAACAACCTCTTAAAACAATATCGAATTTATGGTTTAAAATAGGTTTAAAACCTCGCACACTAAAATTATACGTTTAACATTTTAAAACAATAACATTAATAATAACATTAATAATATTATTAAAATAATAATATTAACGCGTTTTTATAATAAATAATAATTAATTATATAATAATTATTAACTTTTTTATTAAGTTTATGTTACACGGGGTAAATAACCGTGGTTATGGCATAATTATTATAACGGTTATAAAAAATTATAACGTTAATTATAATTATTATATAATTAATTAATTATATAAAAGTTATATTATATGTAATTATACTTTAAATAATTTAAATTTTTATATATTATTTATAATTATCGTATATTATTTATAATATTATTATAATTTTTAATAATTATAAGTTTAATTTATGTTTAAGTTTTTAATAAAAGTATATTAATAATAAATGTAAATTATTTATTTTATTTATTTTTTTTTTTATTTTATATAATTATTTTTAAAGTTATAATTTTTAAAGTAATAATGGATATTTATAATAAAAACTTATTTAAAACCGTTTTTTTAACTTTAACAATTTATTTAAATAACCGTTATAATTATTTTTATTAAATTTTAAAAATAAAATAAAATGTTATTTAATTTAATTTTTAAAATTAAATTAACTTAAATAAGTATAATATTATTAAACGTATTATTATAATTAAAACCAAAACTTTTATTTTAAAATTTATTTAAAATAAAAAAGTTTTTACTTATAAAGTAATTATAACTGTTAAATAAAATAACGGCGTTTTTATGTAAAATATTTTAAATAATAACATTATTATATTAATTAACGATAAGTTTAATAAATTATTTAATAAAATTTAAAAACATTATATAATTATTTAATTAAAAAAAATAATTAATATTTTAATTATAAACTAAATGTTTAAATATATTTAAAAAACAGTTAAAAAAAAAATTTTATTACTTATTATATTTAAATATATTAGTAATAACTTAATATTAATAACCGATATTTTTTATAAAATTAAGTTATATTTTAAATTTATTAACTTATTAATTATTATAAAGTTAAAAAAAGATTATTATAAGTATTTTTAACAAATTTACGCTAGTAAAATAAAGTTTATTAAGTGGTTTTTTAAATAATAAACGTTATATAAAAATGGTTATATTTATAAGATTTTAAAAATTAAAAAAAACGTTATAACTTTAAATTTTTTAAAAGTTATTAAGGTTTATTAAGTTATAAATTAAGTTATTTGTTAAATTAAAGAATTTATAACTATAAAGTAAATTAAAAAAATCCCGAAATTGTTAAAGAAATTTTTTTTATAATTTTTAACTGTTTTGGAAAATAACTTTATGTTTTAAAATCCATTTGCAAAAACTGGCGTATATTTTATAAATATATTATTTGATTTAAATTAAACCGATACTTTAAATATAACGGGTTAAAGAAATAATTATTTATGTTACGATAATTTAATAAATATTTATTTTTAATAATTTGTTAATTATAAAGTCTTTTAATATGTTATTATTAGAAAATTTAATTGTTAATTACTTAATACTTTTAATAAAAAAAAGCGTAAAGTAATTAAAAAACGTTATTAATTTATTAAATAAAAAACGTTTTAAATTAAAATTAAGTTAAAAAGTTAACGTGTTAAACTAAAATATAAACTTAACGATAAAAAACGTTAATTAAATAATAATAATAAATTAAACGGTTAATTAAATAATTAAAAAAATTATTTTAATAATTTAATAATCGTAATTATAATTGGTAATATAAAGATTTAATATTAATTTATTTATAAAATATATATTATATTAATTTAATTTAATTGTTATTTATTAATTAATAATATTGTTTTAAATATTTATAGTAAGTTTTACTTAATTAATAATAAGGTTTTATTAAAATTTAATATATAAGTAAAAGTTAAAAATGGAAAAATGGTGGAAGTTAAATTATTAATTTTATTTATTATTGGTTAAAATATTAAAGTGATAAAAGGTATGTTTAATAAATTAAACAAATTTAATATTAAAAATTTAACGTTAATTAATGTAATTATTATTAAAAGATTTTATGTTAATATTGTATCAAAAGTTATTTTTAAGGAAAAAGTAAAAGTATGGTATTACGGCGAAATTTATACTTTAAAGTATAAATTATAAGTTAATAATAAAGTTATTAAATAATTAATTAAATAATTTAATTTTTTATTTTTTAAATATAAATTATTTAAAATTTATTTGTTATTTATTTACATTTTAATTATATTTTAATTATATATTAATATAGTTAATTTTATAATTTATTTTATATTAACCGTAATAAAAAGGTTATTTACTTTTTTATTAAAAAAAAAAAACATTAAAGATTTATGGCATTTTAAGTTTAATTATTTAAGATTAAATGTTTTAAAAGTTTTAATGTATAATGTTAAAAAAGTAAAGATTAAAGGAAAACTTATAATTAAATATAAAACTTGCGTTAAAGTTTAAAGTAAACATATTATTTTTAAAAGAAAATTAAAGCGTTATTTTTTACGACCATTTTAAAAAATATTTTAAAATTTATTCGATTTTTCCGTAAAATATAACGGAATATTATAAATATTAACTATATTAAATAAATATTTAAAATTTATTATAATTTATATATTTTTTAATAAAATATAAAATAACGTTATATCGAAAGTTAATTAAATAAATAATTAAATAAATTATTAATTTAAGTTAAAAATATATAAATTAAAGTATAATAATGATATTTTAATATTTAATATATAAAAAATAATTTAATATAGTTAATAAATATTTAAAAAAAGATTAAACTTAAAGTTATTACCATTTATAACAAAAGAATTTATAAGTAAAATTAAAAAATTAAGTTAAAAGTTTTAAATTAAATTTATTAAAATGCGATTAAATGTTAATTTATTAAAGGAATTATGGTTAAAATGCGTAAAAATAATAATTTATTTAATAAACCGAAACTTTAATTAAAAAAACGGTTATAAATTATCGTTAAAAATATTAAAAAATTAATTTTGTTAATATTTTAAATAATATAATTTAAAAGTAATAAAGGTTTTTACGAATGATTTAAAATTATATTAAAGTTATATTTATATTTACAGTTATAAAGTATATTTATTAAACCGAAACGTAATTAATATAAAAGATAAATAAAATAAAAAGGTTTAATTAAAAGTATATATAAAATATTTAATTAGTTATAAAACTATTAATATATACCGTATATAAATCTTTTATTAATGGAAAGTTATTTTAATAAAAAATGTTTAATTTAATAAAAAGTTATTTTATAAACCTGAAAAAAAATCATAATTATTTTAAATATTTAAAAAAAAATTAATATATATTAACGAAATATAAAAAGATTTAAACGTTATTTTATAAAATATATTAAATCGATTAAATTAATAAAATAATAAACTTTTTATTTGTAATTATTTAATTAATATAATTTAAAATAAAAGGAATAAACCGACGGGAAAATTAAATTTAATAAAAGGTTAATTTAAAGAAAAAATTATAAATAATAATTTATGTTATATTTAAATAAAATTAAAATTAATTTTTAAGTTAAAAGATTTAAATACGGTAAATTAATAATAAAAGATTATAATATTTAAAAAAATATTTAAATTAAAGTAATAATTTAATGGTATAAAAAATATATTATAAAACGTTAATAAAAATTTTTTAAAAAGAAATATAAATAAATAATCGGGATTTATTATAAATTAGTTATTTGCGGGGGCAATTTTAAATTTATTAATTTATTAAAAAGTGGATATACCGGTTAAAAAACTTTACCGGAAATATAATAAAAAAAAGTGGTTAAAATTTATAAAATATAACCGATAAATAAAAAGTAAAAGTTTTTTTAAAAATAATAATATGGGAAATGTAATTTTATTAATTACCGTTTTAATTATTATAAAATATAGTTAAAATAAAATAATTATATTTAAAAATAAATTGTTTAAAAATTTCTTAAATATATTTTTATTTAATTAATAAAAAATTATTTATAAAAAAAACTGTAAATATAAAATAATGTACGCTATTATTATAATTATATTATAACCGAAAAATGTATTTAAATTATAAAATGTAAATAATTAAAGCTTTATTTATAAGTTAATGTTAATTAAACCGCCATTTAAAAAGTGGAAAAACTTAAAATATTACCTTTTAAACAAATAATTTAAAAAAAATGTTAATAGTAAAATATAAGCTATAATTATTAAAAACGTTTAAAAAGTTATTAATATAAATAAAATAAAATTAATATTATTATTAATAAAATAAGTATTTAATTATAAATTTAATGCCGATAATTTTTTAACAATATATAAATTTAAAGTAATAATAAAGAGAAATTTATAAAAAATAAATATTTTTAATAATATATATATAGTTATTTTAATAGTTAAAACGTTTAAAATTATAATGGTTATTACAGTAAAATTTGATTTAAAGGTTATTTAATACGATATAAAAAACGCTTTTATTTACGCGTTACGTAAAAATGGTAAATTTATATATATATAATTATTAAATAAATATAAATAATTAAATAAATATATATAATTAAAATAAGCGTTATATGGATTAAAAGATATTTTTCTTTTATAATATAACGAAATAGTTAAAACTTTAATAAATATTAAAATAATGGTTTTTATTAAAAAGTTATGTTTATTTTATTTTTTAAATAAATTAATATATATATTAGTTTATATTAATAATATATTAATAATATATTATAAAATATATTAAAAAATAGTTAAAGAAGTAATTAATTTTATAAAAAGTGTTTAAAAAATAAAGGAATAAAAATTAATAAATTAATATTTAAATATTAAAGTAATATGTAATTGTAAATAAAAAACGATTATTTTTAACCATAAAATATATATTAAAAAAATGGTTTAAAAATATAATTTAACTGATTTATTATATAATTTAACAATTTTAATGGTTATAATAAAGTTATTTAAATATAATAAAATAGTTAATAAAAAGATTATTAAAAAATATTAAAAAAAGATTGGTTTAATATTGTATATAATTATAATAATTTATTTAAAAATAATTTACGTAATATTACAGTTTTTTTACTATTTTACCAACTTAAGATTTTAATATTTAAAAATAATTAATTAAATTATTAAATATTTATATATTAAGTAAAAACTTTATATTAAATATAAAGGTAAAAATTTAAATTTTAAAATATTATTTATAATTAAAGATGTATTGTTTATTAATAATAATATAACGAAACGTTTTTTTTATAATTATATTATTTTTTTATTTAATAGATTAATAATATAAAAGGTAATATAATAAATAATTATATTAACTTTTATTATAAAAGTTAAGTTAATAGTTATAAAAAAAGTCGTAAAAAAAATTATTATATTTTAATGTTTATTTAAAGATATTAAATTAAATATAAGTAAATAATAAAAAATTTTTAATAATAATTAATAAACGATATAATTAATAGTTAAAAAAAAAGAATAAATTAATATAAAGTTATAATATATTAATATTTAAAATATATAATTATATTAAAAATATGTTAAAAAAACGTTTAATATAATTTATTTATTTATTAATTAAATGTTAATTAATAATTTAATAAAAAATTTTATAAAATAATAGTTTAAATATTTTAAAATATTTTTAAATTTGTAATATGATATTATTATTAGTTAATAATATAAAAATATTAAAAATATTATAATAATTTTCTGTTGTATTTTTAATTTTGTACCAATATTATAAATTAATAATTACCGAGATAATAAAAAAATTATATTAATATTTATTAAAACGGTTATTTAAGTATTAATTAAGTTTTATTATAAAGTTATTAAATTAAAGATAACTGGTATTATTAGTAATAAATTATTTAATTATTTAAGTTAATTTATTAAGTAAAAAATAAATAAATTTTAACCGTAGTTATATAATAAAATAAAGATAATTAAATAAAACGTAAAGTTAAAATAAAAAATTATATTTATAAACATTATTACGTAGTTTTTTTTTAATATTATTAAAATTATTATTATATTAAACCTTAAAACCGTTATTATTATTTATAAGGTTAATTATTAAACCGGTTATTTTATTTTTATTTTTATTAAACATTTTTGCTTTTTTTTTAAACTTTATATTTATATTTATATTATTATTATTTTTTTTAATAAAATTATTTAAATTAAAATTTATTTAATTTTTATTATTTTTAATTTTATTATTAATATTTTTTTCCATTACATTATTATTTTTATAGCTATTAATATTAAAAGCTTTATTTAATTTATTATAAAAATCTTTTTTATTTTACGTATTTTACGCCATTGCTTTTTTACCTGCCACAATAATTTCCCCGTTAATACATAAGTGTTTTTAAACCATTAAATTTTCCATTGTTTTTTAAAACGCCAGGTAAAAATTATTTGCCGTTAAAGTTTACTTAACTTTTTTTTTTAACTTTTTTGTTTAAATTTATTTATAATATTAACTTATATTAAAAAAATATATTAAATATATTTTTATTTAAATACGGCTTTATTTATAAGTTTAAACAAATATAATTGTTTAAATAATAGTTAAATAAAAATTAAAAAGTTAATTAATATTATAAATAAAAATAAAACGAAATAATTTATATAAATTTATAATTATAATTATTATAAATATAAATATAATATTTATTTAAATTACTTATATAATTATAATAATTAAGATTTAATTTATAAATAAAAAAAAAATTGTAAAAATAATAAAAGTAATATATATTTTTTGGAATAATATATGTTAAATTAACGTATTATTAAGAAATAAAAGTTATAAATTTAATAAAGTTATTAACTGGGATAAAAAATTAACGCTTTAATAAAAGGTTAATAAAATATAACCGATAATATAAATAATTATTAAATATAAAAAATAACGCTATAATTATTATATAATAATTATATTTTATATATATTATATAAAATTAAAAAATATAATTTATTTAATAAATTAATTAAAATAGTTAAAATAAATAAAACGGCATAATACTTTCCGGTATAAATTTTATAAAAATTATTTTTAATATAATATTTTTTATTGCGTTAAATAAAATTTAATATTAATAAAACGTTAAAATTAAAGTTATTATAAATAACCGTTATATTAATTATTTATAAAATAAAAGTTTTAAAAATTAAATTAAAGATTAAATAAAAAATAATAAAAATACGGGAAATAAAAAAATCCGGTTTTAAATAAAGGCCGAAAAAACGTATATAATAAACGTTAATAACGTTAAAAATTTAAATTTGTTAAATTTTATTATAATAAAATATAATAAATAAATACGTTAATAAATAAAATTATAAAAAAATAAAATTATAATTAAAATAAAAAGTTAAATTTAAAAAATTATATTGCATTAAAAAAAGGTTTAAAAAAAAAAGTTAAAAAAATAAATTAAAAAAATTTTTTATTTATATAAACTTTTTTTACCAAATTATTTTAAAGTTATTATTACGATAATGTAAATAATAATTATAATAAAAAAAATGTTTTAATATATTGCTAAAATATTAATGTAAATTTTAAATAATATATATAAATTTATTTATTAAGTTTATTTTTTTTATTATATATTATAATAATTATTATTTAATTCGTTTTTAAAATAAATTATTATTTATATACGTAACTTTTAATAATATTAATAAATTTAAAAATATAATATATTACTTTTATTTAAAAAATATATTACATAAAATAAATAACTGTAATTATAATATAATTATTATAATAATTATAAAAAATTATAACATTAATTATAATTATTATATAATTAATTAATTATATAAAAATTACGTTATATACAATTATATTTTAAATAATTTAAACTTTTATATATCATTTACAATTACCATATATTATTTATAACATTATTATAACTTTTAACAATTTATTAATTAAATTTATGCGTTTTAAGTTTTTTAAAATATTAAAAGTGGCCATAATAACTGTAACAATTATATTATAACAATTGTAACGCATTAACCGTAACATCGGTCGTAACGGTAGCCGTAATACATAACGATAACCGTAATAAACGTTAAAATTTGGTATAAATATGTAAAAAAAGTTAAAAATTTAAGAAATAATATTATTAACTTTAAATTATTAAAAAAAAAAAAGGATTTTATATTATATAATTATAAAATATTAAATTATTATATTTAAATATTTTATATAAAGTTTAATATTAAATAATTAAAACGTTAAAAATTTTTAAACGTTAAAATTTAATATATAAAAATATAATATTATATAAATATGTAAAAAAACTAAAAAAATAAATTAAATATATTATTAACTTTAAATTATTAAAATTGAAAATATTTCGTATATTATTATGGTATATTAAGTTATTATAAATATAATATTTAATTTTTTTATCATTAACGAAAACGTTAAAGACCCTTGCATTGCCGTACAGCCTTAAACCAGAAATTTTCGAATATTTTGCCCGTAATCCACAGGTACAAACACACAGACCACGCGTTGCGTGGCGCAGGCGGGCGCAGCCCGCCTCGAAAATTTCGGGTCTGAGGTCACCTGAGATAAATCTAAGCCAAGTTTAATGTTGCACTTCAACCACGATAATCAAATTAAATCAATCGTATGAACATAAATATTCTCATATATCTATATATATATTGATGTGAAGGAGCGTACATCATAAATGCCAAGAATATAACTCATTTATTTTTCCAACCAGTGAACGAAAGCCTCAGTTCACTATGCTTAATGCCAGATTATCCAAGATCGTGCTGCCAAGGCACTGCTCTCCTTCATTAGGTAGCCACGTCAATCCTCCCATATCTACAGGGCGGATATTCTCCAGATCGCTCTCTAGCCTTTATATCGATGAACGGAATTAGACAGCAGAGCAGATGATCTTCCACGAGGCCCAGTTAGCGTTGGGCGGGGGGACGTCGCTGCAAGTGCTGGTCTCGAGACGTGTGGTGCCGGAGGTGCAGATGTTGTTGGTAAAGACGTAGACTATTATCCCGGTTAGTTAACATATTCTCATCGCCAATATTAGTTAATACGGAACCGGAGACTTACAGCTGCAGCTGTCGGCGGCAGGGCTGTTCATGGCCTCCAAGACGACGGACTTAACACCGGGGGGAGAGGGCACGCCATCGAAGGTCTTGCAAGCGTTGGCGTCGGACGCGTCGACGGTGTAGAATCCCTGGTTCAGCTCGCTGCAACCTTCAGCGCCGAAGACGCGGAACTGGGCGAGACGGGCACCGTCACGGGGAACGGCGTTGGCTTTGGCGCCGAAAGCGAGGGTGGCGGCAGCGGCGAGGAAGGTGGTGAACTGCATTTTTGTGATGATGGTTTAGAATTGAGTAGAATGTGTTGGTGATGTTGAGAACGGGTGTGTATGAGTTGTTAGATGCTTTGTTATCTGAGACTGATCGATTGGAGGCTAGAGATCGCAGTCTCTTGCCTCCCTTTTATAATGACATGAGGTCTCCTCATATCATATTGTCGGTGCCTAAAGTCCATGGTGTCTAGACATTCTGTATGTAGGCTTTGCATCTCGCGATTCCCGCCCGTTGATTTTTCGAACACGATGTTTCCGCGCATCTGATCATGCAAAGCGACGACGCAAGGAGTGCTCTGTGGACTGAGCCCTAGGATAAGCCACACCCCGGTCAAGTTGCTAACAGGTAGCTGAGGACAAAGCAACCAATCAGAAATAACGGGGTAGTTGAAGATCTCCCCGAAATGGGAATTACCGTCTTATGCATCATCTGTAAGAAGGATCACCGCCTCCCGACTTGTGGGGTTGAGGGCATGTCAAGTAACGTGTAACTTGACATGTTTACGACAGAGATCGGCAGTCGGTGGAGATCTTCACTGGTTGGACTAAAAATGGCAATGCTGGGATCGCTCGTATGCCTCACCTCAGCTCCGAGAAGCTTGTATGAGGTCAAAGCTTTACATCGTTGACAAGACCAACATTCTGTAACTAATGTAAGTCTTCTGGAAGGTAGAAATATTAAAAATTCCCCGATTGGATCGTACTCCAAGAACTCCATAGAAAACCCATGGCCCGCGTAATCTGACAAGGTGTTTACCCCGTGAAATCCGGCATTGCGGCTGGACTGGATCGAATGAATCTACGCCACGGTACCACTGTCTGGAGCATCTTGTAGTCCAGTATAACGCTATTTGATATCAAAAAAATAGCCAGAGAAGTGTCTGTTACATCAGCCTATCGCTGACGCATGTGTATTCATACAAGTCTTTTGTAAGGGGGCATTAAGCAGCGAAGGATTTAGTTAAAGCGGTGTTTACGTACCTACATATGTCTTAGATAGTACGTACTCGTATCTACTTTACCCAAACATCAACATAATATTAAACTGGAGTTGATTTGTGATCACAGCCAAGTTCAATTATACGGTTGCCTTCTCGTATTTGTATCGACTAGGAGTGATGACCGCGTGTCTATCGCGGTGTGCTTTATTTTAACGACCAGTCACATCCAGTCTTGCCACAGCACAGCACCCGATCGTCGAACGAAGGGAACGCCGAAGTTCCCCAAATGAAATTTACGAGGAAACCCGACAACCGACGTGGTACAACCATGTAACAACTGGTTGTTTGCTGTCTAATAATAGCACATGCAAAAGCCTCAAGTTGAAGTGTTACTCTATGTTTGCCTAGGTACTTAATATCACCAAGTTCAATGATATCTTCTAAGATGAATACTTTTAACTAGTTACCTCTTCTACAGTTTCTACTATGTAATAGTAATCGTCGCAACATCACTTTGATACCGACTTTTCACAGCCTCTTTAGAACAACAACACCCCTGTAAACTCTTACACGACACTTTGGTAACCAATTAGCTACGGCAGGAGTTGAAACATATGTCATACCCAGTAGACATCTCAACTTCCAGTTCGCTACCGTGTGCATTCTCCACTACAGACAACGACTTAAGACCTAGCACATGCACTTTCTGCTATAGCTAAAGCAACTTCAAGCAGTCGGTTTCAATACGATCACGGAAACCAACTGCAAATTAAGGATACGGTAAGTTCGGACTACGGAGAAAATGTTACTTAGCTTATAAAGTAATCCGTATTACTTCTCGTTACAACTCCGAGGCATCCGAGATTCACAGCATGCATATCCCGAAAGGTAAACTTCCAACGAAGAACATTAACCTTACATCATATAACTTAGAGAACAAGCCTAGGTAAGGAACGAGTAAAACCAAACATCATTCCCAACCCCTATCCCCTATCCCCTTAACACAATAAAGAGAAGAGAATACGACTAGATGTTGCCCGCATCGAGAGTCTCATGTAACATGTTACGTCCCCCCCTAAAAACTTCATTTTCCCTTATATCTTCGGACGATGCATTGCCAGCCCAAGCACCTCTTACAAAGATGAGTCCAACAGACCAGCCGCCCGAATCCAGAAATCAAACCAAACAGTAACAAGAACCCAAAATCTGCTGCATACCATAGAGACAGAAAGCCCAGACAGAAGCCTATCATCAACTTCGTAACCTCCCGTTCCGGCGCCGGGTCAAGGGAAACATCCAACCAAGCCAACTATTAGCCCCAAGCAACTAACAACCCAGATAGAAAGCAAAAGGACAAGAAAGACACCCTAAAATTGACACTCAATTTCCCGCCTGACCTACGCCAACTCAGAGTACCAGAAGAAGGACACGGTCAGTTGTTGTTATTGTTGTAGCCGTTGTCGTTATTAAACGCGTCATATATAGGGTCGTCGAGTGGCACCATCATACACACAGCATGCTCGCCATTGTCTTCGCCGCCCGCATCCCCATCCCCATCCCCATCACCAGAGGCAGCACCCTGGGTATTCTCGCCCGCGGGGGAAGGACGCGGGTTCGTAGGAAATCGAGATAGGCGTGGTCTCCCTCTTCTTGCCATGATCGACTCCCGCAGCCTATTCTCGATCCTCTGCATCGACAATATCGCGGGGGGTGGCTCCGGGACACCGCGGCGAAAAGGGTGGTGCTGCCTCGACATGTTCATCCTGAACTGCGCCATCTGCTCTTCCCTCCGTATGTTCTGCATAGTTTCGGCCTCCTGGATCTCCTGCCTTTCCCTGAACTCCCGTGTCTGGGCTTCCATTGGCTTGTATTGCGCCGCCATTAAGCGTGACCCAATAGATCCTAGATACTGGTGTCCGACGTTTGGATTATCCGATGTTCGTTTGTCATTTGTGTACAGCTGGGCCACTCGTGCAGCTGGTTGTTGGTCTGTCTTTGCCATGCGCTCGTTTCTCTGATATTCATGGATAGTCTGGCTTGTCGCCTGGTGCCGCTCAGATGAGTAATTCTTCTCCAATTCGGCTTGCTGTCCTCCCTTGTGCTGTACCTCGGCAAGTAGCTTCTGAGTTTGCTTCCTAGATATTATGATTTGCTCTTCAAGTCTACGCACTACGGCGCTTGACGTTTTGTCTGAGTAGTAGTCCGTTTGAGTGCCTATGGATGCCTTTTGAATGGAGGAGCTATCGACATGGAGACGGTCATTCTCTTCTGTTAGGATCTTGTTGACCTGCTTTAAGTCTTCGATTTCCGACTTGTGATGCTTGATTTCGTTGTGTTGTATTGTGACGAGTCTCTCCAGGCTTTCCACTTGCTGCGAGACGATACGTGAAATGTTTCGCTGATCCGAGACTGAATTAGTTACTATTCTGAGTTCTTCGCGCAGGGCTGAGACCTCCTGATCTCGCTCCGCCTCTTTCTGGATAGCCTCCGCTGTAGCCTTTAAGCTTTCCTCGAGAGCCTCACCCATTTCCTTATGGCACTTGATTTCGCACTTGAGATCTGCTCTATTCTCACAAAGGACGTCAAATAATAGCTGGGCTGTCCTGCTAGCTTGTCTAAGTTTTCTAGCTTCATTCTCGACTCTCATTTCGCTTCTTTTTAAAGCCTCTCTGAGATGATGTCTTTCCCTAAGCAGTGAGCTTACTATCTTCTCTGCGGCGTTGCAGTTTGAGTCCAGAATTTTCTCTAGATCTCGAATCTGATGCTTCGCTCCATTGATCTGTTCGTTCAAGTCAGTTATTATAGCCGCACCGTCCCTAGCTACTGTGCAACTCGAGAGTGGTCCAGACCCAGAGCGCTCCTGGCGAGAGACAGCTCTCGACCAGCTTTCGGGTGGTCTCAGAAACTCTTGATCCATTGGATGATGTCGAATATATGTATTTTCACACTCGCTTTCGACGATATCTAAGCCCGACGGTTGTATGTTTGCATTGTAAAAGAAGCAGACACAACAGGCTCTACCGGGAGAGAATTTAGCAGCGTGGGAGAAATAGCACGCTCTCGTCATCTCAACACTTTTTCTATCGGAAGACGGTCCCATTCTCCAAAACAGGTACCCAAACTTAAAGCATTGCTTTGAATTTGTTTCTCTTGGGTCAGGGCGTCAAAACGAGCATTGATCCTAATCGTTCGGGCTAGATTTCGTTTTATTGTCTCAGTATCGTTAATTTGAGTTCGAAGAGATGTACTTCCACGATCATGCGACAAAGAGCCAAGACCCTTTGGGAAAGGTTTGAGGGGATAAGCCAACACATTAAAGTATGATTACCGAGTTCAGTCGTTGCTATGCGAAAAGGGGTAGTTTAGCGGTAGCACGGGACACCAGATTAAGTTTTATTGAGCACAACTCGATGAGAGTTTAGTGGTGATACTTGGGACTGACTGTTGGCTGATGGGTCAGAAAGCACAATCAAGTGAAAGCAGTAAGGCAATTGAAGGCGCTTATCAACGAAGCATTAGAGTTAGGGTTGAGCCATAATCACTATGGGTGGTAGGATAGAAAACGAATCATAATACCTTAGGTACCCAGGTATCATAAATAATAAGACCGACAAGGCCCTATACGGGCTAGCATATGATAGGGTTATAGGGTATAAGTATTGAATTCCGTTTCTATATATGCCGAGATAGAGCAGATGGTCCTCCCACTGTCCTCGGTGCAGTAAAGTAGCGCACAGGGTACCGCTCCCAGATCAACCCCATATGAACAAGACAAAATGAAGACTGCCACGCTTAACTTTTGTGCCCTTAACCATCCGGCACGCCTAAGCGTGGCACTCCTTAGCGGCGCGCACGATATCCCCAGTGGCCGCCACAAGCAAAGGGACCTGCCGTTTACCATGTTCGTGCCCCGCGATACACCTTGTTTTGCTGATATATCAGTCAACCTGCTTCTCGCAGCCGATGCGACCGAGCAACTCCTTACGATCGCTATGGCCGGGTAAACTGACACCAGAAGAACTTGCGCCTCTTTTAACGCCTGTCCGACGCTCCCACCCCTTCAAATCAATAGCTTCTACGCCAACTTCTTCCTCAAGTGGTTGTGCCTCTTCGTATTCGGTTTCTAGCTCATTTTCATCCCTTTCGTCGTCGCTCCTAGTATCATCGGCGCCGTCCCCCTTAACCACCCGGATGGCAACATTGATAATCATGAAGAACCAGAAGATGGTGAGGACTTGGAGACCAAGTAAACAATTTAGGAATCCCCACTGAATTGAGCTGGAGAAACAAACCGTACCCTCAGAGCCATTAAATGGCTCTAGAACGTGACCCCATCCATCAGGGATAGGCAACGGTCCCGTCAGGTTTGAATTTGGGCCACGGTAGCAGCCCCAGGTGATTTGCTCAGGCAAATCCTTGTAAATACTGTAGCATGTCATAAGGTAAAATATATGTCTGGCCACAAACCACGACACCATGAAAACCACAAACGTGGCATCACATAGCTTTGAGAACCCTAGGTATTTCAAGCATTTTGCCAGCTAATATTGTAGTTAGCTAAATGGAGCTAAGTAGTATTTAGGGGCTTAAATAATTCAACTTACTGGGAGGAACAAGTCGACCACATCCATAAGAACCAAGATAAGATTACCAACTCGAGTATGGCAATAGTAGTAACACCCGGAAATAAGCGTGATCGTGATGAAGTGATGGGTGAGCATCTGATAGTGGTCCTTTCTGCGGTCTTCCATGTGGATAACAAGGACTTGCTGTACCCAGAAAGCCCATTGCGCCAGTATGTAGCCTTTCATGAGCCCGTCGAGTTCCCTATTTGGCCAGCCAGTCCAGAGCTCCTTCATGTTGAGAAAGTAGGCTGAATTGACGTATAAATACTATTTGAGGGTCATTTGTTAGTATAATCGTTAGATATCGGATGGGTAGATAGGTAGGTATGCGCATAGCAAACCTCCTGCGCCTGTGTGGCATTAAGGGGGTTTCATACCGTGCCAACCGTCCAAAAAACGCTGTAGTAAACCAGCATCCATGCCTGCTCAGAGAACCTAGTAATGTCTTTCCTCTTGGAAATACCCCATTGTCTGGCCAATGGTGACAGTATGTGTTCCATCAAACAAGCGCGGAGTCCAGTGAAGAGAACTATGCAGAATGAAATAAAGTGGTAATCGTTCGTCCCAATTGAATATTTCCCAGATTCCGGGTTGTAGTACGAGAGGGTAAAAAATTTGGAGGTGTGAGGGCGCGCTTTAGGAAGGCATATGTGCGTGAGGAAGATCAAAGTGATCAAGTTGAACGAGAGACCTATACGATTGGAAACTATTAGCGATAGCAAAGAGCGTATGGGAATACTAGCTAGCAGTGCGATACTACTGTCGTGGAACAGAGCACCGAGCAGGACCATACACACTCCATGATGGGGAGGGTTTGAAAATAGCTGTGGGATGGACTTTGTAGGTAAGTGTAAACATACCAGTTTGATTCTCGAGAAACCAACGAGCCAAGCCCCTCATGGGGCCATCGTCTTTCCTCTTTACTCTCCGAACTAAGACCTTATTTTTGCTGGTCTGCATGTACAGAGGACCGTTCATTGAGCTCCGCGACTTCACTGGCGGCCTCGCCGCGCTTGTCTTGGGCTTCTCGACTTGAGGCTCCATGGTTGTGGTAGACTTTGTTGTATCCCCAAGGTCTGTGGGAGGGGCATTGGCCTCGGGTTCGTTCATATTCAAATCGAAATGTCCGCTAACAGTCCGGTTGCAACAAGTTCTGTATGTTTAACCGTGAATCTGTGCGGATATGTCGGCCGACGCAACAAGATCAGCGGGGAACTTTCGTAAAATCAGAACCAGTGATAGCCAGTGATATACAATAACGAATGCCTCACACGTCAATCGATTGGCGGCGGATGCGAGTAACGGGTGGTAACGGGAGTTAGGACACGAAAACAAATGCCACAAACAGACAAATCATCACTCTTATTTTAGAAGAACGAATGTGTCCAACGAACCCCCGGAGCTGTATACAGGGGACATTGATCTGGTCTGGACCACCTGGACAGGACTGAAGGCAAGTTGTTTTTGAAGATGTTGAAGTGAAGGTGGGCCCCTCCCCACTGCTGTAAGTTTTTTGATATGTAGGTAGATTCGAGGATGAGCGGTCAGAGCGGTGAACCGGGAGGAAAAGAAGAAAAAAAAAAGGAGGAGGGGTGGTCGAGCTACACTACCTAAGGTTAAGTACTTACCTAGTAGGGCATCATCTCCTTCTAACAGGGGATTAGTGGGGTATATCAATACATTTTAGTGATATCCGATCGCTATATCGTCGATAACCAGGCCACTTAGGTAATTGTAGATAGGGGACCCCCTTCATGGCCAAGAGGTTTTCGTCCTTTTATTACGTGCACAGAACCCGTACCTTTGGCGAAATGGAGATAAGCCAAGGGTATGGATCAGCGATCGATATACATACTTACATGCCTCTCAAACATGGTAACATCTGATTTTTTGTTGAGACCCTTTTGCATCAGTAACGTTAAAAGACCAGGTAAAGTTTAATAAAAGGCCAACCCATCCACTTTGCACGTGATGTAGCCACCACAAGCCATTAAAAGCCACCACGCACGGCCATGCAAAAAATGGCCCGTTCGTTCGACCCAATATAAATACTCCACTTGCATTGTAACCACATAATTTTTATTAAAATAATAAAATAAAATAAATATAAAAAATATATTTAAACGTTATAAAAAATATAAAAAATATAATAAATTTAAGAAAAATTAATATATTTTTAAATGATTTTATTTTAAATTTTTTAATTTAATTTAATAAAAAATAAAAATAAAAAAAAAATAAAAATAATAAAAAAATAATAAAAAAATAATAAAAAAATAATAAAAAAATAATAAAAAAATAATAAAAAAATGATAAAAATTAATAATAAAAATAATAAAATAAAATAAAATAAAATAATAAAATAAAATAAAATAAAATAAAATAAAATAAAATAAAATAAAATAAAATAAAATAAAATAAAATAAAATAAAATAAAATAAAATAAAATAAAAATTAAATTTAAATTTACATAAATTTATTATATTTTTTTAACCTTTTTTAACGTTTTAATATATTTTATAAAATTGTAAAAATTAAATTTAAAATTATATTTTTAGCTGCATCCGGGTGAATATTTACCCGAATCACGTGTAATTTAAACTGAAAATTTTGTCATTTTTTTATTTAAATAATGATATTTTTAAAAAAAAATTCAATCGAAATTTCGCAAAGTTATATTAATATATAAACTTTTTAAAAATAAAAATATATGGTCATAATATAAGTACAGCGTATACAAAAAGTCGAACGAACGGGCCATTTTACGTGGCTATGCGTTGGCTGTGGTGGCTTACATCACGTGCAAAGTGGATGGGTTGGCCTTTTATTAAACTTTACCTGGTCTTTTAACGTTACTGCTTTTGCATATGTGCCTAGCCTGATAACTTGAACTTGCAGTGCATACCAATTTAAATGATAGCTTTCCAGGTTAGTGCTACATGTTCTTAATATACAAGCTTAAAACGCCACGAAAAGTAAACAAGCTACTTTATAGCTTCTTCTTTTCTCTTTTAGATAACTTATAGTAGCCAATTGATTAGGTGAAGCTTAGGAGAGTCTACGTATTGTACTACGATTCGTTTCAAGAGCCGGATCGCCTGCTTTGATGAGTTCATGGCATCTTATTCTCTCCTATTCTTTCCCCGCCGCAAGCTTCCCATCTCCAATGCAACCTACTTTTACCAGAGCTGTTTGTGGATATGAGTGGCCAATGGGAGCTAACTGCTCCGGGACTGACAACTTTACTGCATGGATTTGCTTTTATATCACCTTTCCACATGGCATCCTAGCGAATAAGCTGCGCCGAATTTCGCACAACCATACATCTAACGTTCTCGTGTGTTGTCGCTTATTCCCCGGACATTCTTCGCGAGCGGGGAATCCATGTGGAGTGCTGTGACTTTCCGGTATATAAGTTAATTGCGAACCACCAGACACTCTTCAAAGAGAGAACTAATGATTTTTAATTAAAAGTTGAAGATTTCTTCAATAATACTTGGCAAGTAACCTGGTAAATCATAAATGTGCGTTCGGTACGTATGTGAATGAGGTAAGTCGGGATATGATAAGTGATTGGTCGTAAGTTGCACAATGCAGCATATATTGAAAAATACAATAAAGTCATTTAGAAAGTCATGTTTGAAAAAGTCTGGAACTGCAGAGACTCAGCTAGCCTTTTCGACTTCCACACGTCGCCCCGCACTTTTAAGTTCTTACCTAGGTAGGTACCTATGTACTAACCATACTCAAGCCACATGTTAATCTGGGTTAAACCTAGGTAAATCAACAGCCAATCAAAACCGAACAGATAATGACTAAGAATTTCTTGTCGATAGTACCAGAAACATTGAGAAGAACCATGGACCCACTATTCGTTTATCTATGACCGCGCTCTGACACTGCACAGCCTTCCCGCACCTGCCTAACTAATGACCTACAGTAGGTACTTACCTTAGGTACATTACCTACATTGCGCCCCGCGATTCGCCCGCCGCGAGTTTCTAGCGGCCACCTCTCACCTAAAACAACCTCCATCTTTCCCATCACCAGTAGATCATTACTCATTTGTGCTTGCTCTGTCCATCTATCATCAGCCACGACGAACCCTCTATTATCGAGAGCGTCTACGGATAAGAAAAACACGATGGCCGCTAATACCAAATATACCCCGGCGCCCACGCAGGATCCCGACGCGGCAACCTGGTCGCAGGCTCCCCCGTCGTACCAGTACGCTGGATCGAACAGCCCACCGGCCGCGCTCTTCGGCGATGTCCCGCGCAGCAGCGAGGACAACATCCCCGACGACTTCAAGTTCGGCGGGTCTATCGCCGAGGCGACGATCGATATCCGCAACCAGTTCATTCGCAAAGTGTACACCATCCTCACGGTACAGCTTCTCGCCACGGCCGTCGTCAGCGGCTTTAGTTTTTGGAACGATGGCTACAAGACTTGGATCCAGTCGCACCCAGGTCTTGTCTGGGCCTCGGTATGTTAAAACTGTCTTTCCCTCGAAGTAGGTAATATGTTTCTGAATGATGGAAGCTAACATGATGATGCTTACAGCTTTTCGGCTCCATGGCTTTCCTGGTTCTGACCTATTGGAAACGCAAGTCCTACCCGACGAACCTACTCTTTCTCTCCGGATTCACCCTGCTCGAAGCCTACACCATCTCAGTTATCGTATCCTTCTACAAGACACAGATCGTGCTCAACGCTGTTATCCTGACTGGCGGCATATTCGTCTTCCTGACGCTGTTTGCCTGCCAGACCAAGTACGACTTCACTTCCTGGATGCCGTACCTGTTCGGTGCGCTCTGGGGTCTCTTGCTCTTCGGCTTCATGATGGTGTTCCTTCCTAGCAGTAGCACCGGTGAGCTCATCTACGGCGGACTGGCCGCTTTAATTTTCTCGGTTTACATCTTGGTCGACACCCAGCTCGTCCTCCGCAAGCACCACGTCGAGGAGGAGATTGCTGCCGCGATCAGCTTGTACCTGGACATCATCAACTTATTTTTGGCCATTCTACGCATCCTAAACAGCCAGAATAACAACTAGGCAAGTTGAAGAGGGTTGGCGAGAATGATCTCGGTTGTAATAATATGAACATCAAGTTAAACACGGAATTGTAGACTTCCTTTCGCAGAGAGGACAGACGCAAAGAATTTTTTTGAGAAAATCAGCTGTCCTAGACGTTATGGTAGAGCTTGTATTGTTTCCTTGTGTTGTTGTATGAGTTTAGGGGATGGCGTCTTAGGAAGTAGCAACTTGAGCTTAGTATTAAGGGGTTGGGTTGCTAAAACTAGGAATTTGGTTTGTAGCATGGTATAGTTAGTTACGTCGGGATAGGCAAACTCCCAGCTAGCATAAATGCTAAATGTTTCTTATTCAAAGCGTCCTGATACCTAAAAACTGCAAATAAGTATCAAGTTTTGGAAATAATCCTAGCGACAAGATCAAATTTTCGTCGGCTGTGGGGGAATGGTATAACGAAATAGTGTACTGGCTCAGTATTTATTTTCGCCTATACTTCCATGACAGCGTCTTTGTACCATAGCAATATAATATCATCACTAGAACCAGCGAAAATCTAGACCGCGAACGTAACCGTAATAGACATCAAAGAAAGCTCATATTGATATCTGCATTAGAAGGCACTAATACTAGGAGAAAAAGGGGGCATAAAAGTAGAAAAGGCTACATAGTTGGCACTGGTAAAACGGACATTGACTCGCAAAAGATACAAAGGTAGGCGAACTGTCTCCTCTACCACCTTCAGTTTGTCCACAGGACGACGTGTCATTAGATATGAAAAATTGGGAAGACAAACACTGCTTCCCTTTCCCACTGTGCTATCGTCCCTCTTCCGAAAATTGGGCATGCAATAATTGCAAGGGGATATCAACTCTGGCTTTTATTCCTGACAAGTTTTCACCAAGCCCTCTGCTATTCCGCATCCCACGCAATCATTAATTTTGTTGGATTTTCGTATAACGCGTCATCTTGAATGGCTTTAAGGGGTCAGAGACTAGGGGATATCAAACACCCAACGCCACAATCCGTACTGCTAGCTGGCCGCCGATATACCAGTAGTAGGAGATAGGAAAGATGTCGTTCTAGGATACTTAGTTGGCTTCCTGTTCGCCATTCGCTTCCGGTGTGCCTGCGGCGGCAGCGGCCTCTCGTGCCATTCTCGCTTCGATTTCGCGTAGTTGGGACTCGCGGGCCAAAAGCTCCTGTCGTTTTTCGTTGATCTCGCGCTGGACCTTGACCTCGATTTCGCGGAGCTTCTCCTCTTCTCGGCGAAGTTGCTCTTCCTTTAGACGGACAGACTGGGAAGCTAAATCCTCAGGGTTCATGGAAGAATCACTGTAAGTAGCACGTTAGAAAATAGTCATAATAGTCCGTCAAAGGCGACTTACACTCCAGCACCACCCTCAACGCTCTTGCTAAGCTTCTCAGTACGGTAATTCTCGTATAGGAAATCGTGGGTAATCTCCTTCAGATCAGCGAGATGGCTGTGAAGGAGAGCTGATCGAATGGCCAGGAAGTCAGAGTGACGAGGGTTGTCAACCTCAACAACACCCCAAGGATATTGCCGGGCTCGGACTTTACGACCACCAATCTCGATAACATCTTCGGAGCCAACTATAGCAAAGGGCATTAGACCTCTGAGCTCGGCGTTCTCCTCAACGGTATCCTCATCATCCTCTTCGATATCGTAAGGGAAGTTGTACACGGGGATTCGGTAGTGCTCAATGTCCTCCATAACAAGCTTCTTCGACTCGGCCAGCTCGGCGGGGGTCAGCGAATCGGCACGGCCAATAACGGGAATGACGTTGACACGGGGAGCAAGGCGCTTCATCAGTTCGATGTCGAGTTCACGGAGACTGCAGACAATGAGTATATAATAACGTTACTAGTCAAGAGGCAGCACATACCCATGACCAGTGGGAGTAATAAAGTATAGCATAGCATGTACTCGGTTGTCCCTGAATCTGGGGTTTCGCTTGATACGCGACTCCTCGGCCAAGATGTCGTCATATTGTCTCTCGAGATACCCAACAATCTCTGAGAAGCTATGGATGAAAAGCATTAGTGGACGTTGTAGGTGTTGTTCTTAGATATTAAATCGTACCTTGCCTCATTGTCAATTTGGTCACCAAAACCCGGGGTATCAACAATGGTCAAAGAGATACGGGTGCCCTCTTCGTCCAATTCGAGCTCTACGGCGGAATGTTAGAGCTTGCTTATTACTCCCTGGGATAAACAATAAACTAACCAACAGTGATGGGCTTGATCTTGACACCATCCTCGACGTGAGCGGCAGTAGCGTCGTCAGAGTCCTTGTGAGTCAATACACTCTTGCTGCAGAGGGTGTTGACGAATGTCGTTCTTCCTACATAGTAAGAGCTACGATTAGTATCTCTATTATGCTGCGTGGTTGATAGCTTGATGATTTGAGGGAGATGGTACGTGGAACGCGTCAAGACTAAGGGGAGCTATGTATACCTGTTCCTGAAGCACCGCAGACCATCAAGCAGAACTGAATTCCCTTCTTGACGTTCTTCTTCCGGCGCATCATCTTCTGCGAACGCATCATGATTGATTAGCAGCTACAACGAGATTATACAACTATGGTGGATGGAGAAGACGAGAGTAGGATAAAGAGGCAAGTGACAATGCAAAGTGCAAACATGGAACGCGAGGTTCGTTTGGTTGCAGCGTGATAGGGAGGCTCACCGCTGGGGCCGACATATTAGGCTAATGCTTGGGTTTCGCAATGGGGTGATTAGGTCCGCTAGCAAAAAGAATTGAAATTACAATGATTGACGATGGTAGGTTTCGTCAAACGGAACGGGATCTTCGCAAATGGGGGTATCTAAAAACGGCGTTGTGAAAGGGGGGGTGTGATCACAGCTTGGGTGTTGATGAAGGAAACCAAAGAAGATTTGAGAAATGTTAGGGATTCGCTTCGCCAAAGCTATTGACGGCTCTCTCCTTCCCTCTTCTCCAGAAAAAAGTGTAATTTCAACACCACAAAACGGTTGCTACAGAGGAGACCGGACAGGGGTTATGGGGCCACTAGAAAGGCACCAAATCAGAGCACGGATCACTTTGTATCTCCCCCGAATTCAGGGGCTCATCAGGCTTTGATAGGTACCGCAAGAGCTAATGGGAGGTACTAAAGTACATAATACCTAGGTATTTAATTGGACAGGTGGACAAGCTAGGGTCGACCCAGCACTACTTCCCCATGTCAAATTAACACGAGGCTGGAGATGCAAGAGAGTGTAGGTAATTCAACCGTAACTTCCACTTCATCATCTTTAAAGTTCCAAATACAGGTAAATTTACAAGTACCTAGGTACATATCTAAGATAGAATTGAATATTGGAAGACCGGCACCTGGGCAGTTAGGACACAGCCACAGCTTCAACGGTTCATGCTGTAACGCCACTAAAAAGGTTGCAAATAGAGGAAGAGCTCTCAGGCCATTCCTCCCCTATGTACAAAACAATGGCCGGGGGGCAAGGCCGACCTAATAAGACCTGGAGCATGTGGTCCGTGCACATACATCTTTAAATCTCCATAGCATCTTACGTACCCATGGAACTCTCACGTGTACTGTACCTGCGCAACATATTACGCCCCATCCCAAGTAATCGCCTGGACCAGACTTGTGATGCTAATCAACCAACTTCATCGGTTCAAAGGCTTACCATTTTCTCTCATTCTCATTCAAAAGCTTGTATAGATCCAGTATCTGATCCTCTGAATTATATCATTCCTAATTCGTTCGACGTTTCATCAGCCCTGACTCATCTCTGGCCCCGTTGGCTGCCTGCATGTAGGACAGGTACTAGGAAAGCTTAGGCAGGCCAGTGCTTATCGTCGCATTCCATCTATAGGTCCGTTTATCTAAAGGCAGTCCTAACGGAAAGCTTCACGAATGTGCGATATAGCAATGATCTGGGATACCGAGACTCTACCCGAACTCTCTGGTTCCTCTTGAGACTCAGTGTCATTCATTCATTCATTCATTCGTTTCGTTCACTTCGTCCATTGTGGTCGTCGTGGTCATCGTGGTCGTTACTCTCGCTAGCCTACTTTTATCTATTCTTAGTATCAGCATAGACTTATAAAACAGCCATCATGAATACTCGACCAGTCATCGAAAACCCCAGCGAGCATGCTGCTCTTTCTGTCACCTTCAACCATGACGCAAGTCGATTTGTTGTTGGCTTAGACTCGGGGTTCTGCAGTATGTTTTCGATGGCATACCTTTTAGCTTATACATTCCACTCACTTACATGCTTGATAGTCTTCCTCTCAAATACTTGCCAAATACAAACAGCAAGAGGTACGTTGTGATGCCTATCAATTTACTAGAAATAAATCTTACAAGTGTTAGTTTTCAATGCGGGCCTAGGTCTAGTCCAAATGATGGGCAACGCCAATTACCTTGCTCTTGTTGGTGGCGGCCGCTCACCCAAGTTCCCACAGAACAAGGCCATAATATGGGATGATAGCAAAGGCAAGATAGGCCTAGAAATAGCTACCCTTACCGCTGTTCGCGGCGTCCAGATCTCTAAGACGAGGATTGCCGTCGTTCTGCAGAACAGCGTACGTCTATATGCTTTCCAGAAGCCCCCTACGCCACTCGCCATATACGAAACTACAAACAATTATCTCGGTCTTTGCTGTCTAACGGAGAGACATTTGGTTATCCCTGGTAGGACGCCGGGCCAAGTTCACGTTATACAGTTCGACACAGGCAGCGTTAGCATCATTCCTGCACATTCTTCAAGTTTGAGAGCGCTGCAACTAAGTTCAGACGGGGATCTACTCGCAACAGCAAGCGAGAAGGTATATGAAATTATTACTTGATTAATTCACTATGCTAATTATGTACAGGGCACAATCATCCGCATCTTCTCCACTAATAGGGGCGCGAAGCTTGCTGAACGACGTCGTGGTAGCGAGTCTGCTACTATATACTCCTTACGTTTTAGTCCATCCGGGAACATGCTAGCCTGCACCTCGGACAAAGGCAGCTTGCACATCTTCGATGTTCCTAACCCACGTAATCAACAGTTTACACCACCTCCTCCAGCTCCTAGTGGAAGCGCTCCTAATACTGAGGCGAGGAATAAATGGGGTATCTTAAGCAACATACCATTTGGTCCGTTTGCTGACATATATTCTTTTACCTCCACACCTTTTGAAACGGGGGAAGAGCCCCTTCTTCCTACCCCTCGAAACCATTCAGGGGGGGAGGCCGTACTGGGCACTAGTAGGCCAGTAAAGGGGGTGATCGGTTGGATAGACGAAAGCACTCTGATCGTCGTGGGTGCCGGGCAAGATGCGCGCTGGGAGAAATTTGTTCTCAGGGAGGGCGAAAACGGCAGATCCGTGGTTGTCAGGGAAGGCTGGAAGAAATACCTAGGGAATTAGGACGAGCTCAAGGATTATTACGAGCATAGTCCCAAGCATAAGCTAGATGAGTACCTAGGGGAACCATATAAGAGGTACTGATTTGAAATGGTCATGGGGAATCGGCGTGGAGTATATGGATTCGCGGGTCCGGCGTTATCTGGTCAGAGGTGGCGTTAGAAATCATGTTGCACTAGGATATGGGCTGGCAAGATTACCTGACTAGCGTTGACTTTTGGGGGGGTATCTTTATTAAGCGATTAGACAATATCGTCAATCTCTATACGAACGTGGAGACCTGCTTCTACTTCGTCTACTTTTACGTTCTTGGTCCTTATCCCTATCCTCGTCGTCGTAGCGGCGAGAATGCTTCTCGCGCCTGTCCTTATCGGTTTTGTCCTTATTGTCTCGGTCTCTTCGTTCCCTATCACGACGTCGATCGCGGTCGCGGTCATCGTCCCTTCTTTTCCGCTCGCGATCTCTAGAATCATTCCTTCGTCTTGGAGGCGTCTCATCCCGTTCTCGACTGCCTTTCCCAACCGGTGTTTCATCCCGTCTAGATCTCCTGTGGTGATCGCGCTCCTTGTTGTCCCTATCGTCTCTCTTAGATCTATGGGAATGGTGGTGATGCCGATGCTTATCTTTCCTATCCTTCCCCCCTTTACGCCCGCTTTCCTTTCTTAATGCTAATTCGACTTCTTTCTTCTTCTCCTCGATCAAGAAGCCCTTCATAGGGTCGTCCTCGTCGTGTTCTTCGATGAGCTTCGCTAGCTCTATCTCCTCTTTGATCATCGGGCGTCTCTCCTCTTCCTCTTCCTCACTAGCGTCTTCCATATCTACATCCTCACCCTTAGCGGCCTTCTCGCGGCGCATGATGTCTTCCCAACCAACTTTAAATTCCTCGGGGTCCTCATCGTCGCGGGGCTTGTATCGGGCGTGGTCGACCCTAACTAGGCGGCCGTTGATCTCGGCGCCTCCTAAGTTGTCCACAGCCAAATCCGTACTGCGCTGATCCTCGTACTTTAGCCAGCCGAATCCTTTGCTCTTGCCCGTTTCCTTGTCCCGCGCGAGCTTTAGGAAGACGGGCTCTCCGTACTGCGAGAATATCGTGATGATGTCACCCTCCGACAGTTCGTACGGCAGACCACCAAAGTTGACGAAGGCGGTGTCGCGGTAGTCGGTATGCCAGGAGGCTTCTGGCGATCTGGTTTGTTGTTAGTATAAAGGGGTTTTACAATGCGACTCAAGAGAAACAAAGAACTTACACCCCATTCTCAATCTCGCGTTTGTTTAGCGCTTGGATGGCGCGTATCTGATTCATAGTGTCGCATTCAACGATTGCTGTTCCAATGAGTTTTGGGGAAAGATATAAGACAAAGACAAACAAGTAGCTTGGGAAGGCTGCAAAATGGTAAGAAAGATTACTAAAAAGCTTAGCTGCAAGGCTGATTGATGACGGGGATTAGAATAATTAGAAAATGCTGTCATCACACTTTGAAAGCTCCAAACGCGACGCAAGGTACCTGTACCGCAATTTGTAGGCCGGTACCTTCTATGTATGTACTAGAAGATGAGAATCTGGTCTAAGCTTAAAAGGGCAATTATCCACGTAATTCTCTCCAGCACCTACCCTCGATGTCGTACCTACATGTATGTAACCTAGTAAGGTACCTACATAGCTGCTTCTGTAAAACCCCCTGAACGAAACCCCTGCACTGGAGAAAACGTCGGACCGTTGAAGCCTGAAGGTCCACTATAATCTATCAGTGATCTAAGGCCGGTGTTAATCAAATGCTTAGAGCTTCAAGGGGAATAAAGGTAACATGTAGCTACATGTTTCTTATGTTGAAAACGAATCGCCCTTGAAGCAGAGACCGATCAACCCAAACTATCTCACTTTTGTAATCCCCCCCCCCAGGTGTCTCATTTTGTTGAATAGAAAGAAAAGAAAGGGGAAGAAAAGTCTTGGTGACATTTCAAGCCAGCGATCGCCTTTCTCCAAACGCGGTTCACCTAAAATTCGACCTTAAGACGCGTTCTAAGGGTCTAATAGTGATCGCAACCTCAACCCCGTTACGTTAAGGGCAGTCTTAGACGCAAATAGGTCTCCCCCAATGCTACCACCAATCGACCGAAATCAAACATGACGGCCAATTCGAACCGGTTCTCCACGTATACGAGTACCTCAGTCGGTACCGGTTCGGAGGGAAAGAAGGATGACCAAAAAAGGGACATGTGGAGCTCTATGCTCGACTCCGTCGCCAGCGGCAAGAGGTTACCTGAGAAGAACTTACTGGTTCTTGGTATGAACGAGTTTCTCTGAATCGTTAGACATAAAGGGGCGACTAACAGGATCTCAGGGGGTTCCGTAGATTCGCAACGAGACTTCCTCGAAGCCCTATCGAGTAACGACGGCCGGAAAGGTATAGATCGGAATAGTCAAAAGATCCCCCCGATAGCCAATAGTTTCGCCCTTGGATATACATATTACAATGTCTTAGACGCAGATCAGGAGGGTCAGTTTATCGAGATCCGCGTAGTCAAGTTTTCTGCGCTGACCAAAACCAGACTTTCTAGCACGCATATCACTTTACCTCCTTACTAGTCCATCTCCCTCCTTTACTGAGCTCATCAAACCGCTTTTGACTCCGCAATCCATCGCAAATACATTAATAGTAATACTGCTCGACTGGTCCCAACCTTGGCTATGGATGCGACAACTTCGAGAGTGGTTGCTGCTGTTGCGAACCGTCATAATGTCCCTCAGTTCCGAGTGCAAGGAGACGATGGAGGAGGTAATGATCAGCTGGAGAGACCGTGGGCGAACAGGTGGATCCGTGAATCTAGATGGCACCGGCGCAGTTGCGGCAGAAGGGGACGTCGCACTACCGCTCGGGCCAGGAGAGTGGGAAGACGCTCTAGGCTTACCACTCTGCGTTGTATGCCAGAATGTGAGTTACTCTGGTTCAATTTGCAGGTATGGCACTAACCGGCACCGCTAGTCTGAAAGAATAGACTACTTGGAAAAGACACAAGCGTGGAAAGAGGAAAAATTCGATCTCGTGCTTCAATATCTAAGAACGGTGTTATTAAGACGTACGTCCACAGTACAAAATTTACCCTCACAGTCTTACTAATTTGCAACCAGACGGTGCTTCTCTTATTTACACAACACCATCGATGGCCTCGCCGCTGCAAAGTCTTATTCACGCCAGTCTTGGAATACACTCGTTACTGAAGCGCGGCTCCTTAAAAGCTAACGTCATTGACCGAGACAAGATTGTAGTACCCCCTAACGGGGACTCCTGGGGTAAAATTCGAGTATTACGAGATGGTTTCGACGTGGAAACGGTTAGCGAAGGTTGGTCGATAGACCTCGACCAACCTTTTCCCACAACAAAGACAAACGAGACAAACGATGCTAGCCACCAAGTAGGTGGTGACACAAGCGAAACGAGTGAGCCCGAAGGATCTTCCGTCGCACTCTACGAAGAGCAAGTCCAAGACACAAGTCTGGATGCCTTACAGTTAGCTCAAGGGAACCAAGATACGAGCAAATTGGAAGTGCCCTCAGTCGACACGCAAGCCTTCCTTGCCAATCAGTTAGAGCGACTTGATCAGCAGAAGAAGATAGACGAGAAGACTGGTAAAGTTAACAACAACACATTCGCACGAGAAAACCCCGATGATATGATCAGCGATCATATTGGTCCAGTGCAGTTTAATATGGGTGGTATTCAAGTGGATGCCGACGATATGGTACAGCGGCTTAAGGTAAGTTTCTATTCGTATCTCAAGGCCATTAATCGTTACTAACCCATCGACAGGACCGTCAAGCCTACGGACAATCCCCTGAAGCCCGCCCGGATGAAGAGTCTCGGATTGAGGAAGGAGGAACACAAGTAGATACGGATACGTTAGCCAAGTTCTTCGGCAATCTAATGAATAGAAAGCCAACAGCTGGCGGAAGTGTAAGTAAATGATGACGACGCTACGGGGTGCAACACGATAAAGGTTCATGACCGAGTTGCACGTAGCTAGCAGTAACGAGGTCATTCGTTCAATGTGAATGACTCGAACATGGAGACCATAATGAGTAATCCCGACGCATCACACTCAATCTAACGAGCAACGCATCGTGGTTCCTAACGGGTTCACACAGAACTCTCCTCCCTTCTCATTGTACAACCCCGTGTAAAAACAGGGGTTCGTGTTGGTATGTGGGTGTGGCAAGAGGATAAGGAGGGGGGGGGAAGCGCAGTAGAGCAAGGAATTACCAGAGCGGGATTTTTTTTTGGTGAAAGTTAAAGAGAAAGAGACTCGCATCAGCACTTGGAGTTATCGGCTGTCCGTCTATCTGAAAACATGCCAGTCTTTCCGTCCGGGAGAGCGAAAATCCCCTGCATCTATGGTTCGATACTGTAGAATAGATACCCCTTAAACAATACGAAGAGAACAGAAAATATGTAAAACTACCTCTACTTTGCTTGTGATACTTGCAGTTGGTGTCTACTTGGTACTTGATACTTATTCGGACTTGATTCAAAAGCTTCCATTGCTATAACTCGTTTATTTACTTGAAGGGGGTTATTTGAAATCGCGTGTACTCATAGCTATTCAAGCTAAAGACTACCTTAGTTACAGGTAACCATCGACAGGACAAGAACTTGATGAACCGTTTCTAGCCTGATAGAATGGCAGGCGTCAATATAGAATAGTGAAGTAGCAAGGAACGAAACAGCACATGCCATGGGTCTTTCTGCACTCGCCCCTTTTTCGAAACATTAGGTTGCTAAGGACCCAAATGCTCAAACCTCCTTTCCATACCACACATACTAACACTCCTACGACGATCAACTCTGAGGTAAATAGATAGCCTCCTTAGAGTCACCCCAACGAACTTCTCTCAAAAGATAGATCTCGAACCACATACGTGTCACGAGAACATCAAAAACGCGACGTAACACTAACGTTTATCCGATGCAAAAGCCCCCCCCCCCCCAGACCTCATGCACATATGCAACCAACCAATTAATCGCCAAGCAATGCAGAAAATAATATAACACACACGTGAACCTATCCCCGTAAGCCTTGTACCGTAGACGCCCCCCTAGTATCTACCTCGATCCATGCTCCCTCCCAAGGCGAAAAAGAGAAACCTTCATCTCATGCATCTCTAGATACGTTTTCCACTAATACTTATTCGATATTCTTTTCGTGGGAGCCCCCCAGCCGTAGGGTACCTAGTCGTGGGCTGGGTCGAACAGGAGTAGGTCATTCTGACCTAACTTGCGATACGTGCCATCCGGAGACCTATTGTACACGCCTTGTTCTCGTGGGAAGGTTGAGACCCGGGAGTCTCGTTTGTTAAGCCATGTATTTGGTTTTCCTGGAGCATAATAGCGAAGCGTGAATAAGGCCGCGCGGGGCGCCTTATAGAATGCCCTTAATTTCTCAAGTACGGGCTTCTCCCCAACTGCGAGCCAGTGCTGGCCACCTAGTTTCCAGGGTATGATGCCGCACAGCAAGCCAGGGAACAGGTTTGGATGCTCCAACATCTCGACACCAAAGGCATTGACGCTTTCCTTTGCTAGATAGGTATACTGCTCGTCGCCTAGGAGCCCACCCAGCCTGAAGAGATTCGACACAGACACTGCGTTGACGGACGGCTGCGAGGTATCCATAGCGTCCTTTATGCGGAGCAGCGTGTGCGGCGCACCCAAAGTCGTGGAGTAGAAGGCCCCGCATCTAGCGTTTGCCGTCGTAGGTGTTGGTGTAGGATTATCGTAGAAAAGTTTGATCTGAAGCTGCTGTAACTCATCAGCCCATTCAAGCCACGACTCGTCGGCCGTAGCTTGGTAGAGTTCAATGAGTCCCTCAATCAACAAAGCGTAATCCTCTGCAAATGCCTCGATATATGCTCGGCCGGCAGAATATACTCTATAGAGGACTTTCTTGTTGCTATCCCAGAGCACGTTCTTAATGAATCGAGCTGCATTCTTGGCTACTTGTAAATACCTTTGCCCTTGTCTTGATACATCAGCATCGGTACTAATTAAAGCTGAAGCTGTTCGTGTCAGCGCAGCAATTGCCATGCCATTGTACGCTGTAACAATTTTAGTGTCAACCTCTGGATGAACCCGTTCTTTCTGCCGATGAGAGCGTAACTTCGCCTTAGCAGCTTGGATTCGCTGCTTTACTTCGCCTTCCGAGATCCCGAGCTGCTTACTTAGCCTCGTAGAGTTCTTAACGATATGGAGGACATTTTGGTTGAGGAACTCATCGTGAGGATCGTATTCGCGGTCGACGTTGCCATGCTCCTGGACGTTCCAGTACGCGGCCGCGATCGCGCTATCTTGTTCATCGCCAACAATGGCGTCAAACTCCTTCCTAGTCCACAAGTAGTAGGCTCCATTCTGCATGACTTTATCTCCCTTTCGGTTATACGAATCCGCTGCCTCGCTGGTGAAAAATCCGCCATTTGGTGACAGCATTCTATCGCTAACGATGTAATCGGCAACTTCAGTCACCACATCAGCAAATTCGCCGTCCTTAGTGCCTCCAGACAAAAGCCAAGCATCTAAGAAGAGACCGAGGAGCAGGGCATTGTCTATCAGCATCTTTTCGAAGGCTGGCAATGACCAGTCCCTAGTAATAGAATATCGATGGAAACCGCCCCCTATATGATCATGCACCGCGCCGTTTGCAATCCTTCGAAGGGTATGCAAGCCCATACCACTAATGTATTTACAGTCGTTTGGTCCGACTACATCCTGGACGACTTTCGGGAATCGGGTAGCTCTTAGAAGTAGAGAGAGCTTTGCCGGTGTTAAGAACTTATCCTCGAGGCCGAAGCCACCGAACATGGGGTCAAAGGTCTTTGTGATCCGCTCGTATGCCTCTTCGATCTGGTCCAAGTCGACCTCACCATAAACTTCACGGGGATGATCAGAACTTGAAGTAGCTGTTTCTACTTGAGTAGAAGAGTTAGACGCCAAGAAATCATTCCCTGCGTGGTTCAGAGTACCCTCCGCCGAGAGATGGCTCAACTCGACCATCATCTTTTTTGCCTCTTCGCGAACACGAGACTCTTCGTCCAACCAGGAAGCGAGGACCTTCTTAATAACGACAAGCCAGTCGAGGGGCTTCTCAACGCCGTCATTTTCCGCGCTCACGTCGTCCTGGACACCAGGCGCGGCCCAATAAGTCCCGCTGAAGACGGGTTCCAGCTCTGGAGTGAGGAAGACATTTAGTGGCCAACCTCCGCTCCCACTGAGAGACTGATTATAGCTCATGTATATGTTATCGATATCGGGTCGTTCCTCACGATCGATTAGAATGGGCACGAAACTCTCGTTGAGTAGAGATGCGACTTTGGGGTTAGAAAAAGACTCTTGCCTCGTAATATGGCAGTCTGGGAGCAAATCAGCATTGTCTAGCTCTAATACTAGCTGTGTATCAACATACAATGAGACGCGAGGAAGCCGATACTAAGGAACATCAATTTGTTCTCTTTCTTTGCCCGGCTAATCGCATCGTCGTCTAGGAGTTGCCAGGCAACCGGACTATCGGAGTGCGCTCGTACGTAGGGGCTCTTGCTATCTCGGGCACGGTTTCTAAGTGGCTTGAGCTCAGTAATGGGCTGTCCTGCCGGTCCTGCCCCAGACGAGATATCTGTGTTACTCGAGTTGCTCTCGGAAGCTGACAACTTCGCTCCAGCCTTCTCAGGCTGCTGGAGCTGTGCTGACATCATCTTGACCTAAGTTGACTAACAGAATCACGCGAGAGCTTGTAGGTTGGATCTTTAGTGGGAAGATGAAGAAGGATAAGATGTAAGAGGTTGCTAGTAGTAAAGTTAACCGCAGGTGACCGCAGTTGACCAATATTCCTCTGCTTCTGCCTTGCAGGCCATACACCGGATTTACCAGCTCTCACGAGCTTACATTACCTGTAGATTGCTTGCAATAGTAAGGCTCTTTTGAGGGGTTGATCAGCCTAGTGATAGTTCTAGTGTTAGTCCTAGCGGTTCTCACGGGGCGCAATCTAACCGGAAGTAAATTCTGCGTATGACTCGCAAGAAATACAAGAAGGTTGGAGCTCCAAGATGGAAGAGTTCGGAAAACTACCTAATGTTCTCAAGTGCGAGCTTGACACGGTGGAGTACTCATATGTATAATTGCATGAATAGCGGGACTGGCAGGTATCGCACAAGTACGAAGTACTGCATGTACCTTTCATGACAACCCCGCCAAATTTGATAAGATACATTTATCTTGTAGATAACTTAATTGTCCTCATAATCTTAAACCCGGTATTCAAACAGTCTCCAACTTGCTTCACTGAGTTAGATGAGATATATCTCATTCTCAACGACAGTTAAACTTAAAAACTAGTAGTATGATAGCCTATAACTAAGACTAGTTATATATCCTTAGGAACTATAATACCTTTATATTTGTTACAACAAGGAAACATAATACCAGACTAACTATCCAGATACTCATCCTTCTAATCTATGCGATACTCTGAATCTAGTGTACAGTTTTATTCCCAACCGGATAATACAAGAGCTGACATAAAGAGCAAGCTACCGCTTCAAGAAGCATTAGCCTTCGAGGTCATGACAGCGAATCCCTGTCCCACCGGCACCGAACTGGCAGCCTTCACATCCATAGCCACCTTATCAATCCACACGTCATTAGACGGCGCATTGCCCAGCGCAAACGAGAAGACGAGCTGGAGCATACGGTCACTAGACGCCGTCGTGTAGGGAAACTCGACACGTGTCCAGTTCGTGGCTCCCTCGTCCGCGGCATCCACGCGGTGCGCCACCTCGCCGTTAGCAAACAAGTTGACATACGAGTTCGTGGCACGCCCGCTTCCAAACCGCACCCAGAACGAGACGGCCCACGACGCGCCCGGTGAGGCTGGCGGCGAGATCAGTGGACTGACTAACCGCAGGTTAGCCCGCAGGTCATCTGTTTGCGAGTTCCGCCGCATATGCACGTGGAACGCGCCGCACGACCCGTTGGCTCCGGGGCGCGCTAATGAGTAGCTCGTCGACATGACGTCCACCATATCGATACTCCACGGAGACAAGCCCTGCTCGAAGTCGCCATTCTCGATCATCTTAGAGCTAGAGGTGCTGGTGCAGGACGGGCTTGCGCTGGCTGTTGAAGTTGATGAAGTGCTTGATGTGCGGTTTAGCGATGAACGCGACGAACTGCCGAAGACCGAGGCGGATATGAAATCTTCGGTGACGCTTGGAGCAAAAGTGTGCGTTGTCGAATTGGGGAAGTAAAAGGAAGAGCTATGGCAAGGAGTTGTCGAAGTTGGCGTCGGCGTCGGCGTACACGTCGTATCAGTCGAAGTTGAGCCATGCAATGAAATCGAGGCATCCGTCGCGGATTTCAACGATACCGTCGAGTTAGCACCAATAGGATCACCGGACGAAGATGTACTCATAAACGACGATGTCGATGTCGAGGTTAGATCTAACAAGGTTGACGACGCCGTGTTAGCGTTAATCGAAGTAGGTAATCCCACTCCCGAAGTACGAGTTGTATTCGCCCAAAAAGCCGAGCTGCTGCTTGATATAAGACTCAATGAGGTTGTGGCTGGGTGAGAACTATTCGACGTGAGTGTCGACGGCGTTTTAGACGACTGTCCCCCAGGAAATCCCGGGCGTGTGCTTGACAGTGTGTTGGAGACGTTTAAGGAAACGGATAAGGGGTTATCCGAGACCGACGCCGTAGAAAGCGAAGCCGTGGTCGTCGAAGTGGAATCAGCAAGGGAAATGGTGAGTACCGATCCTGGATTGGAAACTGTCGCTTGTGTGCTCGAAGCTGGGTCCTGTGACGACGGGTCGCCCCCAGCACTGCCAGATGCTGTAGATGTCGACGAAGATAGCCCCCGTGAGACTGAAGACCCAAGGTCCGGAACGCTTGACACCATCGAATTAAATACGCTAGAGGGAGACGCACTGCTCAAATGAACACTATCGGTGGGTGCGGCTGGTGTGGCCGGTGTGGGAAAGCCAGGTGACGACTGGCCATTACTTCCTGAAGCGATAGTGGAAGTAGTGAGCGTTGTCAGAGTTGGTACAATAGTACTAGAAAACGCCGTAACAGGTTGAAAAGAAGGACAAGCGGCACCGCATTGACAAGCCGAAATGTAGGGTCGCTTGTTGGTATTACCACACTGTAGTACTTGAAGTCAGCGATTATTTGTCTCTGGGGACTTGTAAGAGGTCTTGAATAGGTGGTTCACGCGCCCTATCCACGACCAAGAAGCAATAAGGGGCAATGGGGTTGCGCGATGTTATACTTACTGCGGCCGTTGCTTGTGGTGGGTAGTTCGTTGCGCCGTAGTGACCGATGGTTGAGCAATAGTTCAAAGCTTCTGCAAGAGCAAGCGGGGAGTCGCATTGGAAAAGCGCATTATAACAACTACCGGGAAATTAGTACTCCTCCAGGACTACTTCGATACCAGAGACATACTCATCGTGTTTACAGTCGGACTGTGCGCGGACGGCGAGTATGAACAGACATAGGATCCAGCTAGCTAGCTGGTTTGACATGATGGCAAACATCTTTGGTAGGTAAAGAGCGAAGTTGGTAGGTATACGAAGTAAGTGTATGAACAGCACGTCTAAGATATAATGAATGACTTATTTGTACACGATAGCAATAAAAGTTTCTCCGCTACGAGAGATCGATTCATCTTATATTTCCATCATAAAAGCTTCTTCCAAATACACGACTGAATCATCCATCACGACATAGGAACACAAGGTCTTCGATCAATGAATTATCAGACAGCCCAGTACGACCCTCAGCCTCACTCCCAGCTCCGTCTCCCCCCCCAAACCCGGGCTCGCGATATACATGCGACGCACCCTGCACGACCGTTTACGCCAGCCGCGACCCCAAAAACAGGGCCGCGGTCCAAGACACCCAGGTGCCGCCGAAGCGAGCGCCCGTCTCACGACGGCGGTGTTTACGGCAGACTTAGTCAGGACCGCTGTTATTTCTCGCGAGATGACCTGTCTCAGGCAACTGCGGAAATCTAGGCCCTGGAGGCCGTAGGCCCGAGACACTTCCGGGATTTTTGCCTGCTGGAGAGATTCGCGATATAAGGTCAAGTATTAAATGTCTCGAAGCCTGGTGGGCGCGGTGGGAGAGCTGAGGGGGTAGGTTGGGGAGTCAGTTCGTGGACGACGGAGATCGAAATTAAACACACGTTGGTGGTGTCGGCTGATGGGGGCGATTTTGGCTTGGGTATGCCTTGTCGTTGGTCTGGGGAGGCCTCGCGTTGTTATGGTATGGAGGGAGGGGGTCGTTGGATATCTGCTGAGATACTATCGCCTGTGTAGGTTAGGTATTACAGATGCAGTAGCTAGATGATGATGATTTAGCCATCACGAGTCCCGAGATGGGTGAAGCTGTGTGATGGTGTACGAGCCGTGATGGATCTGGTTGCTTCACATGTTCTTTTCAACCTGATCCTCACTCGTATCACTCGTCGATGGAAATATTATTTCAGTCTAAACATTGGGTACGTATATGTATTCTAGTTGTCTTCGAAATACTTCATAACCTGTCATGAATGTGATATTGTCGATTCAATGTACTTATCCTTGTACAGTCTCTATGTAGATATATCGAAGTATCAGAAATCATATACTCGAATAACACTCTTCACCTCCCAAGACATTCAAAGAACTCCAGTCTCTATTCCAGACAGTTCTTCTTATATGGACTACGTAGGTAGGTACTCATTCATATCGCAACATCCCCATAACTGACGAGATAAGTATTATTTTTTTCGACTTGAGAATAAACCAAACTCCACCTAAGCCTCATCAAAGGGCCGCGCAGTGCTCTGTATTAGCAACCTAGAGTTATGTATAAAGTTGTATAACATCGTGACTTTCAGGAAGTACTTGACTAGTACCGCTAGGTTCATCAGATCCTCCTCCCCTTGCTATTTGAAATCGTCCCCAGGGTATCCATCGCCTTAGATCATATCATAAATCTCGCATACATCTCGTGACGATCCTATATTTTCCTTCGTTACTACCTCATAATAAACCCACCTATGCTCTACAAGCCATCCCAAGTGACGCATCTTACCATAGTATAGGTAAGGTAGATTTCGGGTATAGGTAAGCCAGGGTTGTATATCGCCGATTTCGTGTAACCTACCTACCTACCTACCCTACACATCCCGCGTCAACAAGGCTCGCGCGCGGGACATCCAATCTGTCCAGTCTTACCTCTCAGCCGGAGATACGGGATTATCACCGGTCCTATCTACGCCTACACCATGCAGGTATTTGCATTGTAGCTGCTGCAGTCAGGCTAGATATACCTATTAAACAGGGCGGCCGCTTAGTCTACCTAATCACTCAAGCGTCCGCCCCTCTCCATTGGACTAATAACGAAAACCCGCCCCGGCAGCGGGATTCCTAGCAGGCGATCTCGGCTTTTGGACGCCTTGTACGACGTCGAAAGTCTGACCGCCGTGAGCAAGGTAAGTATACCTACCTAGGTATGTTAGGTAGGTATGTATGTACATAACTATATACTCCAACGAGGCCCGCTTTGGCACCAAGGGTGCGGTAGAGGTGATCCCAGAGCCATGTCGTTGGAACTGGCTAGTTGCGGGTGACGTGTGTGGAGATAGGCTGGGTTTAAGTCCTGGTGAAGGGTAGTTTATGGTTTATGGTGCTTACGCATTTGTCTCCTTGTGTGAAGTGTGAAGTTGGTGTGAGGGGAACGTGATCTTTTCTGTAGTAGCAGTAGAGAAATATCGGCGTTAAGGCGTTTTGGATATACATATGGGATAACTACCTAGGTAGGTAGCAAACTTGGTAGTCTCGTCATCATTTGGAATTCGTGGGTTATAGTGATTGTAAGGCTTGGTAGTAATGCGAATTCCGTTAGTGACACGAGACGGGTTTGGACGGGCTTAATTATTCATCATTAATAACCTTTCTGGTTGATATACTAATAGGATATAAGCCGGACATTATAAGCATTAGTCGTCTCTTAGCTAATAAAGTCCCGAACTTGTTTCAAGAATTAAAATATCCCAATTCGGCCAGGTCCGCAAGTTGGTATGGAGAATTATATTCCCGTCATATTTCCGTATTTTATTATATTCTATATTCTGCGGACCTCCCTCTCTAGTCACCTTACCCACAAGCAGGCCGAACTCTCGGTCCAAATAGGTAGGGTTTTATTGTACATACCTTGTACCTACTCTGGGAGTAGGCAATGACTGAAACTCTACTGCTACCCATAAGACGTGATATGTAAGTCAAAACTCCGTGGTGGGGGAAACTCCGTATGTGTAATTACTAAAACCGTGATTATACTAAATTAGGACATACTAAAACTCGTCCGCACCGGCTCCGCAAAGTGGCGCGTGAGAGAAAGCCGCCCCCTAGGCTTTGATGAATCATCAGACGATATAGACATACACTACATATCGATCTCACTAGCTCGAGCGGTAGTTTGCTACGGGAATGAGACTACTTATTGGTCTTATCTGGAAGCATTAACACCGCAGTAGTATGATTTCATGATTTGTCATGACAGAGAATTTCTATAGCGCCTTGACATTGGCGATATGTAAGTCTGTGCGGTTTAGTTTTAGCCTTACCAGACTATTCTTAATTACGCTTTAAGCAGTGAGCCGAGCTAATACTATTAGGTAGGTATGTATGCATATCGCCATAGAATTACGGATTACGTCTATAGTATAATTGGTAATCACGTCTGTCATGTATGTTGTTTCTAGGTGACATTCGTGGCCGATCGACGCAAGGGTTTGATAGGAACCGTAAGCGCGGGCATAAACCTCGCGCATAAAATGGGAAAGCGAAAATAGCGAGGTATGCTGCTTCATAAGAGGCAATCGTATAAAATTCGTACAATTTACGAGTGTAAACTTGCGCATGGTTGTTGACAGGTATGTAGTTAAGTGAACAGGGATCCAAATGTCTATTGTATATGTAGGTATCGTATGTCTAGATCCGCAGATAAGATCTTTTTATGCTATTTCTCGGGGATTGATAAAGAATTATGATGATCATCGGGTCCGAGATGAGCCCTACCCGTCCGAGATTACTACAATGCTGTTTTGGTTCTGGTTTCAAGCACACACAGACACACAGACACACACACCATGATGGCTATGCTCATTAGTCCCAGATAATTACACGCATTGGTATCATTATGAATCATCTTCATCCATTGGCCGTACGAATCTTCAGCTAGGAATCAGGCACCGTCCTTACTAGTCGTCGCTGGGCATCTTGGCGCCGTGCGTATGTAGATAAGAGCGTAGCTAAGACATGGGACGGCTTCTGGGCAGCAGTACATACACATACAGAATAACGTGGGAACTGAGATCAGCCCAGAAAAAAAATCCACCGGGATCGGGTCATTTCTCAATCCCGCTTCCCGCTAATTTTCGGACCCCGACCCCGAACCCGAACCTGAAGTTGGTAGGAGGGCATAGTTAGTCGAGATAAAACCCAACAGCGAAGTTATGCTCCGGAGCGTTTAGTCCGGTTTTTATTTGTTGTTTGTCGGTGTCCGTGCCTGACCGACTCGATTACATGCATAATTCGTGTCCACGTGGGGAGCTATTGCGTTCCTAATCTCGTTAAGGAAAGGGAAGAGAGAGATATAGCTCTTGGGCCGAAGTTGTATGTAAGTAGGACCAGGTCCAGGATGGGTGCTGATGACGAATTAGGTGCTACCGCTGCGATGGTACCGCTGTTATTAGCTGCCGTTTTATTTATCGGGGGGGTCGCCCCCAAACGGCACGTACAGGATATAGGGCGGGCTGTGGGTTGTCATTGCTCAACTATCATAGCTATCATAGGGTTGGGTTGGTTATCTGGATAATACCTATGTGCGTGGTTGTGCAGTACCTAACGTGTAAGTCGGGTACTTACGCGGAGGCCGTATGCTCCCGCACCCGGACAGTTTATTTGCCCAGACGGCCAGGGAGAGAAGGAGCTTAGCAGAATATGTATAAGAAAACGAATACGTGGGAATTTCACTGACCGCCCCAATAGTCCATACGTATGAACCGCTGAAAATAGGGATGCCGTGTAGGTTATTTCGCGGCATCGTGGCTGAGCTTCACAAAAACGCATCCGTGACCACAATTTATTCCGTACATGGTAGTTACTTAAAGGTACATGAGAAATCTATTTCACACGTTCCCCGGGGTACTTCTTTTTTTTGTTTTGCCTAGGATACCTAGGAACCAAGAATACTGAGGATTGCTAGTGTAACTGACTTGTAGGCTGCTTACGTAGACTTATTAACTAACTTACTACGTACTTTAATAGGATTTGGGATTGCTGAGGCGATCAGGGGAATTTTGGGGTAAGCAACTAGGTAATAAGTGAAATGGCGGGAACGGCCTTTGTTTCATGCCGAACCGTTGAAATCATAGGCTGAAATGATATGAAATCATGGGTTCGATATTTCCATACCGCTAAAGGTTGATAAGCAATGGGAAGTTAGTGCAAGTTTTTAACGCTTCACTCATCATCCCCCCCCCGTCCCTAGTCCCCCAGCATGATTCAGAAATGGTTCACGATTGTTAATAACGCGGGGCAAACACGGCGGCCAAGCCCCGACTTGCATCGCAGATTGGGGACGAACAAAGCCACCTTTTATGAAACGATTGGCTTTTCTTATCTCTGTAGGTATCTACAAGATAATCATCATCATCGTCAAAAAATACGAACTTGGACAATTAAACATTCGATTAACATGACCTCATTAGGTCACATTTCACAATTGAAAAGATTGGCTCATTAGAAAAAAATAAAAAAATATCAGGCAAGTTATATCATGAACGTGGTCTCATTGTGTTATTACTCGTTGCCCGCTGCGACCCGAGCGGGCACAAGAAGCGCCCCTCAGAAGTATGTAACGTCAAGGAGGGGCATCAAAGATGTTAGCTATGATGGACATAACGCTGGAAATAAACCCGCCAACGCCGTAGATGCATTTCCCTCTACCGTAGTTGTTAATACAACGATGGCCGAGATGGCTCTCTCTCTCTAGCCGCCCGGCTGCGTCTATAGTTTGGAACCCGACCGCTTCTTCCCCCAGTATTTTCTGTAGTCCAGAGCAAGGTTGCGCATATACCCTTGCAGTCAACCCGTTGAACGCCGTGCAATTATGTGCAAGTGTTGAAGAGAATTCCGGAACCCCCCCTCTTCCCGAGGTGTTGCGAGATATTCCTAAGATACTCCTGTATAACCAAAATCCTCATCATGATCGTAATGATTCCATATTGTACCCGGAATAGATCATCGGATCTCCGACTCCTAACATAACTTCTGGATTCGGACATTGTATCATATGAGGCTTGATCGTCCCAAATTCGGATTCGACTAGCCCTTGGCTGAGCATCATTTCTGCCATGTCCATATCCATACCCTGCATGTATTGCGGTGTTAAGTCCATAGAACTCGGTCTGCTCATATTCCACGCTGGGTAAGTTGTGGGGACAGAAGGCGATTGGACAGCGAAAAGACTCCTCGACTCGACATCGGATTGCATAGTCTTCACGTCAACATCGTACGACGTAAAGCTCTGTGGCGACATGGTTTGCAAGTTTTGGTTACCTAATATCGCCTTCCTATAATCTTGCTCGAAGTCTGAATGATCGAGCTCCGAAGAGCTTGCCCGGTCCGTTCTCGTACAATTCGACTCCGTCTCCGATCGGTGTTCCGTAGTATGTGTCTCCTTTTCCCTCTCTCTTTGCTGGACATCTAATTCGGCTGCCAACCTTGCTAGTCCCGCTTCGTCCTCGGGGAAGACCGAGTGAGGTGGGAGGTCGGCGTCTGCGTTAGGTCGGATGCACCCGAGCTTGGTCGCGATGTTATGGATGACAGGTTGACCCCTATCATTGAGCTCTGGCTCCCCTAAATCCCAAGGTTGGCCATTCCTGACCATAGCATACAACTTGTGGACTGTAGCAATTAAAGCGAATTGGGTATTTTCCAAAACCTCGGCATATCTTGCTTCCTATTAGCTTCTCGGCACTATTTAAGCAGGGGCTGGTTAAAACTTAACATACCCTCTAGGTAATTGCTTGTACTCGGTCTTCTTTCGTGTACCTGCTGTGCATACCAAACCATCGTCCTTACACCTCTTACACGGGAACTCTCCGTCACACTGCAGCATCAAGTTAGTGACACTATAAACTTGAGCTGAAATATGACGATACTAACCTTGGTTTTCTTCATTCTACATCTTTCACACGCCTTCCAAACTCGCTTATGCCTGTTGTCGACAGCATGTGGTGATAGAGGCGGCGGGTGGTCGTGAGTGGGAGAATGTGAGGAATGGCTAGCTGCTCGCTTTCCGCCTCGATGTATAGGCTTGACTACCTTATTACTAAAAGTTGTACTCCTCCTCGACGACGTCGAAGGTTTGATATTGTCCTCCACGGGAGGTGTTGGCATCCCACTATCCATTTCGAGAGATCTGATAACGAGGCGACACTTATGTGTGATACCAGAGCAGCAGGGGCAATATGTTACGCAGGTGAGTGTGTAAGTGGACTGGGGCTCTGATATATATGCAGAGTGTTGCTACAAAGTGGCCAATTGTGGAAACCAAACTTAGAATCCAAGCTCAAGACCAGATAAATAAACCAAAACAGTAGAAGAGGGGAAGAGAGGAATTAAAAGGGTCAGAGACTATTCGAGAAATTCGATCGATAAAAAGTGTGACTCTTGAACTGGGATTAATAATGCGGTAGAGTGAACCGAGCTTTTAAGGGCGTGACGATTATGTGATGTTGCGGTTTAGATCCGGTAACTTTATTTTGGGAACCCAGCAGTCTCGAGTGAAAATCGACCAGGGTATCGTCTTTAAAGTCGGCCGCGCTTTATGTCCGAATGTGCGGGCTAGGCAGGCTGGGCTAGTGACTTGTTGCTGACTGGTCGATTTTGGTAACTGTAAGTCCTTTGATGGAACCCCTTGGATATGTTACGGTCCAGTTACGTCCTAGGAATTCCAATGGCTTGTGTCAAGATGATGCGTACGACCTCTTGGTGGCTTGCTTCCTAGGATCGGAGAGTGGTGATATATTATATAAACGTCTTTGTATGTCGAGTTCTCTATACTGTGTTGAGGTTATGAAGTGTAACAAAGAGCCGAGGTTATGTATAGCGTCATGTATTAAGTAGTTATCATACATAGAGCTCTGATATTACTACTCGAGTTTGTTAAGCTCAAGGGGATAATGTCGTGATGGGCGAGGGAGGGGGGGAGTATATATGAATATAGGTAGCATAAGTCGAGTTAGAGCTGAAGGTACCGTTTATCTTATATGTATTCAGCTTTGAATTCCTGTTCATAAGAAGCAGGGCTTTCGTAATGCCGCTTGGGCGATGCTTGTCACGATACCATTCCTCCATATCTGCAGGTACTACATAGGTAAGTTACTTTGAATGACCTGGGTGAAGGATCAGTGGCAGAGAAAAGTGACAAGTAGATACATGCATCTACATGACGATCGGAGTCCAAAGTCGCGAAAAGTCACCGGCCATAGGAAAGTAGCCCAAGGCTCAGTAAGCGTACAACGTGAACCGGGCCAATGTTGATAAAAGTAGGTCGGACTTATGCTACTTAGTTATGCAACCCTGTAGCATAAACCCTGGTAGCTTTAGCTTGAACCCTCTGATCAACTGATGTTTGCACAAGCTTGCATAGCGGATTGTAACCGCTCCGTCACTAATGCATCTACGGTATTGAACTCCCTAAACTCCTTAAGCCTTAAGCTTTCCCATCGCTCTTTTTGAACTTTTTAACAGGTAACTAGCCCGCTAACTCCGAATTACCTCAGCGAAATAAAATTCCAACGTACGCAAGGGATTAAATCTTCTTCTTCTTTTCCCTTTTGTTCCACCAACACCATTTGAGTTATTATTTTTATTTTTATTTTTAGGGCACATGTTTTCCCGTGCCCAAATTTTAGGGTCGTGGTCCAGATCCCGAACTCCATTAGAATACGGCGTACATAAGTGCATTGCCCCATTTTATAAATTCCTCGGTACGTTTATGAGCTACGATATTCTAGAGGGCGGGAGATACTTGGCCCGTTTCTAGCGCAAAGCATTATTTTGTACGGTAACTCTAATGTTAACTCGGGCTGCTAGGTAATTTTTATATGTAGCTCGCATTCGTTTATAGCTCCTGAGGCTCTGCTAAACGCACTAATGGCAACTGAAAGTGGCATGACTGATTTATTTGTACTTTATTATTTGTACTTTACACGAAGCATCATAATGATGACGTTACGCCTCATCGGGCTTGGCTGCTCAGCCATCGCGGGTTATCAGAGACATTTTTAAGTTTTACCTTTTCTTTTTTCCATCTGGGACTAAATAAGCATAAGACCTTGGCCCTTTTAAGCGACCTCTTACTTGATGCAAGGTAACAAGCGGTAACCCGTACCTAGGTTAGATCCTTTGTGGAACACCCTGCAAGGCGCTCCCCGTTTAGCGCATTCCCGAAGGAGAGGACTGGCAGATCCGGAGAATCCTCTTATGGGTTTTCTTCTGTCTTATGCAAATTGCCTTTTCAAACCACCACTTTTCATGTTCAGCTTGTCTTTACCATGTATGTAACGCGTGGTTACGGGGAAACCCAGCCAACTTCAAGGTTCAACACTTTTATCGTTACGGCGATTCCAATGACATAAAGCAATGATGATCTCACCATTTGCTTAGCTGGGCTTAATTACATGGTCGCACATAATATAGTAAGTGATACTTTCGCAGGCCATGAAAATGCAAAATGGTTCCGGTTTTGGCTAAAAGTGGATGGATTTGGCGAGGAGTAGCGGAGCAAGCTGCAACTTGCAAGACGCATCAAAATGCAACCGGTGCAGCAGATTTCAGCTTAATTCTAGAAGAGGGAATGCTACTTGAATATTATTGGTCAATGCAAGAGGTGAATAAAAGGTATAAAAGGTGGGGAACAGGATATGATCGCCCCTAGGACCCACAACAAGCTTTCCTAATACATGTGGTCCAGTACCATGGGACAATTGGAAATGCCGTATCGGCTCCGGATGTGATTTATACATCGGCCGAATCGGAATGAAGCATTTGGATAAGACATGGTAAAAACGCAGTAAGGTTACTTCCATATAAGGTAAGTCCACCTTTTGACCATTGCCAAATGGAGTATGATGGAGTAATGCACGCGGCATTAATGGTGTTGAAGATATAAGGTGCATAAAACGATATAATGATATACAAGACACAGACCCAAGAATCCGGTTAAGGAGGGGATGGTTTTTGATCGGGGTTGGCTTGGGTGGCTGGAGTAAAAAGGCGATCGATCAGCTCGCACGCTATCAAAGTTAATTAATTAATCAATCAATCAATCAAAAAGTTGCTGTGGAAATCTTTTTTTTTATGGAAGCACAAACAATAAGTAAAACACCATAAGATGATCACAAAAATCCATAATAGCGGATCCGGTTGTTCGGTGCTCGGCCGCTACATTAGCGAGTCAAGCTTCGCTCTCCGAGGGAAAACCCCCCTGGCATCAATCGAACAACACAACTTTTTCTTTCAGGCCATGTCACGATGTCACAAGCTTACTTTTACCCGTCCACCGTCTATCGTCCACCGTCCTTTTCAAAAATTGACTCAAATTTGAGGTTCGTTTTGGAGTAACATACCAGGGGCAAAAAGTCCCTCATTTCTCATTAAACTTCACGATCCGGCAGGCTATTGCATACCTAGGTAAACCCTGTACGTAGGTATGTATTATGATCAGATCTCTGCAGCCCTGTTTAGCCCTGTGCAGTCCGTGTCACGAGAAGGAGGAATCGAAATAAATCTTCGCTCTCCACAAACTCATCCGCGATCGTCCGTCTCGTTCACGTGGAAATCGAGGAAGAAACTTGCAGTACAATACATACTACATATGAGTAGCTTCACATGCGAAGGGGATGCTGATGGAAACAACCCAATTTCCTCTCGGCGGGTCGGCTTTTGCAGTGATAAAGCCGCCCGAGGATATTAATTGGATCGTGAAAGGGTATCACAGCATTAGTATCAGCATATTTTCACGCTCTTACCTAGGTAATTATCTCCTAACGATGGGACGTGGGTCAGCCTTAGTGGGACAATACTTGAGGCCACTTAGCTCATCAACTTTTCTATTCTCTGATTCTGCGAGGTACTTTGGAGACTTCGAGATACAAACGGGGGTCGAGTTGTGAAATCCGTGCCTTTGTGCTGGCGGAACTTAGTGAATCGACTGTCCGTGCTCCGAATCCCGGTTCTGGTCGAGATCCTTAATACTATTACATACATACAAGCAAGTCATTGAGTCTTTTTTTTACGATAAAACCTGCTTGCATGAGAAGTTTCCAACATCTTGCCAACATCGTGCTCTACTTGGGCATATGTAGTCGTAAGCAGAGTTCATCAATAACTATTTCCGCGTGTTATCAAACAGTCGTGACGTCTTGTTTTGCCACAGGTGTAATTTGAAACCCCGTCTTCACAGCCACTTGTTGTTGGCTTTGGTAACGGATATATCGACTTGGCATCCCTAACTTCGCCATACTGACCTCAGTTATGAGAGGTTCGTATAAAAAATAATACAACGTAACCAAACGCTGTATCACCAACAACTAAAACTACACGTAACTAACTGAACCAAGTACCTAGGTATGCATGAACGTAACACGTAATCTTCTAAAATCATTAAACCAAGCCTGTCTTTTCATAACTAAAAGGAGAAGAAGAACTTCTAGCCCTACGAGTACCCACTGCCCCTTAACCAACTCGAACGAGGAACGTTACCATTTCCACAATCTTAGTCCTGAAAGAAAATCGATGTTTTAGCTAGACACTTACAGCCCCGCCACATAGGAATACCGCGGCTCTGCTTCTTAGATGGATGCAATAGGAGGTACCTAAGTAATGTAATGTAGAATGTACCTAAGGTAGCTAACTTGCGCCAAAACTACTTACCCATCGGTCCGTCTCGCAGTATGTACAAGCTTCACGAAGCTTTCGCAATAATAGCCGAGCTAGCGGAAGCTGAAAATGAGTAAGGCGGCGACAGGGCTAGACCTGGCTAAAGAAGCTATGTCTCGAAAGAAAAAAGAAAAAAGTTTGACAGCTCCGATGGAGCTTTGTTCTCGATAGCGTGGGTTGAGTGATTTTACATAATATCATCATCGCCGAGTTTTCTCCTTGGGACTCCGGGACCCGCAACTTTTTCGATTCGAATCGGCCGGAGATTTTTTTTCTTTTTCTTTCTACATAGCCCTTGCGAACCGTGATCCGTGGACCGGTTCCAAGATTGCTGGGCTGCCGATACCGCGGGTCGAGTTTCGCCGGTGGCCTTGAGTACATACCTAAATATCTCGTTCCTTTTGGCCGCCGTCTCATCCTCGGCTTTCTACTTTTTAAGCATTGACTCGCCCGGAAGCTATCTGCTAGGCGTCAATAGGCTTGTTGCGTTCTAGGTGATAGAGGGGATGTTGGAAAAGGGGGCGTACTTTACCTACTTCCACTGTTGAGACAGATAGGCAAGTAAACGGAAACCCTTATTACATAGGTATGTATCATGTTAATCATCTAAACCCTAGGTATTCCTCATCACCGCTCATTCCCACTCTATGTACATGACCTCACGGAGAGATTCCGGACAGGACACATTACCGAACCTCTCTACCGCGCTCACCAAATGATGATTCATCTCGCGGACAGTTACCACAATCCGGTAACTCTCCGACGCGAAAAAAATTCCCAAGGTCGTGCCGCCCGATTACATCTCCCCTTCCGGCGAAAACGGCCGGAGGAAAAATCGACTAGCCAAGTCAACCCGCATGAGGATCCCGCTTCAGTCATCCCTTGCCTTCCCTTAGTAATTACACCAACGCGGCGTGGATCATAGTATCGGGTCTGACTAATGATATCTTGTAGCTGCCCCAAATCCCACATCCCACATGGCCGACTTGCGGAAGCTGTAGATGCTCGGAGATAGTCCCTCGGTATACTTCCTGGTACTTGCTCGAACCTCTAAGTATATTTATGTAGCATGCATGAGGACGACCAGCGTTCTTATAAGTAAACCTTAATATTCCAACTAAGTATATCTTAAATCCGGTAGACGCCCTAAAAATGACCCGAGAGCGGATGCTATATATGTAGTAAAGACCCTTATGACAGCAAGGCAAAACTCTCGATGGGAATCGGACATACGAACGGGTATAATTCTGTGTACGTAGGTATCTACTATAATCTAAAAATTCGCATCTACATACTCGCGTGAGACCTTTGCATATGCCGATTGTACTATGCAGCCTCCCGAACCACGTCTTCAACCCCCCCGACGGCTATGAATAACAAGTCTATAAATCCCATCCAACTTACAAAACTCCATTCTAACTAGCAAGCAAGCACAAACACCTCGCTAGGTCCCTTTCTATTACCCCTTCTCCTCTTACGTAGCAAGGCTAGCCACGGCCTTCTATAGCTTCGCCTTCTCCTGGTTCTTCTTCTTCTTTAATCTTACAACGCCCTATATATCACAATATACTCGTTAGCTGGGGGAAACCACCACAAAATGACTACCGAAAGGGTAAATCGGAGAAACTCACCTCCTGAAACGCGGTAGCAAGCAGCGTCCCATCGCGGCTATAAATCTTCTGCATAACCACACCCCTACCGTCTCCCGCCCAGGGACTCTCCATCTCGACGAACATCCACTCGTCGGCGCGCACCTTGCTCGGGTTATGGAAGTAAATCGAGTGGTCCAGCGACACCATCATGCCCACCTCAGGCCGCTTCGCCGTACTCTCCAGCGTCCCGTACCCCTCCCACTCGTTCAGCTGCTCCAGGTGCTCCCGGACGTCCGGCTCCAGCCTCCCGATGTCCTCCGGTCGCACCGGGTACCGCCACAGTCGGTGGATGCGGCTGACCGTCCCGATGAAGTACGAGTCGCTAACGTATGCCAGCGCGCTCAGATGCGCCCTAAGACCGCCCTTCTCGCTGATCTTGCCGCGCGCGCGAACCCACTGCCACACGCGCTTGGTCGCGGGTGAGCTCTCGTCGTCGCCGTCCCCGGGGGCTTTGCATCGGAAGCTCTGGAACGGATCGTCGCCGGCCCGGCGCAGGAACGGCGGGTCCTGGTAGTCGTCGGGAGGGGTCTGGGCGAGCGCCTCGGCGGGCACGGGCACGGCGTGCGAGACGGACTCTTCGCCACCGCTGCCCTCGCGCACGAACGAGCACGTGACGGTGAAGATGGCATGGCCGCGCTGGCGGGCCTGCACGGTGCGGGTGCAGAAGGACCGGCCCTCGCGCACACGCTCGACATGGTACAAAATGGGCACGCTGGAGTCGCCTGCTAGCACGAAGAAGCAGTGGTACGAGTGTACTACGAAGTTCGGCGGGACAGTGCGTTGGGCAGCCTACAAAACCGTGGGGGAATCATGTTAGTCGGTTGGTTATTTCGTCGCAGTCAGCTGACGGCTTGCATGACGCAGGCGGGTGGGAGGTTGTTGGTTGGGGGCACGATGGAATCCGAATTATGCAAGCGGAAACTCTCCGTCGGGATCCCAACTCATCGTACCCCGGCCCGCCTCCGCCTTATCCCGCCTTTGCATATGCAGGTGAGATAAAAGGGAAGAAGTAGGTATGGGAAGGGATAGAAAGAATATAGTAGGGTTATAGTCGTTGGGAGCACAACACCGGGAAGAGACAAAAGCCGACCGGATGCCGACCCAAGCAACCCTCCGCTCGGAAGAACGACGAGTAAAGGATTGGCAGGCAAACAGACCAGAATAAACAAACAAGCAAACAACTCATACGAGATGGGGACAAGGGAGGAAGTGTAAGTAGTAATAAGCAAAAGCAATAAAACCAACGACAACCCATTAAGAAACAACGGCAGAAATAATAAAAAATGCACAGCACATACAGCAAGCGTCTGCGCAATAACGGCGCCTCCGTAGATCCCCCGCGCGCCGGGTGGATGCCAGAGCTCGCGCGTATTGGTGAAGAGATCCTATATAGCAAAGCACGAGTCAGCGGCGAATCTCACGTACATAAATAGATACACACACACACACATATATATATAGTATGGCAGTTATTAGTGGCTATAACAAATAAGGAAAAGCAAAAAGCAAAAAAACTCACAGGTCCGATGATGCTCAACTCAGTTAGCTCGAGCGCGTTCTCGATAGGCGCCTTGGACGTGTCGAGCGGCGGCGGCCGGACCAGCGTTGGGAATTCGCCCATCTCGTCGGATGTCTTAACTGACTATCTCTATCTCGCCTATATCTTCTTTCGTCTTTTCCTTCCCGTTCCTACGGCTTGCAGCGGGATTTTACAACGGATTTGGATCCCCGACGCAGACTCAGGGGGTTTGACGTCGCACAAGAGAGGCCGCGATCGATGATGTTATGTTGTGCTAGCAGCTAATGTTGGTTGTTGGTATGTTGTAAAAATATATCCACAATTAGCTCAAGTACGTTGGGTATTTTAGTTAATTATACGTGTCCTAATGGATATATGTATAATGTATTCCGTACAATCGATGAAATTAAAAAAGAATAATAAAAAACAACAATAGATAAAAACAAGTTTCCCTGCGCAACTCGAAAAAGAAAAGGCGTTCAAGATATCCCATCCAATCGACCTTCTCCTATTTGCGAGACTTCGCTTTCGCATGCAAAATCCCGTAGCCGACAAGGATCGAGCCTAAGGCTATGGGCCAATTGTCTCAAAGCGTCTGCTTACGAAATCCGATAGCTCGAACATTATTTAATTTATTTTTACCGAGGCTCGGAACCAAAGAGGTGGACCACGGCCCGCAGCCGGCGCCAAGAACTCGCTGTCCAAGCTAATGTTCCCAAGTGCCGGCCGATCGATTTCCTTACACGTGTAAAAGTCCTTGGGTTACCAAGGTATGTACGGATCCGTACGTAGTTCTATATGTGGTAATAGGCCAGCAGGCTTCACCTTGTACCGGCAAGTAATAGCAGGCAGCAACTTATAGCACAGAAATATGACAGCTCTCTTTGTGAAGACCCATGCGTAGTCGCGATATACTACTATTTTAGTATCATCTCAATTAACATTTGTAATAGCTAATAGCTAATAGCTAAGGCTATATACATAGAAGACTCAGTTGCCTCTGAATTCATAAATAATAAGAAACTTGCTGAACAAACTGAATGTTAGCCCATTCACCTGACAGTCATGTTTATAATCGTCAAAGTAGCAATGCCTCATTTCATTCATACTCGTCTAACAAGCCTCGCGCATGTGCCTCTTATATATCATGTACAGCCACGTCACTACGGAATACCTACTAACCAAGATTCATTACTCCTGCTCTTCAGACGAGTAGATCGGCTCTAAGCCATCCCACGCGTGAGGATCCCCATTACCGAACTTCTCTCGTTGTGTCCAGTACTTTCCAGTAAATTTCCAGTGCTCTACCCCCGTGATTTCACATGTCGTCTTCTCAAACCACGCAGGGGTGAATTCCTCGCCGTGTTGTTGCCTCGTCTTCCGCCTAGCTCGCTGCGCCTCTTCGAGCCGGTTCTTTTCGGACGCCGCTAAATCGTATTCACCGTCTTCCATCGCTCTCTGATCCGGACGGTACCTGGAGTCGGTGGGGGCAATCCATTGCTTGAGATTATCGTCTATGTGGTTGAAGGTGAGCACAAATGGCGTAAGATTAAACGGTATACCTTCAGGCCTGGGATTGGCTTCCCACACTATGAAAGCTCGGCTAGGATCGCCAATGCTTCCTCGTGTGTCTTTCGGCTCTTCAACAGTAGCTTCAAAGCCGGGTGTAAGGCGAGCGTAGAGCTTGGAATTCCAACGGCCACCCAAGCTCATACGCGGCCGGCCGTCGGCGTCCAAAATCTTTCCAGAAAGCTGGTAAGCGCTGGATGCCTTCCAACCTCGCTGCTTAAAATCTAGCAAGCACGTTTCTCCGGTCGTCCAGTTCTTGATTTCTACAAGACCATAGTTGTCTACGACCGGGTTGCCGGTAATGATGCCGACTACCTGCGATTTAGGCTTCTTCCACGTGAAGAAATCCTCTTTGCCGCCAGCAGTGGGACGTAATCTCAGGAACCAGGTGCCAAGGTGATAAATATCGAACGATTTGCCCAAGAATCTGGAGTCGACTTTGGCCTCACCCCAGTAAGTCCACTTTGCAGATTCCGCATACGCTGCGCCGATAGGTGGGTGGTGGCTAACTTGCTCGATAAAGAAGCGGTAGCCTCTATCCGGTCTCGCATACTCAAACGTCTCGCCCAAGAGCGGGTTGAATGGTTTCGCGACACGACCAATAGTCGACGCGAATTCACTCGACGCGAAGGCAGCGACGTACAGCATGCGTTCGATCGAATCTGATCGATCTGCTGCCATATCTAGTAGGTCCGCATACTCCATATCTTCACCAGTTCGATATAGCAGAGAAGTTGGCTCGTTGAACGATACTGGCAGCGTCATCTTCGTCATATCCTTACCGATCATAGATTTCAAGATGCCCTAAAAGAAATCAGCACCTAAGTATCAACTTAACGGAGTCCGTGAACTTACCCATAGACCAATCTTTGGTCGGTTGTCTTCATCCAATTTTAGTCTCGTCCTGAAGCCATTCTCATAACCTTTAAATGCACTGCTGACGTCTATCCCTGATATTACGACGTCCTGTCCGGAACCAGCGGACGGCACAACGTCAGACGGCGGCATCGGTTCTACATCGACTTCTCCTGCATCTACAGCATCGAAGAATTCCTCCTGCTCGGATTCTGAGTCGCTAGAGAGTTCGATGGCATGAGAGTGTAAGGTTGATTTGCGCCCTATGCTCTTCAACGATGGCGAGTGTAATGGGTCGGGTGCCTCATCCTCGTTGGCACCAGACACCTCAGTATGTACGGCATGGGAACTATCTCTGGTAATTGGCCTAGATTCGCCAGTGCTTCCCATAACTTCGCGAAGTGCCCGTTTAGCTAACTTTCGCTTCGTTTCGGCTTCGCTGACTCTTGCTTCCAGGACTTCTTGTTCTGCGGCTACCTTAGCCATACTCTCTTCCCACATTTGCCGCATCTCAATTTCTTGCTCTAAACGATATTGCCAATGTGCGTCGCGATCCTTCGATATTCTAAGAAGGTCCCCCATAAGGCCCTTTAGACTTCGGATCGCTGCGTCGTACGTCGCAAGCGCTTGCGCTGCTTTAGGATCCGCAAGTGATAGTGATGGGTTCCGATTTACTTCCGCCTGTAACGCTGCGCTCACGGATGCTAGTGTGTCTAGTTGGAGCCTTGCTGACTGTGCAGTGATATTGAAAGCGTCCTTAGTCGCTGTCGGAGCTTCACCACGGCTTGACTGATCTGCGTATTCGTCGTCGTCGTCGTCATCGACCTCGCCGGGGATTGTGGGCGCTCCGTTACTTTGTCCCTTAATCTCGGGGCTACCAGCGTCAACGAATTCGTCATCTACGCTGCCCGTAGTACTAGCATGAGATATTCCAGCCCGCGAGCCAACTCCCTTCCCTATTGAAGAAAGGCGAGATAACTGTACACTATTCCTATGTTCACCTGTGCTTGCCACTTCGCTATGAGAATCAGTAATAGAAGGTTCCGCTGGCTTGTAAAGGCTGTCTCGAGCCTGCCGTAACATTTCAGCACCTTGTGCCTTCTGTCGTTCTTCCTGCTTTGCTTGGTCCTTCATCCACTGAATCGCATTATTCAGAGCCCAGAACCATCGTTTAGCTTCGACTTCGTGGTTAGCCTTCAGCGTATACTTTACTGATGACTTCCCGATGATCTCGAACTTCGTCTTTTCCTCGGGGCTCATGTATAGCTTGGCGATGCGCATGCTAATGGCTCCCCGACAAGCGTTTTCTGCGTCATCCTGGTGTTTATAATAACTCAGGACACCATTTTCGAGAACGAACCAACGCAGCTGGTAACCTTTACGGTAGTTGGTCCACTTCTTGAGGTAACCCTTCATCTGTGGTTCGCGTCCAGCTAGAGGGTCTCCTGTGATAGCTGGTCCAGGACCACCTTGCGAAGTCGCGTGCCCGAGTACCGCCTTCTCCTGGATACCACGTTGAGCAGCTACCGCGGCAGGTGATCGCTTGAGCATCGCCTTTGTAATATCGTCGTTGGTAACCTGCTGGGGAAGTTTGCCTTTGCGATCCCGTTGAAATGGGTCAGCACCGTGAAGGAGAAGAGCTTGGATCAGCTTTGTGTCTCTCTTGCGGGCGGCCTCATGAAGCAATGTCCCGCCCGCCTGAACGGTCACGGGGTCACAAGGTAGCTCGATACTATTGATGTCTAGGATTGTCTTGACACGGGGTTCCTCTAGAACCTGACCAAGAGTATCATAGGCTCCTGTTTGCACGAGCTCCTGGACTTGCTTAACTTTATCCTGCACGAATAAGGTCCTCGCGAGCTGCAGCTGTTGGAAGATATCGGGATTTCTTGCTACATCTAAAGGGAGCTTTCCCTGGTTGTTTGCAACGGCATCGTTGATATCCTTCTGCTCTAGCAGTAGCCGAACTACCGGGGCACGCCCCTGAGTAGCAGCCACATGTAATGGCGTATTTCCATCTTTGTCCCGAGCGTTCACATCAATATATCCGGCGCCATCAGAGAGTACGTATTCTACCACGTCGAATTCGGCGCACTGAATGGCAAGGTGTAGAACTGTCGTGTCATCTAGGGGTCCCGCATTTGCTCCGCCGATAGAAGATGTACTCGCGCGAGGCCCGGATTCTGATGTTTCTCTAACCGCCTTGGATATTGCAGCCGTATTTCCGCTCCGTAAAGCCTCGACGATACGGAATTTACGAACGGATTGTTCAAGCGACGAACCCTTGTCGGCCACGGAGAGGCTGTACCGATTCGGATTTAAAGAGACGGGCTCGCGGGAGGGGATCCGACTAACTGACATCTTTTGGCTATGACCCTTGACGGAAGCTTGGTGGGACATGGGAACGGCGGGGGCAGAGGTGCTCGTGATAGGAAGTGAAGCAAGCCCGGAGGTTTGCGATCCATCTTCGGAGATAGCATCGTCATCATTACGATTATCCTTATCCTTGCGTCGGAGGAGGGAGAGGGCGGCCGACTTGGACCGCTTATGCTGACTAGTTTCGGAGCGAGTCAGTTATCTTATCTAAAAGAAGATATTTCTACATGGCGGAATTGATAATAAAATCTACTTACCCATCTCCAGTATCCGACATGTTGAATTAGATGATATAACCCTGGTACCGTTTGGTACCAAAATTGCAGACTGATAGGCAACTCGATTTAAGGAAAGTTGGTGGTGAGGATTTGACGGTGAAAGAAGATGTTAGTACAGCATGTTCAATGATCGACGAGGAAGTAGTAGCAAGATTAGAAGCGAAATGTTAAATCGAAGGGTGGAATTTAGTATGTAGTTAATAGGTTAGGAATGATAGTTAGGATTGAATGTCAACGGTGTCTTTTCACAAAGACAAGCATTTTCTCCCCTCGTCACCAAAATGACGTTTTTAGCTGGACTTGTTCGAGTAGTGCAGCTTCCCTCTCCAATCCTAGTGTAGGTACGGAATAGAAATCCAGAAATTGAACGAGACGCCAATCTCAGGGAGGGGGAACATTCCCCACCAATCGAACAAGCTACGTTAAAGACTAAGACACGTATAACGTACAGTGAATATATACGGTGCTATACAGTTATTACACGGTGTTGGTACCTGATAGGGTACCTGATAGTGCGTCTACATTAATATTCTTTCCTTCTCCTAAAAATATGCGGAAAAGTTTAGCATAAAGTATGAATTTCTATACCTCGTTTTTTAAAGTTGCACATTACCAAAGTTCACTCAACTAAGAGAAAATGCTACTTAGCATTTCTCAACATTATCATTGAATAAAGTCTACCTAAACATTCACAGCCCCAAATTAGACTCTAACCCCACTCACAATAGGTACAAAGTGAATATGGTATACTTACCTATGCGGATTAACTACAATTATTAGTCTCGCGCCTCAAAATACTACAACAAACCATATGGCCTACATAGGTAGTAATCTAAATTGGTGAATATCACGATGAACTACAGCACCACAAAAAAGTCATGTTGGGTAGTCTCAAACGAAGATCATCTGGCGCATACTGCCGTCACCCTGCAGGAGTCGGGTGTAGGGCGATGTGACCATAACCCTCCTCTAGAAGCCGTAGCAAGGCTATCGACACACACCATCTTCGCCGCTTAGGCTGCGGCTGGTCACTGGCAATCCAACGGAACCTAGATCCGGTAGGCAACTGCTCTAGATAGAAATAGATGTGGTCTAGTGACTAGAAAATGTTCATATTTCAGGACCGTATGAAAAGCATCCTATATGAGAACACACGTTTCATCAATACCCTCAAAGCAACTTCGTAATATTCGTAATGCACAAGATGACTTAGTCTAGCAAATCAGTCATCTAGCCGGTCTTCCGCGTCAGACAAAATCTGGTTCATCGGCAGGAACTCGTACGGTCCCAAGTCCCAGCTGAGAGCGTCTTCCTTGCGGTCCGGCGTCCGGATGGCAGAGCAGGTCATGTAGTCCGGTCCTAGGGAGCGCAGGCAGATATTTGCATCGTCGACCTTGTTCCCGTGGAACAAGATCTCGTGGTCCTTGATGATCTCCTGCTTCTCGATGACCTCGCCGTCCGGTAGTTGCACGAACCCCTGGCTGGGGTGCGGAGCCCGGAAGTGCTTGAACTCGAGGTCCTTAAGCCACGGTGCCAGGAGCGCCTCGCCCGTCATCTTAACGTAGGCCTCGCGCAGGCACCAGAGCGTGTAGAAGGCTCGCAGCTTGAAGTCGATGATTTCATCGCCGCGTGCCAGCGGAGGTAGGCCTGGCTGTGTGCTCAACAGATCACCCTTTAGGTAGTCTGCCTCTGATCGACCGAATACATCCGAGTGCAGGTCGACAAAACTACCCCAGCCCTCCGTGTTGATAACCTTATGGTCGCGCACACGCCGCTCGCTCGTACAAACTACATCTGTCCCAACATCGACTTTACCGTCATACCCGGCTACAGCTACGAGAGCGACGATGCCGGCCTGATGGCTGACGTTGAACGCGACGGGTTGCTTGCCCGTAGCAGGGTCTACGTAGACGGGCTTGGTCTTTTCGTCCCGCGTCAACTTAGTATCCCACCACGAAACGCCAGCATATTTGCTGACGACCCAGTGCTTCAGCAGATGCGAAGCAAGCGACATCTTCGCATCGGCGACGAAGTAATATTTTAGCACTGCCTTCTTCTCATCCTCGGTGAGGAGGGCCAATGCGCGCGACGCCTAGACTGACGTAAGTTATTTAATCTACCCGTCGCAAGACTAAAGCGAAGTTAAATTGCTCATACCTCTTTCTCGAGGTCTTTTGTCTTGGTCGCCCCAAGCCATAATTGGCGGGTGTCGACAAGGTATTGTATGACCTCCACTTTACCCGATCCCATGGTGTTTTTGTTGGGTTAGGAATGGTGAGGAGGTTCAAATTGCAGCTAGCAGGTTTACAGCTTAAGTTATATCGATATCGAAAACGTGAAAACGTGAAAACGTGAGAAGAAAGAAGTCCGATCGGATCTGTCTTACCTCATCTCATTTCGAACTACCTAATGGTTCCTTATGCAGCTATGGCACATCGATTCCTTCGTGTAACATCCTAATTCATTATTGGCTCTAGAATTGATGAGGTACATAGCGGCGGCAGCTACTGATCCTAGCACTAGAGTCCGCTGAATAGACTTTCCACTAAGCGTTCAGGCGTTAAGTCTAGACCCACTACCAGAGATCCATCACCTCCACTACAAACACATCCGACTTCTCGCAACTGCAGGTAGTAAAAAAGCAAAACTTTCCAATTAACAAAGACATATACCTATATATGTAAGGTAGCTACATATTTAGATGAACAGCAACAACAGTTTGAAATTATAACTTCCCATCGCCGTATGGATATCTGTATTATCCGTATATCCCAAAAGGCACTATGTATAAATAGTAACCCAAAACCCGGGGACCCAGTATCCGTCCAATGCAATTATATCCTCCTATTCAAGACCTAAGCCAAACATGAAAACTTCCTCCGTGTTAATAAACAGCCACCAAGTTAAAACAATATGTTGGCCCATGAGACCATGATGGTAACATAAAACATGAAAGTAACAATGCAACTCCAGTCCCGCAATCCATCGCTTACGCTTCATGGCTTCATGTTGTCATAAGCCAGACTTTAGCATCCTATTAAGAAATAGGGAGCTTTACTCCTCTTCCGAGACATCTTCCTCGTCATCCTCTTCCGAGGAGTCGTCGTCCGAGGAGGAGTCCTCATCTTCCTCATCCTCCTTGACCTCCTCTTCCACTTCTTCTACCTCCTCCACCTCTTCTACCTCCTCAATCTCTTCCACCTCCTCTTCCTCCTCCGAGTCATCTTCATCCCTATTAACCATCTCCTCCGGCGCGTAGAGCCCAGCGATGGTCTCCAGGCCAACAGACGTCATACCGCCGACCCCGCTGTAGGACACATCGGGATATACCTCCGCGATCAGGCTCACGAAGTCAGCGTCGATTATAAGATCAAGATCTTCGGGGTCAATTGGCTCCAAGTCATCCACGGAGACATCGTCGCTGTCGCTTAAATCGGAGTCGTCCTCGGGGGAAGCGACAGCAGCAGTAGTAGTAGCAGTAGCAGTGGTATCGGGATGCTCCTCAGGGGGGGTGATAGCGTTAGAAGCAGAAGCGTACATTCTCTCTATGATGGAAGGAGTCTCAACCATAACCATACGGCAACGCTTGATCGAGCGGCCCGTTTGGTCCTCGTCCTCTTCTTCAGGCAACTCCGGCGGCGTGCCGAAGGCCTCATCGTACTTGCGCTTGATTCTTACTGGCCCCAATGGAGGTGTGCTAGTCTCTGTGTTGGTGTTCGGTGGGGTGGCGGAGCCCTCTGGGGTCTCGAGGTTGCGGTTTAATAACATTAAGATAGGTGCCGAGCGCTTAGGCAGCTCGACCTCAGGGCTTGGGGTGTGAGCGTTGTTAGGCATGTCGGTAGTAGCGTGGATATCCGTTATGTTAATTATGTAGTGAATTATGTAGCGGTGTTTCTGATTGTTATTTGATAGGCGGATATCAAGTCGAGGGCGACTTCAATAAAGGGGTAATATATTTCAATAGGCGAAATATATGATCAGATAGGATAGTCGAATCAATTGCCTACTCTAGTAGGCTGTAGGTGTTCCTTAGTTGATATGATCTCTATTTGGATCCCGTATTCTCGTATAGTCGAGTATATAGACGGTTGGTACAATTGTATCCGCCTATGACAGTATATGTTAAGAGTGCTGTGTTGTGTGTGTTGATAGTGGCGTGCATACCTTAATATGATAGTAGTAATATATATACACTATATATAATATACAACGATAGTGCCGTACGGCGTATAAGCGTTGCTAATAATGACCCAAGATATAGGTGTTGGGTGGTAGGTAGAAGCTAGTTAAAGATAAACGATATATAATCGTAGATCAGGATTGGTCTCTATAGCAATTGATTGTCGATATTGGCTTGCTAATAAATTTGGGAATAGTAATAAGAGAGGAATAATTTGGGTGGCAGGTAGAAACTAGTTAGGGATAAACGATATATAATCGTAGATCAGGATTGGTCTCTATAGCAGTTGATCAGTTGATTGTCGATATTGGCTTGCTAATAGATTTGGGAATGGTGATGAGAGAGGAATAATTTGAGTGGTGTGCCTAGTAGGCGGTGATAGTTTTGTGTTTATAGTTGAGTATGTTTGAGCAATCGAGTATTTTTGAACAGTTCGGATTCGTAGACAATTGCTTAGGAATTGGGGAAAGGTGTGAAGAATGAGAAGGATGAGAAATTTCCACAGATGGATAGAAAGGGCCCTTTCTATCCAAATGTATTGCCCGGGCAGTAGAAACATAAACCTACTCCCAGACTCATAGTTCTATACTTGAAGGGGGATCTACTAGCTAGTTATATGCTTTCTGGGTAAGTAATAGCATCTATAAACGCGCTATAGGAGCAGCGTAGGGTAGAAAGGGTCCAAGTACCTCCCAACAAATACAAACCGTGCTGGGTTAAAAGCTCTGAATATGTCCCGAGTCAATCTCCAGTCATTGTCCTAGCCCGGATTGCCACCCGAGTTTATGCCTAAAACTTTTGTTAAAGATCCGGCTATACGGACACTCATGAGCTCGTGCCCCTTTCCAGACTATCTGACGCCGCTCATGGGTAGGAACCCCGGGCTCACATATTTAGTACCTAGGTACGTATAGTCATATCTTTTATCGCAACTTATGTTGAGTCTACTAAGTTATGCTATAGTACTGTAGAATAAAGTATTCGGACTCGTCTATAGAGTTATAAATGGCTACCTAAAGTTTATATCCAACTAGAATGAATACAGTTTGAAAATAGTATGTTTATAGTCGATATTATACACCAACTCTTCGTATTAGGCCTATAAATAAACCATCATACTGACTCATAGTAACTTCCACCCTAAATATCAAGTAACTAAACTAAATATCCTAGCAGTAATCATACACGGGCCTTTTACTTCTATGTTACCTAGAGAAACCCCCCTTTAGCTTCTGTCAATGTATCAATATGATAGTTATGAACTGTCACCTTTATCGTTAAAATCACCCGAGGAAATAAAATTAGAATTTGCACATCCATAATTGTAACTGTAGTTCTAGCTAATAAACTATAGTTTCGTTTACGTGGTCTAATTCACTCCTGTCAGTATCTAGGGCTATGCTTTTAGAAATTTAATCGAATGATGCTCAGATGGCATGATTAACTTCAAGCCGTTTGGGAAACGCTAAATTAATCATTTTGGTGCTAGGACTTCACACATGTAGCTATGTAGCATTTTCATCCATAACTACCGAGGTACGTCTGTATAGAATGCTATCTGTGTCCCTCTATGAATCGCCAATTTCGCTGGGTGCTGGAACCTCGATCGAGAAAAGGAAAACAGGGTAGCCCTTATTCTTCTTGGCTTCGGGCTTAGAATCCTTCCCAGCCTTAAGCTCGCCTTTCTCGCTAACCTCTTTGTTGGAGGGAGTGTTCTGCTTGGTCGACTTGACATCAGGGGAAGCATCATCGTTAGCTTTGGTATCCGCCTTATCTTCTGCCTTGTCGTCACTCTTGCTATCATGCTTCTTCTTATCCTTGGCCTCGTCCTTGCTCTGAACTAAACTGATGACGTTTCCATCCCCATCAATTTCTACTATCGTATCTGCGGTATCTAGACTACCATCCTCTGTATAGCCCCACATTTCGCGAAGTTCTCCTCTGAATAGGCCCGTAATCCAAGCGGCGAAAACAACGCCAGGAACAAGGTATAGCAATGCTGGCTGTGCGTGGCGGTAGACTAATAGCATAACCAAAGTCACCACCATAGCGAGCAGGTATCCGATTAGAGCAGCGTAGAAATACGGTTTAGGGAATACCACAGCTTTTAGTGCGGGCGTGGCATCTGTTGACAGTTTGCCAAATTTTGTACTCCAGAACCAATCTCCCCATTGCTCTTGTGGACTGACGTAGTCCGCTTTGACTACCATGCGTTGTGTCTCCGTATTAGTGACGGTTTGGCCTGAAGACTCATCTTTACTTTTTAACTCCACGGGGACAAACTTTTGTTGCCGGTAGTAGTACATGTAGAGATCAAAGCGCAGGCATAGCCCGACGAAGATTCCGGGAAGTACAATGTCACCTAGTCCGAGCATACTAGCTTTAGAGGGTCCTTCGAAGACGAGTTTGATAGGAACGTCAAGCTTGGTAGCGACAGTCACCATGTAAGGGCTGTACTCAAATGTAAGCGAAGTGAATTATGATAAGCATAAGAGATAGCACAAGAGACTTACGTATAAAAAACCATGTAAATGTCGTAGAAAAAGAGCCCAAAAAGGACAGCAGTTCCAGTGGCGAACGTGGTTGGAGACATCAAAATGATACCGGTGTAAGAAAAGGAATAACCCATAAGGTTGGATAGGAAGGTTGATTGCGTCGTATAGTATACTATGTTCGCTTGGATGGCAAGGACAAAGCCAATAATATCATTAAACTTGATTTTAAATTTCTGGTTCGTAATGCCGTGGATTGAGAGGCGAATAGTCCATTCTTCCGTAAGTAGACGACGGATCTCCCAAAGTAAACTATTCGTCGCATCGGAAACACTCAACTCAGACCACCAATATGGAAGAGGACTTTTCTTCTTGTCATCCCATACTTGTTCGGCAGAGTCCCCGTTAATAGACCACTGGCCCTTTTTCGAGGTGTCGATATGGTATAGCTTACCATTCTTCGCAAGCCATACGTTAGGAAAGATAAATCCAGTGATGTAATTTAGTGAGTCAGCAAGGAGCTTCCCCATGGCGACCAGGGACATGATTGAGAAGTATGCTCTCAATATCTTATTGAGGATCTCCGGGTCATCAAGCCATTTGATTAAGTAATAGAGTCCTGTGAGGACAGTTCCCGCCATGATAGGGAGCATAATGGCATCAGAAGGCAGAAGGCCTTGGACAAGCTCGTCTTCCTTATCTTGATCTCTCCGGCCTCCTTTCTTACCCTTCTTGGCAGGATTTGCAGACGGAGGGCGACGAAGGGCGGCTTGAGACCCGATGTAAATGCAAGCCATTGCCGTGAAGATGATGCGGCCCTCGAGGAGGAAAAAATCCCTATTGTTCCAGAGAATTTCTGGTAGGCTGGCAAGTTTCTCCGTAAGAGTCTGATTGGCTGCTAGAGACTCTGTCACGTTTGCGGCCGAGATCTCGCTCGCCGCGAGAAGAGTCGAATTGCCGCTAGCCATGTTTTACTTGGTACCGAGACTAAATAGAGGCTAAGCAATATGAGCTGGAGTTGTGATTTGAAAGGTTGTGTTCAAAGACACCTAAAGTGAAAGAGAGGCTGTTGTATGAATTTTGTTTATGCAGCATAAAACGAAGCCTGGGTCCTCAAACTGGCTCTGCTCTTTCCAAACTTGGCGGGGTTATCCTAGCAACGGCCAAGTAAGATATCGGATTTTTTATGCTTCAATAATTTATCGGAAACCTTTAGCAGCCGGTGAGCGAGAGTGTAAGAGAAGCCGTGAAAACGTATGTGGCATCCAGGGTCTTCACCTGGAGAACTGCGTAGGTCTTGGGTGCATTAGGTACACATGATTTGTGTCTAAATGAAAATGAAAAGATTCACAATGATGAGGATATATTTACGTCGGAGAATAAAAAATCAAACGAAGTATCTTCTAGCTCATAAAGGTGTTGTTTATGGAAGACGCAAAGATGGTAACTGGTCGTTCGAATCTACGTACCTGGATGACCTAAATGTGGCTTATTCGTAAGGCAGTTTTGCGTGCGCCTAGAATCCGTGGCTGCCTTCCGTATTGAGAAATACTGATAATTGCATGACTCAGGAGCGGCCAATCGAATACTCGAGGTACCGCCCCTCCAAAGCTCCAAATTAGAATCTCGACCTTTTGGAGCTTCAAAATAGCTTCAATTGACACTGAAGCTTGTGATATTATATATCTAGAGCTAATATTGTACCACGCACACCCGGCCGCCCAAGATGACTACCAATGTCGCCCTCGAGACCTCCATGGTACGTATACACTTCTATACTCACATCTTCACTCACATCTATATCTACCTACCTACGGTACATACATGCTCTTCTCCCACTAACCTCCTCCTCCTCCCCAGGGCACCATAATCCTCGAGCTCTACAGCACCCACGCCCCCCGAACATGCACCAACTTCCGCACCCTCGCGCAGCGCGGCTACTACGACGACTGCGTCTTCCACCGCATAATCCCGAACTTCATGGCGCAGACGGGCGACCCGACGGGCACCGGCCGCGGCGGGACCTCCATCTACGGCGAGAAGTTCGAGGACGAGATCGCGCCTGACCTGCGGCACACCGGCGCGGGAATCCTGAGCATGGCCAACGCCGGCAAGGATACCAACGGCTCCCAGTTCTTCCTGACGCTGGCCCCGACCCCGTGGCTCGACGGCAAGCATACCATCTTCGGCCGTGTGAAGAGCGGACTTGCTGTTTTGAAGCGCTTGGGTATGGTGAAGACGGGTGCTGATGATAGGCCTGTCGAGGAGGTAAAGATTATCAGGGCGAGGGTGCTTGATGATGAGGAAACCGTCTAGTAACCAGACTTTAAATCATACTAGTCGCATTTATCGCGAGGATATAGAATATGGTCACGGGGATGTATGATATGCATAAGTTGGCGTTTTGGAGTTCGAAAAGGCTTCACGGGTTAGACGTAGAGATACCAAATCACATAACATTCGTGGTATATACCTATGTACGAGTCAACTGTAAGCCCTCGCACTAGCCGCTAGACGGCTTGTATTACATATGTGCAAAAGAAGCGCTCTAAAGATACAGTTTGATGATGATGATGATAATGCACGCCAGATGTCCCTATCTGGATCCGATGCAGAACATTGCCTAACCCCAGCCCCTATGCTCGCTGACAATATAGCCCCGGAACCCCTTGAATGCAGTGCTGCGGCTAGTGTACAAGAAAGCTGTGAAGGTGCCAGGCGGAGAATTCCCAGAATTCTCGATGGATAGTTGACGTCTATAGTGTTTCATGGTGGAGGGTATCGTGGTTTGTTTAATATCTCAACGAGAAATCATCCCTCGACTATACAACCGGTGGGGATGATAATGTTCCTGAGCTTTCAGACTCGCGGTCATCATCTCCTCCACCGCTGGGAGCCGAAGTCTTACCATTGCTCTTTGACATAGGTGATGATATTAGCGGTTTTGACGCTCCTAATTTCAGCTTCTTAGCCGGACTAGGCACCTTCGTCATCTTCTTCTTAGGTGCAACTTCTACGGTAGACCCTTCCGCATCGTCGTCATCTACCTTCTGTTCTACACTCAGTGAGGAGCTCGTCTTAACTTTTTCTTTCTTGTTGCTAGAAGCGTTCTTCTGCTTAAGAATCAGTTTCTTGTTGGCCGCATTCGCGGGCGTGGGCTTCAATTTCTTCTTCTTGTGCGAGTCATTGTCTGTGTCGTCATCATCATCTATCTCGTCACTGTCTCTCTTCTTATAGGGACTGCCGGCCCTGGAGCTTGGGTGAGGAGTGCCCTTTTGACTAGATGGCGGAGTGCCGTCGGCATTTCCGTTCGTGTTGCTGCCATTGCTGATCTTCTGCGCGGCCGCACGGCTAGCATTACGCCCGCTATTTCCAATACATGAACCCATATGGTTATTTAATCGGGTGACCAGGATGCAGCGCTTGCACTTGCTGCAGGTTGCCGACGGGAATGAGAGCATATTTGGGGGCCGTGAGGCAGCGCCTCCACCCGTTCCTCCTTCTGGAACTGGCGTCTGCGAGTCTGAGTTTTGCTCTAGCTTCTTCTCCATGTCCTTCTTTTTCTTCCCCCTCCCTGGGCCTTGTGCAACCCATGTTTGACCGTAGATGTCGTAGCCGGGCTTGTCAATGTACGGGTGTTTCTTGCAGTAGATTATGCTCGGGTCGGGTTTCCTCGCTCCTTTGCCGTCTGTAGGATATAATAATCTTGGGAGGTGACATCTTGGGCAGACAATGTCCTTGGTGGTAGCTAGCGGGTTCCCCTTCAATAACACCTTCCCTTCGTCGTAAACAGCCGCGTCTGTTTCGACCTTGACGTCTGGTCGAGCGTCGGGGGCGGAGGAATCTGATGTATCAGCGGCTAGCTTCTCGACGCGAATGGCAGCGGTTGAGGCGCGAGCGATCTTCTCCTCTCGATGCGTCTGCATTAATAAATCGTGCACGATGTTGTAGAGTAGATCGTCAAGAATAGCATGCGCCTATAATACGACATAGTTAGCCGCATTCATATAGCTTGGGTTGTAACAATAGTTATGTTCGGAGATGTTATAAAAATGTAAACTGCCAACTCACAAGCTGGTCCATTCTCCCGGCACCTTCTGGAGCTTTAATAACTCCAGCCTTGCCGGTATTGAATGAAGCCATGGCGAACACTCAGTGTGGCCGTATGCCGACGTCGAAATATATCAAAGGTATTGACGACTTTGGCTAGGAATGAAGGAGATCCCAAGGGCTGACAAATTACGCGAAACCAAACTCCAAAGGAGTCCAAAGGAGGGATAAATGGAAATGCTGGCGTTTGGATCGGAAATATTAAAAGTAGGGGAAAAGTTCAAGTAAATGGTATCCACCTCGAGAATACCAGAATACCAGAATACAACCCCCTAAAGTTTTGGAGGTTTTGGCGTTTGTTTTATTAATTCAGCAGGCCAGGAACGTTCTCAATTGCGATTGCTGTCTGTCGGTGTTAAGAATACCGGTGATGCTTATGTAGTAGCTTTATTTTTGAGGAATCCTCTTTTTCTTTTCCTTTATCGTTAATCTCTTTCAGGCGCGCAGACGGGGAGAAGGATCCAGGCGAGCGTCCCTTCCAGATAGTTAATTAGTATTAACTATCTGTACCTAACCGGAGGCTGAATTTTTGACCCGTAAGCCTGACAGTGTAGTACAAACTAGCCGCGATAGCGAATCAACTAACTGGAATCCCCATGCATTAGTGGGCAGAAGTGTCCCGGATCTTTTAAGGTGCGCTACGTAATACCATGCAGTACCTGAATTTGTACATTGAGTACCTCAACGTATAATATTAAGGTTGATGGGTACATAGGAACTCTAATAAATTAGGTTCAGAATATAAGAAAGGACATAGACTATTACATACATATCCTTTGATCTATAATTGCTAATAACAACTATGACAAGATCACAAACTTCTTCCTTTCCTCCTAATAAGCCACCTAATCACCTGTAAATCAAGAATAATAGCGTCTTACAGCAGTACCTAAAATAAAGTGTAAGCTGTCCCCTGTGGAGCTATCGATAATTGCTAAGCTATTGTTTTTTTTTTTTTCCTTTTCGTTAGGTAATCCCTACCTCTAATTTGCATGCGCCGCGCGAGCCCGAGGTCCGTAAGGCACTTAACGCGGTCTCGCCTAAGCCGCCATTAGCATCCCGTCTTTTCTTTCGTATTGGAACTCGCCAATTTCATGTTTACGGTCTCGTGCCATGGCAATAACTTCTTTCCCTCTCAGCTGACAACGGTAGTATCGGATATTTAACTTGGAATAAACATGTCTCTTCCCTCCACTAACGCCAATGGGCAATCTTCAATCCGGAATTTCTTCCAGCCCAAGACGCCATCATACGTTCAGCCCCCCGCCATCTCCCGGGCACAGGCAGCACCTCCTGTTCCTCCATCGCCGCCGTCGGTAGCCGCCGCCTCCTCTCCAACAACTGAACAGAATGGCCCGAGATCACCGCTGTCGCCAGTCCTTACGACCGCACCACTAACGAGACCGTCGTCCCTTCACCCTCAAGCGACTATCTCACCAATTCTACCCGAACACGTCCCTGCTCTACGACGCATAACCTCTCTCCTCCTACCTGTCAACTACCCCGATTCCTTCTACGCGCGTCTCTCCGACCCGCTCTCCTCCGGCGCATTCAGCCGCGTAGTTCTCTGGTCTGACCCGTCCGACTCCAATGGCACTCCCAAAGTCATCGGGGGTCTAGTCTGCCGGCCCGAGCCGTCCCCGTTCACGTCCTCGTCCTCGAGGAAGTCTCTGTCGCAACCCATGACCCCTTCCTCCCAACCCAACGCGCTGTACATCCAATCTTTAGTCCTACTCTCGCCGTACCGGCAGCTAGGGCTCGCTGCGGCGCTGCTAGACGATGTGGTGCGGGCCGCGGCCACGAGCCCCTTCACCTGTGATGAGGTGTACGCGCACGTGTGGACTGATAACGAGGACGGTTTGCGCTGGTACCTTGCGCGCGGCTTTACCAAGCACGGCCAGGTAAACGGTTACTACTTCAAGCTGCGACCCGACAGTGCCTGGATCGTGAGGCGTAGTATCGGCCCCGTTATCTCGGCCCTGGGATTGAACGGTGCAGCAGCATCGAGCAGTACGGGAGTGGCAACAACGATTCCGCCGAGTACCACAGCCGCAGCAGCCAATCTTCTAAGCCAGCAGGCTCCGACGCCGCCGACTCTAGCAGCTACTTCGGGGGCGGGTACACTCTCAGCACCGCCGAGGAGCAACGGGCCCTCGCCGAACCGCAGTCCTGGTGCCGGAGGGTTGTCATTCCAGAACGCGCGGCCGGAGACGGAGTGGAACGACTTGCCAGCAGACATGCACGCCTCGCGTGCTGCGGCCAGCGGTCCAGCTAGTAACGCAAGTTCGCGGAGTAGCTCTACGGCGCCGCGGAAGAAGAAGGACCGCGCGTACCCTGCTGCTGCCTTCGGCAAGTAGATAGATATCTACCTGCCCTCAAGACGAGGCTTTAAAAGATAATCCGGGGTCCTACGAGTTTTATCAAGGGATATGAAAGATCCTACTATCAACTAACTAGAGAGGAAACGAGTAATGAGTTTGACGGTTATATATGCGATGTAAGTTTGCTGTCTACGTACGCAAGACTGCAATGGACAAGCATGGAAAGGTTTGAAAAGGCAAGGCAAAGGAGCCGGTAATCTATGCATAGTATATTTGTGTGATCTGGATAGAAAGATTATTTAGGATTTGTTGCGTGACGGAGTTGAGTCGAATTGAGTCGCGGCAACTTTTAGAGCCCATCTTGATATATAGAGGGGAAGAAAATGATAAGAATCCAGGCCTCGAGGCTGTCTATACATGTTCATAACCCCTTAAAAATTGATGGTGTTATCTAGTAAAATACGTGATGGACTTATTTGTTATTGAGTCTCATATTACAGGGCCAGGTATAGATAATACACTAATAGGGGTATCACATAAGAGCTTATTTCTTGTATGGCCAAAATTCACCCGAATACTTCACAAGGCTACATTGCCCTATCTAAGCATCTCCTAGCAATTATCAACACAGCATAGGACGCAGCATATAACTTTCATAATATTTATTGCATTAGGTCATGATTGTAGGTATATAAACATTCATTTTCTTCGTATTAGAAGTCGTGTTCGTCATGCTATCGTTGTCGACTCTCCGGCCTCCGGGATCGTGTTCACGACCCTCTCAGCTACACCATTCTTAATGTAATTCAAGTAATCCACAATACCCTTCTTTTCCATACTCGCAGCAACAAGTGCGATCAAAGCTGCGCCGACACCGCTGCCGTCCTTAGCGATTCCGATGCGGATCCGCTTTGCTCCCTCCGGACCAATACCTTCAATCGCAGCGAGCGCCTCGTAGATCATGTCCCGGAAGAAGGGGTAATGCTCAACGAGACTACCGTCAACGCCGATGTCGATCGGTTCATCCGTCGACTTGTTCAACTCACCACTCTGTAGGACAATCGCACCAAGAGCGACGGCAGAGAGCCGCGCCGCCCGACGTCCAACAGCATATGCTACGTTTTTGAATGCCAAAGCATCTTCAAGCGAGGCAGCATATATTTGCAATTGTTTTTCGAGTTCTTGACGAAGGGATGAACAATCCGGTGTGTTATCAGCTGCGGCAATGGACATTATCGAGCTGTCAAGGCCCCATTGTTTGAACACTCCAGAATCGGGGCCTATCGTAGTGGTGGACTTCCAATCGTTCTGACTAGAATTATCATCACGGAACAACGAGATCTCGGGTCTCTTGAGCATATCGACAATTACCAGACGGACGATCTCGCCTAAGAACATGCCGGATACCCGCTTCTCAAACATCTGGATGCCCGGATTCACGCTCTTCTTGTCCAATTCTATGTCGTACGAAGTATTCGGCAATGTGTTCATCTGGTTGTCGAAGGAGCCCCACTCAGTATTTATGACCATCAGACCCGTCGACTTGTCGTAGTCGCCCTCGACAGGCTTCTTAATGTTGGAAAGCTTTTCCACGTAGGCACCATTGGTTCCAGTTCCGAAGATGGCGCCGAGAAGAGTAGGTGTTTTACCCGGAGAAGTGTAAGAGCGAGCCATAAGCGTGCCAACAGTATCATTCACCAGAGCAGCCACTTTGACAGGGAGGCGAAGCTTGTCAATCTCCTGCTGGAGCAAGGCGCATACGTCTTTGCCAATAGCATCCGGGATGTCAAAACCCTTGGTCCACCTCATAAGAGTTCCCTTGTTAATTCCATACTGCTGAACTGGGAAGCTAAAAGTAAAGCCAAGTCGAAATATCTGCTCATCCCGGTAACCTTCCGGGGTGCTCACCGTCTGCCGCCGGCGCACGTGAGCTTCGAAATGGTCTTCATGGTGAGTTCTGAGAAATAGCTCGATCTGCTTAGCTAAGAATGAGAACAGGTCGCCAGCTTGCTCTGCGACCATTAATTCCTTCGGGATTGCTACTTTGCTGTATGTCAGGTTGAAGGTGGTGTCGCCGTTCAAATGAATGGAACAGACTCGGAAATTCGTGCCTCCTAGGTCGACAGCTAGGTATAGTCCCTTTCTCATGTAAGCGAATGAGTAGCGACGCTGAGGATACCGGACATACCTTTTCAGTGCCATTGGGAACGCCAGTGACGTATGTAGGTATTTGGCTCAAACTCGTGCCGTCGTGTTCTAACCCCTCGACTACGATTATGTTAGCTAAATTCTCGAACATGATTAATACACGGTCGTACCCATTTGCCGAAGGAACTCCTTGACGCCTTTGTTCACATCTTCGTCTGTGTACTCAAACTGCGCGGTGATGCGCTTCGTCTCTTGTGCGAGCGCCATTGTGCGTGCGCGAGATACGGGCGGGGTAGTAGGAAACGGTTGAGGAGACTCGCACACGGGCTCTTGGATTGCAACGGCGGGAGGAGACGAGATAATACGAGAGAAAGGGGGTGATGTGAGGATACGCGGGTATTGAAATTTGACGTTCATGAGGAAAAGTTGCGCGACCTATAAGTTGGAGGGGCAATTAGCAAAGAGAACCCCAAAGAGAACCCCAATTGCGTCAAAATGCTTCGATGCGGGGCCGAGCGCATATGATACGTATAATAGTATATAATAGTACCTAGGACGTAGGTAGTACCACGTAGTGTGTACTAGGTTAAGTAATAGGGGCCGTGGGCACCACATAAGTAGGTATTTTATCTACTATGTATACCAAGCCGTGGGTCTATGGGGAAAAATTCCACTTACCAGCACAAGGATCAGAATGAACAGTGAGAAGAATATGCGGATGGATGTAACAGAAGGCCGAATCTCCGCCTTATCGTCTTGCTGTCGGGCCTTCTTGTCCTTTAGATTGTTATCGTTTATGTTATCGTTTATGTTACCGTTCGTGTTATCGTTCGTGTTATCGTTATGCGATGCAGCAACGCAGATGGACGAGGGATCATCTTCAGCTCTGGCGCTGAAGCGCCAGGCTTTAATGTACTGGGACAATATGAAAGCCACGGCGAGTTTCGCGGGGCTTTAGTGGGGTTAAACGTGATAGTCTGGAGACTCGGAGGAGAATCGTCATCAAGGCACAAGGGCGACCCCGTTCCCCGTTCCCCAGGCTGCAGACGTCGCGCGATCAGGTACTGCCCAGTACCCTGCAAAAACGACCGGCCTCGCGATGATTGGGTTCAACGGGCAAATAATAACGCAGACAAGCTTGAATTTATTGGTAACCGGGCCGTATATGAGCACCACCTGTAGATCACCTAGGTCGCTTGCGACGGATGCGATGATATCATGGAGATCCACCCCTGCAGGAAACCAAGCCTAGACCCAATACCTCGCTTCGTTTGGTACTGATTTTTAGCCTAGCAGCATCAATTTGATTTTGTCCCGTGACCAGAGAAAAAAAACCGGGGTTGATACTGGCACCACAATTGAATCGTGCTCCTCTCAACGTCTCCGAGGCAAGCTGGCAAGCTGGTAAGCTGGTAAGCTGGTAAGCTGGTAAGCTGGTAAGCTGGTAAGCTGGTAAGTTGGTCACTTTCTCTCAGCAACACGAGCAACGATCGGAATACCGAAGGTTAGTTGATTCCTAGGCCAAGACCCTCGGTGGACACCGTGGGGTGATGCGAAACCACGAGCAACAAGTGGATGGGATGGTTAAGTTGAGGGTTCACTCGCTGCGACTGAACACGGCATCCTACAGAAATCCCAAGGATTCAGATGAGCTTATGAGATAAGGGTAAAGGAAGAATTCAGCCAATTGAGAATTGAGCCACAGCAGCGGGCTGACTGCAAGCGAATCAGAGAAGCTTAAATAAATGAGTTGTCAGAATTAGGTGACTGCGCAGCAGGTAAAACAGTAACAAGAATGACCAGAGGTGAAGCTACGATATCTATCTGAATAGGTCTAAATAGGAAGATGTGATGTGTAATGAGGAGAATTTAAGATTGCGGTGAAGCCGAGGACGTATGTACAATGCATAGGTACCTGAGGTAAGTGTGCCCCTCCGTTTCACGATACCTGAAGTGGGCAGCTCCTTCCCAACAATAACCCATTTAATTATGCAGCTAACGAGGCATGTCATAAGAAACATGAACCCCTTTTATGTCTATTAAGAAATAATTTAGATACTTGCTTTAGGTAGGGTTAGCAACTTTATATAAGTGCAGGTGTATAAGAGTATAGATATATGCTATATAGTTGGTGAAGGTAAGCTAAAGTCACCTAAATATTAAGAGACGCCGATAATAATAATACATGTGTCACCCCACGATAGAATTGCTATATTTGCACAATTCTATTTGATAGCCACTAATTTTAGATACGCACAGGTTACTAAAATGTATAGCAATATCAATAATTTTAGGATGTTTTTAAGCTAGTTGCTAGAAAGTTAGCCATGTTTATGTAGTCTTCAAGAAGTCTAGACAGAAACCCAGCAACAAATATGTGGCATATAAAACAACAAAACACCTCGACTCCCACGTACGACCATAGGATCTGGAAAATTCGGGATCCCGTCCGCTCTCCCCGTAGACAAGCTAGATACCGCCGGATTAGTAGTTGGGTCGGTGACGACCAGCGAATACCTGGTGTTGTACGTTTTGTATTTTTATACTAAGTCTCATTAATTACCCCTTTTCATTTTTATCAAGACTTTTTACAGTGATGTATATTATTTTTCGTCTACTTAACATGGTGTTGCTTATATCATCACTACTATTTCAGAAACAGTAACTACAGTCCCCTATCTTCAGTAGGTATGTTAAGCCTAAGGAATCATGATAAGTATAGGTAGGTAGGTAGCTATTACAGGTTCAGCTAGGGACACCAGTGCATTCCGTTAGATAGTCAGCTTCTCATGTAGCGATATCGTTCCTTAAATCAACCAATGTAAACTTGGTGAAACTTAAGAAGCTTGGAAGTATGCACACTAAAACGATCACTTTGAAGTACTTGTGTAATCTTGCCACTATTTCCCGCCCGGCTTTTTTTCGAGCACAAATATTATTATCTAGGTAGTGCTTGAACTCTACCGCATCTTAGACAGTTGTATCTAAAGTAAGCCCAGTAAGTATCACGTAAACTATCTTCTCCCCCATTACTAGCAGTAAAAATGTCACCGGACGATACTCCGAGTAACAGCAGATACGAATCTCTACCTACTCTCAGTTTCGATGACAGTCCTCGAAGTTCGTTGCAGCATGGTCCTTGGGCGACGGATCCAACTCCTATACATATAAATTGTACCATCGTCGAACCAGGTCCCGAGTCGAAGAGAGTCGCGCTTACCGTGCCTAGCCTTGATATTCCACATATCTCTAACGCATACCAACAACCAGACGTGGCTACCGCGACAGCAAGTAATACTTCATCGCATTCATCCACAAATACGAACATATCTACCAATACGAGTCTCTCTAAAGTATATAGGAGGAAATAGTTCAGGCTCCCGAGTGCTGGCCGGTCATGTCACTAATTATATGACGGCTTTATTATCCAAACAGCGAGTCATGAGAGTTCTGGTGGTGGATATAACCCGAGTTTTAATTCAACTGCGCAAGAATCTCTTTCTGTTGATGATTGTTATTTAGATGGCATGCGCGGTAGTACCGTCGTCACTTTGCAACCGCCAATCTGCTCAAGTATGGCATGGAACACCCGGAAATAACGGAGTATAAGATTGAATGGTCCGTCCAGAGATATAGAAACTCTCGCGGTGGAGAACGGCACCATGTCTTTGGGAGTATTCGATGAACTTCCGCTTAACTATGTCGAATCCATCACCGGCAATGAGAATGTGAGATGTCTCTTAAAATTCACTACTGCGTCTAACCAGGAAAACACACAGCAGAACAGCATTTTCACCATAAATCCAACCGATTATAACCGTATTGGAGCCTATCTCGCTGGGATTTTCTCGTCCTCTGACAAGCAGGACTTTGGTAGGGGTTTAATGAATTTTCTTAGTATTGAAGAGACTGTGTACGCAATATCACGGAGAGCATGACATACGCGATTGAGGACGGTCACAACGCCACTTAGATCGCCGGCGATGCCATTACATTTGAACAATTCATCAGCGTAAGCTGGCCATGGATCATACTGCCGTTAGTATGTAGAAGTTCTGATGGGGCTGATACTGCTAGTTCTTACTTTACAGATTACTAAAAGAGGAGATACGGCGTCTTGGAAATCATCTAGCCTCGTCCCTTTCCCAATCCAGAATAAAGGCTGGGAGGACGGAGACCTATCGGATTTGTCAATTAAGGGAATTGAGAGTATTTCACGACACATGAGAGGAACCCTACAATCTAATATGGAGGCTACAATGTTTATTGGGGCTGATGAAGGACGAGGTTAATGTATTTCAAGAGCCTTTTAACTTCTTCATCAAGGGTTAAAAGAATTTCTCTGAAGTTGTTCTTGTAGCTATATTGGCCAATCCTATTATAGCATGTGCTATTAAGCAAGGGGTCCCGCCCATTTTCAAGGTTAACCCTTGTTACTTCGAATTGAAAAAAAAAAAAGAGTTCCCAAGCAACCACAAAAACAAGTCGTGATAAGGCAGACTCATAGAGAAATAATCAGGTTTGAACTGACCTAGATGACGTTAATAAATACGATTTTAAACATTATACTAACTATGAATATGGCATCGTCGAGTTATGCCAACCTAAAGTACGAGTTTTGAGAGTCGCAAAATACCCAGGCATATTCTAGTCTCTCAGGTGGTAATGAATCCCTAGATCCTCTATGAAATCCGCCTAAAGGCATTAATTCCAGCTGACGGGTGCTGCTCCTGCTAAGCACAACTCTAGGACTTATGGGGTACCTTAGGTAACAATGCTCTTTATAACCTACATATATATCCAGGAGATAAATTTCGTCCGTCCCTCATATAAGGCTTGACCCCAATACACCTAATTTTATATAGACCTCGACTACCTACTTCATAACTGTCATTAAAACTAAACGTCCCCTATTATGCTACTGGCAGATGTCAGTTGGATACTGACAAATCATTATTTTCCTATATCAATACTTGCATCTCGATGGCCTGCATGTAAATCCGGCACGACGTATCTTTGACAGGCTATGGTTTCATTATAACCCCTCTTGTATCCCTTTCATCAACATTTAGAGCATGGGGAGGTTGAAGTGTAAAAACCTACGGTACGACACAGGTTCACACTGAGGTGAATTTGATAAGAATCGCCATAATGTTCGCTTAAAGGGCGGTGGCAATTAATAATATCTTGGTTTGGTTGTTCATACATATTTGGTCTTCTCGTGAGTTTGTGCTTCAGCTTCTAGGTTCCCTTTTCCCTCGGCGACCTTAACATACATACAGAAATAGCCGCAATATCAACCGTCTTTGATCTAGCCCCTATTTCCGTAACGGTACTCCTAAGACATTCGTATGAGAACAACAGCGATGAAGATAGGAGAACACAGAAATGTGCACCTTACAATTGGCTAGGTAGGTACTTTTCTCGATTTTTTCCTAATGCAAAGTCTCTTTCAGGGAACACCCCTACACTATTCTAATTTGATAGCGAACTGATGCCTCAGCTGAAAGGCACAATGGTGCTGTCTATCAGCCGAGAAGAGTCTCAATCGACATCAAGTCGAGCCTCATGGGGAACAAGAGAGCCACACCATCCCACGCAACTGCGAGCCTCGGCGATTACCCTGGCAACCTTTTATAATGATAGACGAAATTATCATAAGGTCGACTCTAATTTCCTAGGCGAGTCACGAGCCGCCTCGCCGCTGTGTAGTTAGTGCGACTCAACCGTGGTGTGATGCGGCTGAATAGGCCCCCTATAAGCCGAGGTAGCCAAAATAGCGTTGTCTATAAAGATTCGTCTTTCCCGTTCAACTGGTTGTTTACTTGGGGTAAACGGAATCTAGGTTACTATCATCTATCTATTTAATACTTCCACAGAATACCCCTATTTTATTACTTGCTTCAACAAGAATCTCAACAATCTTCAGGGTCTACTTAGGTAAGTATTACTTGAAGAAATAATAACTATCACTTTGTTCAACAGTATACGTATTCCAGGTATATATTCGAATTCGAGTAACTACTAACTTAGATATCTCGATAAATAGGTCATGTTATCGATTCATTTACGATGTTTCTAATCTATACTACGCGTAACAGCGGTTCTTGGGGATGCGATCATAATAACCATATTACCTCCTTGGAAATTGTCAATTGATAGATTTGGCGACACATTTATTGTTGTTTTGGCTTAGGCTCGGTGAGTATAGGCATCGCATAGTCATCATATACTCACCGAACTCAACGTCGCATGCCAAGCATAAGCTAATTATTATTCAGGTCGCTACCTATGTATTCGTATATTCACCGAAATATTTCATCGGGCGAAATGTATTTACTTCGCCTCGAACTAAACCAATTTGCCTGGACTAGAGTTGTTGTCCCTTTTTACATTTGATACCTCAGAAAAATACATTTATTAGTAATTGCTGACTGCTGCGTGTCACCTATAGACGTACAGCCCCAAAAACGACACTAATAAATGGAAGTATTCAAGATGCAAACAATTCTGCCCAAGGCAATCCATATTGAACAGTTGTAATTCTACAACTGTAAAATGAAAAATCACAGCGTCGAATACTGTTGCGTTTAAGAGCAGGAATACAATTGTACTCTGTTAAACACTCGGATACCGCCGAATCGAGCGTTCGAATAATGGCGCAGCTCATATATCAGGGCATTTGGTCTCTTTTGTCCTTGTGGCTCAGTCCAGTCACTCGACGGGTTTACATCACAACTTGAATAACTTGGTATTTGCTGTTGATGAAGGGCTATACCCAGAGAAGAACCGAAGCAAATCAAATTCAACCCCCAATGCATAGCCCATTGGTCATAATCTCACGTGAGGTCAATGATGTATTCTTTAACTTGTCAGTATACCGGGCTGCTGTTTCTGTTTGGCTATCATTACTACAGATCAATCAACTATAACATTGAATTATACTCCTCCATGGTTGACGCCCGCGCCTATCCGCCCCGTGCTGAAGATGACACCGAACTAGATGCCTCGCTATAGGCTAGGTAAGTACCGCAAGCTAACTCATGACCTACAATGTAATTTACTTTACCGGAAAATTATTATGACGACGCTTGCCCTTGGTCGCTTTACTGCGCGGAGGCGAAGCTTGTACGCCCACGACCCGCTTGGACAGCAACGGGAAGCAAAACTATAGACTCACCAAGGCGTGAAGCCGTTTCTCAGACGAACTATTCACAGGTGTCACCAAGGACAGCGGTTGAAAGGTCGGTAAGTTCAAATTCCAGGTGTTGTCCTAACAGATATGCTAACCCCCAACAGTATCATTATCTTCGAGTTTATACACCATGACTGAGTATAGGTCCACTTTGGCCTGGATGATATTGTAAAGAATCGTATATAAAAGGCCTCAGGCCCTCGCAGGAAGGAATTTCATTTCATACTACCAGCCCACTACATTTCAGAGTCAACACTTCATATAAGTCTCTCTCGCCATTTCAAGATTCTTTACAGTTTCCATCTAATCGCCCATCACTCAACATGCCTACTTCTCCCAGCACCAGTACCAAGTTTTGGTACTGTTGCTCTTGTGGCTTCGGCCCGATGACTGTCGCGAATACCCCTTCCTGCATTCAATGCCATCGCCACCCGCATTGTGCCAACTGCACAGTGACAGTCGGCAGTTAAGGTAGACCATCGGTCTCGCGTATCTTCGAATCAAAGGACTTTCTTCGAGAAGGGCCTCATCAAATACATAGGCTTCTTCTTGATGGCCAAGCAATAAGTCTTTGGATCTTAGATCTTAGCAACGAGTATCGACTAGGTATTATTACTCTTTACGCATCCTTCGACAAAACATATATGCACGATACGAGTCATTATTCGACATGTTTCAGTTCATTTGTTCTTTCGGCTATTCGGTTTTCGACTTTAGACTTAGACCTAGATTTCACATTCGGCCCAGGCCCGGATTAGACATGCCTACGCGAATATACCCTGGATGGTGTACACGGTTGAGTTTGGCAGCAGTTTTGTGCTTTTTCTTTTCCTTGGATATAGAGAATGGGAATACACGGAGAAAAGCAACTCAGGAGGATAGAGCAGGGGAAAAGGGGAAAAAGGAAAGGGGGAAAAGGACGAAAACCAACAAAAGGCTTTTTTTTTTGGAGCGCTGGTTTCTACTGACATTCGTCGTTCCTCTACTTATCTATACCCCCTGATCACCCTCTCGCATGGATTGGCTATTGTGCTTAGGATTTTGTCATAGAATTACTTAGAAGCATTTTCTCATTTTACACATTACATTAGATAGTTTATAGATCGGTTGGTCCTCATTGCTCTCTTGACCCGCGCTTGTCCTTTACACCGCCATAGGCATTTCTTGTGCGAACTTTGAAGTAATTACAGACAAACAATGTCGTTTAATTTGTGAACATAGGAAATAGGCTGCCTCTGACTACCCAGGTACATATTTACATTTTGCCACTCAATTGCTCGCCGCAATAATCTCGTCGTAGGTACTACATTTCATTCTACGGTTGTTGACTCACAATTGAAAGTGTCGAGTGACCAAACATCGGTGAATTTGGCATTGGGGATTGGTTAGGTTCTTCCACTAGGCGTAATAAGTTATTAGACTTACAGTAGATATAGATGCATCGGAGAGTAATTACCAATAATATCTTAGTATTGCTGGCCCCTCTAGTTGCTACCTATCACCAATAAAATGCATGCAATTCCTACCGACTCTCGATGCTAACGGGGGCAGTACACATTGTTTCTTTTTACTTCTCTAATAATCATTTAGCGTGTGTACATACGCAGGTTAATAGGTAGGTATGAAACGAGGTCGTTATGGTGGCGGTGGCAAAGCTGTTTAAGCATCTCACGTCATAATCTTCAATACTAGCACTGATTTCGCACCTGCAATGCTGGTGTTAATATCCTGTGCCGTATGTTTCAATGTGCAAACTTATAGAAAAATGACTTGACATATCTGCCTTATTACTTACCGGTGGCCTATCAACCATCTCAACAGTAGTAATTGGGCCATTTACGGTTCGTGTCATAGATACGACGTATATTGCAATCTATAAGTTACACAGGCGTTCATTTAAATGAACACCTTTGGCCAGTGACATGTCATCCTGCGATCTGCCGTACCTAGAGATCGCCCACTTGTGGGTGTACGAGTTGCACGAGGGATAAGCTCGAAGATCTTCTAGAACCTATCTAGGGGTCTCAATACTCAGCACGGCCACGTGGGAAACATGCTACTACGTACACACCATCTTTTCGGTAGGGCCAGCTAAAGCTGCAATTGGTCACAATATAATCCCGTGAGAGCTTTTGCATGTACGGGCAGCATATATCAGTGAGCATGTGCTCTGGCCGGCCTCCGAAGTAACATAACCAGACGTCGGTGAACGGGCGAGGCTCACTATGGTCGGAAAACGTAGAATCAATGACCAATTAATTTCCCGTGGCGCTTTCCAAGCCCCCAAGGCTTGCGGTTTGGTTCATTGGGCATCAATAGTTCAGCATCGCCACTTTTGTCCTTTATTTGTTGAAAAGACCTTTATACAGTCATCCCGTTGCTGTATATGCTAGAGGGCATCATTGCCGGTATCTACGTCACACCTGAGTGATATATGTCCACAAGAATCTAGGCTAGATTGTCTCGGTAATGTTGCTCTTAAAAGGGCGGAGTACTGTGTCAGCATACCGTTCGCTCAATTCTATTTGGAAATACCGAAAAGCTCTGGAACCCTGCTGAAATATCCTAGACTGCGCTTTATTCTTCCATATTGTCCTCTCCTTTTCTTGTTTTTCTTGCCCAAACGACGCCCCGTTGATACACAATATAGAACCTCCAAGCCCACTAGGTCTGGGAGCTGAAAATGGCGTTTGATTTGTTGCTCGGCGGTCTTAACAAGCAGTGGCTTTATTAGATTAATCCGATAGGCCAATTATTTAGTGAAACAATTAATTATCAACTAGGCTGTGTTCTGTAACAAGGCAATCATGGGAACGAAATGTAGGTAAAATAAGTATACAGAGCTTTTTCGTGATTATAAATCTTACACCGTTGGTAGTGCAAGAATAGGGGCTTTATCTACCTTCTATGAGAATCTCCACTATGGCTTTCGTCTAAGCCTACTAACATACTTTTCCTGGTGAAGCGTATTGTGCTACCCTAAACCTCTTAGCACGGATGATGATATGACACATCTTATAATTGTTACGCTTTACTCTCGTCTGTCGTAGCCAGCTGCACGAGTGACGCTGGCCAAGATAGCACTAATAGAGGCGTGGCCTTTTTCTTTAAGCTACACTTCCGAACTTATGTCAAACTGTGACGGAAGCGTGCTTCATGGTTGTAGGTCCACAGTGTGATGCTCGAATCTAGGTGGAAGAGCTGAAATATATTGTGTAACTAGTAGTTATTGTTCAAACGTTACATTAATGAAGCCGTGACTAGGTAACCCTTTCCACAGATACTTTGAACCTTTCCTCTGAGATATCGCGCCTACTACATACCTTGGGCCTTGAGATTCTATTAGGGGTCATATATTCATACAGCAACGTTTTCTCAGCTTCCTATATCTTCGACTAGACGAATCCGTCTAATTCATTCTCCTGCACCCTATTATAAGATGAAGCTGATCATCAAGGAGGCTTCTATGGCAATTTTACTCGTCACCAACCTCGGTAAATGCCTATGTTAACTGGAAGTCCTAGAACCTCGACGGATTCTAAAACAATACTATATTTCCTTATACAGTCTTAATCGACAGAAGCTCAAAACTCAAGCTACGAATTGTCATTATCGTCAAAGTTGAGAAGATAGTATAGGGGCTACATTAAGATGGAATCAACAGATTAACTTGAAGCTCAAGTAGTCAATTTCGTACAAGATTAGTGGAGGACCATTTATTGCAAATATCTGGGGATTGATTGGCGTACTTTTTTCTAAGCATTTATCGCGAAGTCTCCGCACTCTCCTCCTTTGCCCCTCTCTCCATCCCTGTCTCACTACCCCACGTTTAGGCATGTAGATGTGACGATATTCCCTAGTTTCGACGGGGTACTTCTTATTATCGGCACCTACAGGCAGGTTAAATTATATTTTGGTCAACGCCGTGTAACGCTGCTCTCGGTCTAATGTAGGTAGGTAGGCGTCACGGTTGGCGAGTTTCAATGGAGGTATATCACCAACGTGTAATCCTCCGGGCCCTCGCATCAATGACTAGTACCATATCGTTCGTTATTCAGGGTTAAACTTCTCCCACAAGTACGCTTCCCCATACACTAGAGACCCGACTATCAACTGCCGGACATGGCACATGGAGGACATAGAGGATGACAGAGAATTACATAAGGTCTGAGTGACCCATTTGAGTGTCCTCGACCTTTAGGCTTTGATTATATCATCCCATTGATTTCCTAGCTATCCTTCTCTCTATTGATGTCTGTCGCTGTTTAGTTCGTATCTCTATATAATTGTCATAATGGCTGCCCCTGTAACTATACCAAAGCTTCTAGACTTGACGATTGACAACATCACGCCGAATACGATTCGGATTAACTCGCAATGCCAAAATCCGCGCCTACGATATTTGATGTCGCGGCTGGTGACGCATCTGCACGACTTCGCTCGAGAGACGCGGCTTAGCACAGACGAGTGGATGGAAGCGCTCAACTTTCTCGTGGGCTGTGGACAGATTAGTAGCGATGTGCGCCATGTAAGTGTGCTTTGGTTTTAGAAGAGGTAGACTGGTAGCAGGGAGACTAATGGTGTGCCGACTTAGGAATTCATCCTGCTCTCAGATATCCTGGGTCTCTCCTTGTTAGTCGACAGTATCAACCACCCAAAGCCGCCGTCGTCAACCGAGGGCTCCGTCCTAGGACCCTTCCATACGCATGATGCACCGACGTTGCCTAATGGGTCGAACATGGCGTCGGACCCCGAGGGAGAACCGCTACTGTGTATCTGCACCGTAAAAGACACGGCAGGAAGGCCCGTGGCAGACGTCAAGATTGACATCTGGGAGACAGATAGCAGCGGCCACTATGACGTGCAGCACTCCAATCGCGGAGAGCCCAGCGAACGATGCGTTATGGTGAGCGACAGCGAGGGTCGCTTCTGGTTTAAGGGGATCAAGCCCGTGAGCTACCCCATCCCGCACGATGGTCCCGTGGGGAAACTCCTGGAGAGACTGGGCAGACATTGCTGGAGGCCCGCGCATTTACATTTCATGTTCGAAAAGGAGGGATGGGATCATTTAATTACGTGAGTCAAATACTTCTCCTACCATCGTGAAAAGTGGAGGGGGAAAAAGGGGGAAAAAACTAACAAATCTCACAACTAGGGCCCTCTATGCGCGCGGTGATCCATACGAGACATCAGACGCAGTATTCGGCGTGAAGCAAAGTCTAGTAGTAGATTTCGAGAAGGCCGACGCAGCAACGGCGAAAGAATACGACTTCAAGGAAGGGGGTTTATTGTTGAAACATGACTTTGTATTAACAACGAAAGAGGAAACCGAAAGACTGAGGGACGAGAACGCAGTAAAGGCCCTCGCGCAGCTTGGATTGCAGTTGAAGCTTGTCGATCATCTGCCTGTACCTGAGTTAGACTAGATATATCAGGTAGCTAGATAGTGCTGCATCGATGTTTATTCAGAATCTTTGATCCTTATAAGACGACTCTTGGCCTATTGCTTTGTCCCTCCGCCTAAACGCTAAAGCTCGACTTGGAACCAGATAGTCAAGGCAGTTTAGCCCCTAGCTATAATTACACGAAGATTAATACCCTTACCCCTCGCATCATTCCCTAACCGATGTTATTTGAGGTGGTATAGGCCGGCTTCCTCCACGGTACCACTAATACAGCTCGAACCCGATGGTTCTAGACTATTGATCCCATGTTAGGGAATAAGGAGGTTTGCCATACCTAGCTCGTCCATATGTGCCATAATTCTATAAAGCTGTGAAAGCGGCTAGCTTAGACCCCTTATACCTTATTATCTTTTTTACCCCGTAGAACAGGTGTCGTGGCATGCCGCATCTCATCCCAGCCGTATCCGTAATCTGTACGATGAGAACCAGCCACTATTCAGAAATCCTGAATTCCAGTCTCCCCCTCAAGCCTCTTCTCCCCTAACTTCCCGTCACCACCCCCCTGATCCTCGACCAAATCACTCGCCCAATCAGGATCCTCATCATCGAACCACGCCTCCTCCTGCTCACGGCGCTCAAGCACGTCAAACTCATCATTCTCATCCACAGTGCTATAGTCAAAATCCTCATCTCGTCCCAGCACGAACCGGCGCCTTAGAAAGTCATCCCAACGCCCGCGCCCTTCCTCCTTAGTCTCCGGCCGCCGGGGTAACCCCTTCAGCTTCGTTTCAGCACCGTCGCCACTAACACTAGCACCACTGCCATCGTCGCCGAGACCGTCACCTCCGTTAGCATACTCCCGAATAAACGGATCGGTATCCTCCGCCGCCGGTTTCGGGAGCCAAGACGGTCGCCCTGCTGTTGAAGGTTCCGTGGGAAGACTACTTTCCTGGGAGGAAGAAGCTATGGATGAGGCAGTAATTTGCGCCAGCTTAGCCTCGCCGCGCAAAAGGTCTACTTCCAATACCCGCGAATACCCCTTCTCGCGCCCCTCTTTCTCGCGCTCAGCCGGCGATTGGAAGTGCCGTATGAGCGCGTCATATAGTATAGGGTCTATCTGAAGTCAGTTACATGCAGTGAATATCTCCCGAGAACCTAAACAAACAAAACAAGGCGAGAAGAGTAAGAAAACACGAAACCCATACCAGCGAGCTCATGCTCCAGCGAATTAAAATACCCCGGATTCCGGTCGAGGTACTCGCGCCGCCGGTTCTGTACCCTGATCTGCGCCGCGCGCGCGGGCGATCTGGGCGGCCGCGGCTGGGGCTTGATGTACGGCGCAGCGGGCGACGAAGCCGAGGACACTGGGGGCGACGGCGGTGCCGCCGGGGGCATGGGGGAGGCGGCGTTTGGGAAGTTAGGGCTGATGCTCATAGTTTTGTTTTTATTTTTTTTATTCCCTAGCTTCGGTGATATCGACTGAATGGTATGTCCTTCTGGAAAATTTAAGAAACTTCAGATTTACGTGAAACTGGAATGTGTTCTCGCCACGCTGGGCTTCGTGTATATGTGTAAGGAGTCCCGATGAGAGTAAGTTCTGATTATCTGATTGGGAGATGGTTGATTCTGGACCCCACTTTTATATCTAGCGTTGACAAATAGAATGAGGCTATATATATGTTGAATAGGCGTGCAGTTATCACAAGCCAATCACTCTTGAGAGTCTCAGGCACCAAGGCATCAGTGGTTTAGTGGTAAAATCCATCGTTGCCATCGATGGGCCCCGCGTTCGATTCGCGGCTGATGCATTTCTTTTTCTATTTTTCTTGTCCCCTTTCATAGGAAAGGTCAATATTTTTATATTTTTATTTGATCTCAATTGTTAAGTTGTGTAGACCCAAATTGAGCGTATGATTAGTATAAAGTTTGGCTACACGGCCTTATAACTACAATTCATAATGATACTCACCGTATCCACGAAGTACGCAGTTGGCTAGTATACAGATGATCATCATCCTCCAAATCTAACCAATATATTATAATTTTATCCATGAGCCGGAATTTTACTAGGGTATAAGATATCATATAATTTTCCCAACTTAACCCACTTTGCCACTCATTCGTAAACATACTATATAAGCGGCATACTTGTGCTCATATTTAAACTTCACATCCCATCTCATCATTCATCCATACGCGTACCGCCCCTTCTCCAAGTCCTCACTCAACCTCCTTCCACGGCTACGATCAAGACTAGGCCGTGCCCACGGAGCCCCCGTCGCATGACCGTTTCCATCCGCGTCGCCGAAGCTAACCTTTCGCGGAGCGCCGGATCCGTACCGTCCCGATACGGGCGACAATCTCGCTGCAGCGTAGTATCCGTAGTCATCGCTACGCTCGCGACTATGTCTCGGCCTCGTCCTTGCAGACAGTCCATCCGTCTGTATTTCTCTACCCAGTCCACCACGCTCGCGGTGCGATAGCGATATCGAACTTATCGGCGGGACATATATCTCCTGTTCCGGGACCACGTCCTCATCGCATTTCTCCTCTCCTATTGAAAGCCGCCTCTTCTTCTTGCCTAGCCACTTCTTTCCCGCGCCGAAGATATCCCTCGCCGCGTCCGTGATATCCGTGACCGTGAACGCCATGGCAATTAGCGGCACGCTGACGCCTAGGCCGATCCCAAACATGTACTTACTCACGTACGGGATTGTCAGCAGGGTGCCTTCTTGCCACTCTTGGAGGTTGATGGCGAAGAATCCGGCGATGAAACTCATGGGCAGGAAGATGATGGTGACGATCGTAAATACCATAATAGTCTGCCCCTGCTTCGCCGCGATGACCGCCTGATCACCCGCAAACCTGGCCTCGAGCGCGTTCGAGTGCTTCTGCTTGAGGTCAAGCAGGTCGGTAAGGTTGTCGTAGAGCGAGGCGGCCTGCTGGTCCATACGCCAGATATCTTTCTGCCGTACCTCGAGGCCCCGCAGCTGTTCCCGGCTGCGCTTGCGGATCTCAGCGACGGCGGTGTCGGTGGCGCGGCGGTTAGGACCCTCGGAGCGCAACTCCTCCGTTACCTGGTCCTCGAAGTCGGCGAGCGCGGCTACCTGCGAGTCCAGGATCACGGCGATGATGCTCAGCTCGTCGCGGATGTCCTTGATTTCAGCCAACAGCGATGTCTCGACGCCGATATCGAGCAGCGCGTCCGGGAACTGGTCTGCACTGTTCCCTTCGTACGGATCCGGCGTCCCGAACGAAGACAGACGAGCCGGTCGGCCAATGCTACGCTGACGTCGATGGTATTGAAGCCACCGTGCCGATTGTGCCGAAGCCCGATTAAAGCGACTAAACAGCTGGCTTTCCCGATCCGTGACGACACCGATAGAGTTCTCAAACATGTCCAAAAACTGAAAGTCCTGATCGTCGAGCCGGTGCCGGTCAAATGTTCCGGAACAACGACTAGTTATAAGCATTGCCAAATCATCTGGTATATGTTAGTGCCTAGCAAACATTTAAGAAGTATACCTTAAAAGTAGAATATGTTGATTGTATAGGAAATACAAGGGAAGGGCATAGTAACATACTATGGGCAGTTTGTTAGCCTCTATTCTAGAAATAAAACCAGAGGGGTTTAAGGAGTGAAATTGTATACGTACCACACAGATCCAATTGGCGGTCGAGTCTTAGCATTCGTTTCCTCTATAATCCCATCCAAAACATTTAAAGGATCTTGCTTAGGTTGATCCCAGCGTTGAGGAAAGCACGTAATGATAAGATCTAAGATGAATAAGTCATAATCCCAACTAGTATTCCAGACGCGGCTTACCCTTTCCGATAACCCAGAGCCACAGCTGGTCAACCATGAATACCTTTGGCTCTAACAAGTACCTTTTACAATACCGATAAACTACTTGATCCGTGTCTCTCGCTGACGTGTCGATGCCGTGGTAAAAGAACTGGTCGAGGGTTCGCCGCGGGTGGAGAGGCGGGTTGTTGTGTAGATACGCGTTTATGATGAGTGAATCTCGGGAGGTGTCGACGAGCCGTCGCCTTTCATGGGCATTTTTGATAGCATTGCTCATTTTCTGCCGCCGCTCATCTGTCTCGTAATGTAGGAATGGCATCTTCGCAAATTAGTTTTGTTGCCTACCGTTTTGTCAACATAAAATGAGGTGCTTACGAATAAGACGATCTTCCCGTTCGAGGGGGCAAAACCTGGTGTGCCCCAGGTGAGTGGAACCTGGGACTTGTTACTCAAGTTACTCGTGGTGCTATCTTGTCGATGTGATGGATTACCCGGGGCTCCTTTAGCCCGCTTATGCTTCTTAGGATGCCGCTCCATGATCTGCTCAGACTTGCTTTTCTTTTTAGAAGGCGCGTCGTCCTCAAAATAGTCATTTTGCTTAGGGCTTGAGTCTCCGCCGCTCTGACTCGACCTCGTACTAACCTCCGACGGTTCCTCGGATAAGGGGGCAAGGGTTGACTTATCCTCCCTTCTATCTTGGAAACCAGCACGATGCGCGGTAATACGATGCGAGTTCGTCCTCATAAAGTGGGCGTGTGGAAGTTCCCCGCGATGCTCTTGGTCGAAGCATTTCTCCAGCGCTTTAAACGCTTCAATATCCCGATGTCCTGCCTCGATGAAGGACTTGGCAAGAAGTGTCTACTAGAGCGTGAGCCGATTAAAATTCTACATGAGGGAGAAATCAAGTACCTCAACCCAATCAATCTATAGTATCGTGTTAGTCCTATCTGTCATAACGGGGAGACTCGATTAGATTATACATTATTCGCAGGAAGATGGATCCATCTAAAATCTGGCTTATACTTGATATTCTTGGTCAACGTAGGAATCTTCGGTTTGTCGTTCTCGGAATCCCATCCGTATAAGAGATCAAATACGGAATATTTAGATACGAGTTGTTTCTTTTCGAATTGGCCAAAGTCTACGACAGTGGCCTCGAAAGCTTGGCATGCCCGACGCGCGATAGGAGATAGGCGGTCGGCAGCTCGCGCAGGCGAGAGCAGCTGAACAATCTCGGGGTGGTTCTTCTCAGCGGCACAGAGCATGGCTGTCCGGTTGAAGCTATCCTTAATAGATATGTCGACATCCGGCCGAGTTAATAACAGCCGCACAATCTCCTCAAAGCCGTTAAAAGCAGCCCAGTGCAAAGGCGTCATCCCATTGGAGAGCTCAGCGTTTATATCGGCATTAGCTTCTAAGAGCAAGGTAACAACAGGTGCATACCCGCTCTGCGCAGCGTTATGGAGGGGCGTCCAACCGCCGTCACTAACAGCACGAGGAGTAGCTCCATAATTAAGGAGTAGCTTAACCATATCCTGGTGCTGCTCCTTGTGGTGGCTTTCGGCAGCAAGATGTAAGGCAGTTCGCCCACGGTTGTTCGTAGCCGCGATGTCGGCGCCCATTTCCAACAAGATATGAGCAAGTTCAACATTGCTATTAGTTGCAGCCCACAATAGCGGCGTTCGACCAATCTGATCCTTCACCTCGAGGTTCGCCCCATTATTCAGGAGTAGCTTCAAGGTGTCAATTGTCCATTTTTCCTTCCCTGGCTTTTCCGAAGCTAGGAATAATAAGGGACTTCGCCCTTCCTTGTCTTGTGCTTCGACATTCGCACGCCCTTCTAATAGAGTCTCGACTACCTTGTTGAACCCCTTCAAGCAGGCGCTAAATAGAGCGGTCTGCGCATTGCGATTACGCCCATTTGGGTCGGCATTGTGCTTCAGCAACTCAGCCACTATATCCGCATGTCCTCCTTCGGCAGCTTTCACCAGGGCAGGAACCTCATTCTCTCGTTTAGGGTTTACCTCGGCGCCGTGGTCGAGTAAAAGCTGGATGATGGAGAGCTTGCCGCGAGCTGCAGCTTTCTGAAGGGATTGGCGAAGCGCGTCTTGATCGTTACTAGATGTCCAAGGAGGGTCTTCGGCCAAGATATCGCGGAGCCTGGCTTCGTTGGCTTGAGCTGCAGCGGCAATAAGTCTCAACTGTCGTGGATCGGGTTGGCTGCTTGCTACGCTGGCTTGACTAGCCATAACACAAGAGTCGGCGTGGGTAGGGGAAGACGGGGGTGGAACTATCGCAAACGAATCGCCATTACTTATCGAATATTAATTAGCAAATATCTATAATCCTAGAAGATTAATTCGTTCCCCGACATCACATGTCTTCTCTCATAACTATGACTTAATGCAATGAGGCTAAAGACACCAACAACAACAACGCATCACGATAATAAGCGGGTGTCGCACGAATTTGCGGAGGTTACAATTCGCGATCCACGTCTATGTATGGCGCGCGTAGGTAATTCGCATTGACCTCCGAGCCAAGAGTTGGGCAGGGTTGGGCTGCAGCTTCTGTCTTATCCGGACTTAACCAAGCCGGGAGAAACGCTAGAACCTGGGACTAGGTAGCCTGGCACCTGGAAACTTCCCACACCTCCCACTAGTGTACCTAAGCTCAACCTTAATAAAAAAAGCTCCTACCAATTTCACCGACTGGACGGTAACTTTCGGCGGCCCGGATATAGAATATTCGCTAAACTAAAATCCCAAAACTCAAAACTCAATTCGGTGGCACAGTACCCAATCCATCGCAGTCTCAGCTATTATTAGAGTCCACACCACGCGACGGTATGTACATACGTTAGGTACATACATGCCTATCCGGATACATACTCGATCGACATATCGAGCCGTATTTCGCTCTTGTTTGTTCCATAGAAAACATCGATCCAACTTGCATGCAGTAAGAAGTTAGATTCATAGCTCACATCAAACGTATCGGAATTAATAGCGAGTTGCACGAACATACTTATCTACACTATACGACTCCACGGCATAAGTAATAGAGAAACAGTGACAATTAAAATCTTGGCCTTCTTAGGCATGATTAATAGATACATAGTCTACATGGTATTTGGTGTATGATAACAGTGAGGAGGCCGTTACTTCGTATGGGCAAGACCAATAATAAAAAAATGCCCAGTTGTGTTCAAGAACTAAGAACCCGCTTTATCAGCTAACTAGAACAGCATCTTCGGGTGCCGCCGTAATTTGGTGCTCTTGGGCTTCTTTTCCTTCTCCTTTGGCTTGTCCTTCTCGTTCTTCATCTTTGCAAGTTCGGCCAGCATCCTCTCGATTTCCTTCTGCTCGGCAGTTGCCGTCGCATTGTCCATCTTCTTCTTCCGCTCTACCCATTTCTTGTAGTCTTCGTCCTTCCGCTCCTCGTCGCCGTCGTCAAGAATTCCCTGGACAGGCACGGGCGGTTGTAAGAAGCCCCTGGCATCAGCCTCTACAATAGCCTCGTACATCTTGGTAGCCATCATTTCGTAACCGGCAGTGCCGGGGTGCATGCCGTCAGAAGCCAGATTTCCATCCTGGATTCCGTCAGGACCTTGCAGTTCCGCGAGGACTACCGGTAGCTCCTGCTGCTTGTAAATCTTGGCCAGCCTCCGGATCTGCGGGTTGACCTTCCAGACTTCCTCTCTACCGTTGAATCGCTTGTCCCAAGTAGGTAGGATGGTGCACATGATAATAGTGGATCTCGGCGAAGCTTCGAGAAGGTAGCGGACTAGGGCGTCATACCGCTTGTAGAAGTTATCAATATCAACATGTTGGAAACAGTCGTTGGATCCAGCGTTGACAAGGAAAAGGTTAGGCATCGATTTGGGAACGGCCTTCTTAGCATTTCCATGGATAGTCGCAGTAACAACACCGGGATAAGCTTCGATATCGTTATCAGTCATGTTTCCGAGACGTTGAGTACCGACGTAGTTAACCTTGTTGCCGATGGCTGTGAGCCTCTCACGGAGAGGTCGGCGGAAACCGTTGTTATCGATTCCCTCCTCGGGACTGTCACCACGAGTGGTTGACGCACCAAGCGCCATGATACGAAGCGGTACTCCATTGGCAAGTGGTAATTCGTAACCAGGTCGGGCATACGGTTTTGTTCTTATGGTAGTACTGGTAGCACCGCTTGACAGTTCGCTCGGGAAGGGAGTAAGAGATGAAGAAGTTGAAGAAGTATTGTGGGGCGCGTTGGTCGAAGGATACGATATTTGAACGGTACCGTTACCAGTTACATAGCTAACACCAGCTTTGAAGTTGTCCCCTATGCTATCTAATTTATGTCCCCATTCGTTGTCAACGCTGACACTACCAGAAAAAAGCAAGACTACGAATTCGGTTAGTCGCAAGATATGCATGACTCGAGCTTCATCAAAAGAATACAAACCTATTAAAAATAATGGCAAGCCTAGGAATAATAGCGAGCGTCTCCGTGACAGAATCATCGCGACGTATCGACTCGAAGCAAGCTGTCGAGGGAAAGAATACTGATCTGTAATCCACCCCATTGAGTCCTTTGTGGTTGCGCGCGCGCAACAGATCAACCGCCGTCAAGAAGCGAAAGAGGAAAAAAGACAATGCAGCTGTCCACTATGCTACCCCACAATGCGATTAGCACGTTGTAATGGACGCGTAAGCTCCGTCTCGATAAAGATTAAAAAAAGGAGAGCAAGGGGTGAGAAAATAAAAAGCGTGAGCTAAATGAAGGAATGAATAAGAATAAGCGAGAGAAGACAGCTATTGCGATATCATACAGATACGCGACCAAAGCCCATCGAGACGGAATTAAGAAAGGTTGGCGGACTTCTTTAGGGGGGTTGTGGCGAACAGGAGGGAAGAAAAGCGTCAAACAGAAATTGGAAGACGGGTCTCCTATTTTTATCTAGTTGTCTATGTAGACATGCAACATAATGCCGTCTTTTCCGTCGTTTTGCCAAGAAGAATGCCAAGAACCTTCGTGTCCCAAAGCTAAGATCGTCATTTTTGAAATGCCAAGACGATAGAACGTTGTTTGGAGGGATGGATGGCGATAGAGTCTTCTTTTTTTTTTAGCCTCTCTTTGGTCAGTTATGTTCCTAGATGCTGGTTGGGTCTTTCGTGTATAGCACGTATCAGATAGAAGTGACTGGTAATCCTGAAGAAAGATCCTAGTATGCCAAGACTAACTAGGGGCCAACGAGGATTTTAATAGAGAATGAATGCGCAACCATCCTACAGTTGTACTTACCGAGGTATTTTTTTAATGCACCTATGTACCTGCCTTACCTGCCCAGAGTTGGTCCTAACTGTCAACCTTAATTTGTATGTATTACCCGATCTGTACATTCTTTTTCTGGAGACTTTTCATGAGATGCTTGGATACTGCCAGCATTGGTCCAGCGGTGTACCTGGGAAATTACGTTCTTCTCCGCATCAGAGCCGCCTTGGTCGCGTGCGTCGAAGACCCTCTTTTTCTTAAAATGTATCTCCCAGTTACAGGTCCCAGGACAGGTACCTACCTTATGCTGGTATGTACCTGATCCAAAGCAGCAACCTCTCAAGCTCTTCAGCGGGCAAGGAATACATATATGTACGAAGTAATCCGTACGCCACTAATAATTTAACAGATAAGGTAAAGTAGACTTAGTGACCGCCGAACCCCACGCCGTTCCATCAGCTGAGCGCTACACTTCATGCACAAGGACATGCAGTTTTCTTTGACAATATCAATAACAGCAAGGGATATACAAAGATTAATTTGGATTAATAACTAACATATCACAAGCATACCTAAACCTAACAAAAACAAGGTAACACAAGCAGTACAAGGCGCATACACATGTAACAATACCTTTCCTCATAAAGTACAGAATTGCGATGCTACTGCTACGTAGGTAAAGAGATCCTAATTCTCGCCACCAATTTTGATTGGTCCCATGGCTCTATGCCCTTGGTCGTATTTCTCGCCAGTCCAAATTCAACCATAGCCCTATACATAGTATGATGCATACCCAATACGACTCTCACTTCATTAAACATACGAGCTGCCTATTCAAACAATTGCCAAGAAGATGATATTCCTCTGCCTAACGACAAAATAGTCGATGTTGACCAACCCGCGTCTAATTCGGGATCCTTCTTACGTGAGCCGCGTGGCACATTAAGTGCCAAGCGCTCCCTTTGGTCTCATCGTAGCGGGAAGATAACGCTATTCTATTTCGATTCCATAGATAAGATCTATGGCTTCGTCCTATTTATATAGCACCCTAAAATCGAGGCTTTTTTTTCCTTCGTCGTGCCACTTCAAACACCTGCCTATTTTTTATATTCCGGAAATACTTTGGTGTGGCTATAATCGCGACAGAACGAATGGTTAAAGCACCGCTATCTGATTAGTATGTCTTAGACGAGCGTCCTTTAGCACAAAGAATATGACATCACGTAAAGGTAAGCTAAGTCAGAAAGACTAAGATATGCTATTACAAGGAATCGAAACGAAAGCATAAAGCGATAAAACAAAGCACGTAAACGGAAGTCAATGAGAAACACATGGAGTAGAAAAAAGAAGAATCAAGTCGGATAAATAGTTTCATGGAACACACGTGGCTGTAAAAAAGGAAAATGCAGAAACACCATTTATCACTATAGTAATGTCGAACTATCGAACTCATAATTATGTACTTTGATCATCTAACTTCGGTTGGGGAGAATCAGAAAAAAAAAATATTCTGGTCAGAAACGAAGGCTTTGGTCATTGCTAAGGGGTACCACTTGGTACCCCTATAACATTAAGCTCCACTAGGCTGGACGTGAACATCATCATCCCAGAATTAAAGAAAATATCTTTGCTAAACACATGAATTGAACCCTGAACCTCGAGAGAAGTTCGTGATGTTCTTTACATGCGCATGCGACCACTAGGCCGTTTTGTAGTGTTAGAACTCCCTCTTAACGTGAATTATCTGTTAACCTTTGGAGGGGTTGTCACTGGCAAACTCAAGGTTCTTTGACGCCGATGATGATCACGTCCAGTTCGATCCTGTATGTCCCTAGATGGCTCACCATATGCAAGCATACGTACAAGCCCAGGAAGATGAAAGAGTAGGAGAGTAAATAGGTAGAAGTATATCCTCATTAGAATATACCGACATCGAGGTCACGATCTAGTATACCAAAGTCATATCTAGTTCATGCCGTTCCCCTTAGTCTTAAGAACTTAGCCGCGCTACGAATCCGTATCTATAATGAAAGTCTAGGCACTTAACACAACAGGTATATCTTGCTTTATGGTTAAACAATGCAGCATATGAGCCGTCTGAAAGAAAGCAACTTGCTAATAAGGGAATACGTACAGTGACAATAACTTCCGCATAGGTGCCTATACTATGACCTCGTCCTGTATAATTTATGCGATTAGGAATAGTATGACCAATTATCTTTTACACTATTACTTCCAATATAAACAAGCTAAAAACTTAAACGAGTATATAATATTGTAAGAATATAACATGACTAATGAGACAACAGTAGGTACACATCGATTGATGTCTCTCAACTAGAGAAGGTTGATTTCTTGGTAATCAACAGAGTACACCACTCTTCCCGAATGTTAAGGAGTTAGTATTAACTCAAGACACCAATATCTCCAATAGCTTTGTAGTTTGTATTAATTGAGCCTATTTTCTACCAGGTAAAGCGTAGTAGGGGGTTTGGCCATTGTCGATCTGCCAAGTGCCACCCTTGGTGTACTGGCTGTTCAGTCCATAGCAAGTTTTACACAAGCCAATATTGACGTCCGTTCTGAAAATCGTCTACCGGTACCCACTCATCACCACAACTAGAGACATAATCGCTGTTGTGCTAGAGAATATCCCTCCCAGAGATGTTGCTCCCGGAAATCTTGTTTCCATTGTCATCCAATTAGCCCTTAAAGTCCTTGAAAGTGAACTTATAGTAGTTAACAGCAGTCTCCTTTTGTGGTACTGTCAAGATAGTAACAGGTGCCAAGAGTATAATAACTGTAATATCATGGAAGTACATTTTGAATTACCCAAACAATTAGAATCAGCGTTGAATTGGGTGGTCTATTGAAGATGTATGAGATGAATGTTTTTGGGATCGATGACTTGACTGACAATGAGATGGACACTAAGAGGACAAGATATCTATCATATTCATACTTCATTGGATACCAAAGACTTGCGATATCCTGAGAGGTCTTCTTGTCCTTTGACACAAGGCTGGAATCAGTGTGTATTCTTACCGGTCTATTTTGAGGGTGTCAGGGTATAAGTGGGTTGGGGGTAGTTACAGGGGTATATCTACCTACTATATAAGGGGCGCATAGCGCCCTCATAAAAGGGTAGAAAGGCACGTGTTACCAGTTCAATCTATCTATTTTGATATTTACTCTATGTATGACATCCATCAAGGGCATAATATTTGACAGAGGGTATACCTCTTAAGAGAATGCCATATGTAAAGATAAAGGTGCTTGATGATCAAATTATTCTTTTAGTAAATCTTAAATAGGAGAGTTCCTAGGAGGCTATGTATATTGACCACCATCCGTACAGGAATAGTAGCAGAGCCGCAGCTATAGATTATTCCAATGACCTCTATATCGTGTAACACAGCCTTCACCATTAACGCCACAGCTTACACTGATTGACAAAGGGGATTCCGACTAGATTACGAATAAGGTTGTCTTCAGATATGACATTCTGTATAACGCAAACGTCAAAATCGTATAATTCTACCTCTTTATAAGATATTTAAGAGCCAGTTATGACAAATTCTCACATTGCTAGGTGCTAGTAGTTGAGTAAATAATAGTGTGGGCTATAGTTTAGGCGTGTAAACGTGAGACATTTCATATTATTTGTTTATCAGTTAGTCACTACTATATAAATTAGTCATTGCTATAGTAGTTAGTCATTCTTACATCAATTAGTCACTGCTATAATCTTTTGACTCATTCCCTTATATCTTAATCATGGGGTTGATCAAAGTATGTCCTTTATAAGTACCTTTTATCTAGGCACCCATTGAACAAGAGGAAGGAAACAAAAGTTTATATACTAAACTATATCTTCATTTGATGAGTTATAGCCAGAAAGCAATTTTAGCCTTCAACCCTTCAACCATTTAATACTCTTATGTTGTTGTCCCATATCCGCCTAACCAAGTTCCCGGATATATATTTTTCAGAATGTCTCCTAACTACTTTACAAGTCTCTCCAACCTGACTATTTGGTGATGGGGGGAGTATATATAGCTCGGTATTATTCACTATATCTCACTATAGGTGTTAGTATATAAAAAGGAACTAAAGACACAGCACTGTCAAGGTATGAAGAGCTATAAATGCCAGAAACATAATTACAACTGAACCACTAATATAGCTAAAGCTCATTTGCCATAAACTTTTCAGTTATTCAAAGACACAGCAATGAGTTGATTATTAATTCTATGGCTGACTCTTATACATTCGAAAATTCTTGGGCCTACAAGGTACCAGATGCCTGGGCGTGCATCCAAGGGGCACTTATTATTCACAATAGCTTCATATGTCTTAGGTACCTAAGTATATATACATAAGGTTTTAACCACTCTTTGTATTGGATGAATGGTTTAGCTCTGCTAGGTAGGCGCGCTACTGGGCCGGGATGCCTCAAAATAGGGGCATAACGCGTCAAGACGCGACTTCGACCAAATAGGCATTCACGTTTTCTAAAACTCTCGGTTTGGCAGCAACGACAGAATCTTTCACAATGACAACCTGGTTACCGCATCCTTTTTCTTCCTGTCAAAATTCTTTTATACCAATCCCACCTTTGCCTTTCAGTCTACCGAGTCAAACCCTGTATTACCACATCTTCTATTACATTTTAACCATTATCTCCCCATTGGACCTGGCATTGTACTCTTGCACTTTCAGTCACCCTAATCATCTCCTTGTGGACGATCCATTCATCTAGGTCTCTGTCCTAGGTACCACAGGCAAGTCAAAAACAACGCAATCACGCAACCGTGCCTGGTGTCATCACTAACCGATGATAGAAGGACGCACATTCCAACCTAGTAGTCCATTAGTGATCTGGTTGTGTGCTTGCCTTGTTCATTCTCCTCTCTGGTCGCCACACCCTTTTTGCCTCGTCAAAATACCTTTGATATAACACTCTCATCATGGACGTTCTTTGCCGAAAGCTCTATGACTGCAACATCAGCTTCACCCCTTCAAATTCAATAGAAGAGCTGTTCAGGAACCTGGGAGACCCCCTAGACAACGATAAGAATTGTTCCAGCAATATAGACGAGATAGATGCCAAGTACCGACGAGTTCTACAGGATTTTTTGAAAAAGGCAGCTTCTTCTCCCCCGAACCATCCACATTTCTCAACCTTCATAGCGGTCGCCCACCAAGTTCTCGCATGTAACCATAGTCTACATGTTGCCTTTGTTGAACGCCTAGCTCACATGGTAATTCATACTGGAACCTACTACCCAGGACCCTATGAACGAGATTTCTTTTCAGCGTGCAAATGGATATACCAGGGCAGGAAAATACAAGAGCTGGCAGCACTGAATACGGAGGCCGATCACAGCGGAGACAAGAATGGCAGGGACGACAATGACGGGACCGAAAATAGTAGCATCGCCGACGGAAGGAGCGATTTCAGCGGGATCGCCGACAGAAGCAGCAACTACAACGGGATCGCCGAGGGCAAGAGAGAGAATGGTGGGGACGCTACTAGTATAGGTAGCAATGGTAGGAGCGACAACTTTCCGGACAGCAATGGAAGTGACGATAATGATAGGGGCAATAACGATAGGAGCAACAATGACAGACACGACATCTATGAAGCATCTCCAGTTCCTAACTCCTACAACTCCTACAACTCCCACAACTCCCACAACTCCCACAACTCCCCAGCGTCGCCGACCAGACAATGCGCCCGATGTGGTGCTTTGAAACTATTTCTAACCTGCGGCGACTGTCTATTGAAAAGGGGTACTCAGATTACCATGAGCACGGTCTATTGTAGCCGGAGATGCCAAGAATTAGACTGGCCGGCCCATAAGCCGGTATGCGTCAATCGCAAGCAGCTCATGCGAGCTGTGTCCTTCATGGATAGCTTATTTCGCATCATGGAAGCTAAAGCAACTACCCTTCTGCTTAAGTCATGCTGGGAAGAACGCGGCATGGCGATGTTGAAAGAACACAAGCCATATCTATTGGCCATGCTTGGCTCTTACATGACGCGACCGTTTCCCTTTGACGGATTCTCTACAGAGCGACATGCAATAATGGTCCAGAGTGATCAGTATGTCCGGGAGATGATGTACTTGATTGGCCCGTTAAAGGCATTGTTCTTAGACGGTAAGCCAAGCTAAACTCTCTTTGAAGTTATTCCCAAAATTACCTAAATCATGCTAACAACTTATAGACCTATGTCAAGACTTTAAGATAGTCACCATCCTCGTCAAGAATGCCGATCGCCCACTTTGCCGCAAACTCGAACATGACATAGAAAAGTCTAGCATGATGGACCCCCACAGTGTTCTTCGATTAACACTTCCATCTGGAGAGAAATTCGCCGTCGACCTTGCCGCAGGACGATTCGGATGGGATGAGAAGATGATGCACTGGAATCGTTTTGAAGAAGAACGAATCTGGAAAATTGTCGAGATAACTCGCACGATCCCACTCGACTTCAGAGACCCCTATATCCCCGCGGCGCAGTCCATCCTCATCCACAAGGAAATACTAGCCGACCTAGTCGGCCACATCAATTTTCGCATGCACTTTGGCAGGGACAGATCGTCTACCACCCTAGATATCATAACAAGAGTTGACACGGAAGAGTTCTTCGATTGGCAGTTGGATCTCCTTGAGAGAGCAATAGATCTCTGCGAAGAGATGTTCACGATACGCTTGGACAATCACCGCGGCTATATGTACCTCACCCCGGAATTCGACTTGTGTGTCACAGCTGAACGATCAGACTATGACGCCATACAGGGTGTCTGGATGCCGGAGGAAGAAATTATACGGCTTGAGGGTGAGAGCGAGGAATCGCTGAAGAAGATCTGGAAGGCCCGTCTTGAAGAATTTCGTATTAGATTCAAGCGCGCTGCAATACAGATCGAGGAAGTGCGTATAGGTTGAGCAGTGGTATCTAAGTGCGTCAAGGTTATGTACATGGCGGCGCGTGAGATTGCCATGTTCTTTGGGTTGGGGCCGTTTCTTGCCTGTGACGATAACGCTTCGTTGTGTGCCTGAGCATGGTCCTTTCTTAGTTGCGATAGCGTTTGAAACATTAGATGTCTAATGGATTGCATCAATGTACTTCCCAAGATGACTTAAACATTAGTCTCCTCCTCGTCTAGGGCTTTCCCTGTGAATGAAGTATGTCCCTGATTCTCAGGCAAGTTTCGATTAGTAGGCTCATAGCCACTTATGACATCGAATGGCTCATTAGCTAACCATGAAGCATAGTCCAGCTCTTCAGAAATATATCTCTCATCAATTTCCAGTCTATCCCAGTCGATTTCTTTTCCGCCCCTATTTAATTCGTCCAATGATATATTTTCTTCGACGTTACGCCATATAATTCGTTCGTCATTGTCGAACAATGCTCTTTCACTCTTTACAATTCGCGGTCGGACCTTTTGAACAATATCTTGATAGCCTTTTTTACCAGCAATTAAGACCGCTTTTAAGTTGACAGTAGTTTCCGGTATCTTAAGTAGTAGGTCAACTACCCTGCGATGACCTGCTTGCACCGCGATTGAGAGTGGTGTATCACCATTGTCGTCCCTTAAGTCCACGTCCACTTTTCCAGAGCTAAGGAGCTTTTGGACGTAAGAATCAAGACCTAAGGCCGCCGCCCACCAAAGAGCCGACCTGCGCATCTGGCCGCAATAGTCTGCATAAGTTCTCTGCATGTTGAGAATCTTCTCAAAAATAGACTCATTCTGAACTCTAACGGCGCATATTAGCGGCGGGAAACCGATTATGTTGCCCTCGTGGTGGTTTGGATCAACTTGGTCAAATTTTAATAGTAGTTCCACCATGTCCTGTTTTCCTTCCGCAATGGCTAAATGAAGCGCTGGTAGTTCCGTACTATAGTCATTAGGATTTACTAGCCTGTTGCTGAGAAGTAAATTTATAATATGATGATGCCCCGATATGATAGCCAGACTTAATGGCGTCATGCCTTTCTGATCATCATCAAATATTGACCGGCTTTTCCAGGTTTGTATCATGTCTTTGAATATTATCGCATGTCCTTGTTCTGCTACTTCGCGAACGACCATACAACGAAAATCATGGTCCTTGTTGTTGTCTTGCCTTCGCATATCTCTCTTTCCAATCAATAGTCTCGCCATGTTGATATCTCCAACTTCGGAGGCATAAAAGAGTCTGTCTTTATCTTCTTGTTCTTCTCCTGCGCCAAGCTCGACCAGAACATCGACAACCATATACCAGCCTAGTTGACAGACATTAATAAATGCAGAAGTTTTTGATGGCTCGTCGAGAGGTTCCCGCCCCAGAAAATAGAGGGTGGCGCTTAAATCAGATTTCTCAATCGCTTGAACAAGGTTGTCTGCCTTTACTTTTGGTTTGACTTCCACGCCTGAATCCCTCTGTAGCCAATCTTTCATGTTAGAGAATTCATACCCGCCTTCTTCCATCTGTAGGTGATACAGGGCAGCGGTGGCATAACATCTGATCGTCTCAGCAAGGCTAAGTGTCGATTGAAAATTGTTTGGATCTGTCCGACCCCCAAAATCAACCCAGACAAGTGGGATGCTCATCATCTTTTCGTCTCTTGAGTACCTTCGGAGCCATCCAAGAATTCCCCAACATCCAATAGTGTAGTCCCCCCGCAGGAGAGCCCGACGATAGATTTCGCAGGCCCCTATGACGGTGCGCCTGACTTGATTGATAGCCTCTAGTCTCTCAAACGAACTTTCCTGTCCGCTTATTGACCCCAGACTTGAATACGAACGATCAAGTCTACAGTCAATGAATTCTCGGAATACTTTCCCTTTATTCCCCAGCAGACTCTTCTTTGCCGAATTTTCGGTCCATTCCAATATCTCATCCAGAATCCTGTCAGGAAGTTGAAGCTTATGTTGATTTCTCAAAATCGGGATGGTGCACGCGAAAGCATCTTCTTCGTCACACAGACCTCTTTTAATAAGAATTCCCCGGATCTTGTCGACAGTCTCATTGTTGACCTTAATACCATCCTGATGTCGCCTAGCTTCTATTTTCCCAATATCCTGAACAGCCGTCATAATTGCGGATAAGAATGAAGAATAGATTTCTTGCGCGCAATTTAATAAAAGGGAGCTTTTGGAAGTCATCACTAAAGCATTAAAATCATCGTATAGCGAAGTATCTTTCATATTACACCAGCCAAAAAATCGTCGCTGGTTGTCTGATTCGCTAGGGGGTCTGTTTTCGCCAACGCCAACAACAAATTTGTATCCATCTTTCCACCATACTCCATTCTCGACTTCCGCGCGGTTGATGTTTCTCCCCGGACTCGAGCTTTGATTGGTTTGATGTTCGTCTCCTTCTGCTTCGGACACATTTCCAGATCCTGGCTGGGTATCTGCGTCTTGTACCTTTAATCGGCAGTCTTGTATCTTCACTTCCCTTTCACCCCCCCAGATATACAAATCCAGTATTTCGCCCGATATATTCTTTTTAATTCGACTAGTCGATAGAATACGACTTATGCGCTTATCAAACTTCTTAGAGCCGACGTCTTCTGCATCCTGACTGTCGCGCGGCTCTTTCTCTTTTAATGACCAGAACCATAAGCCAAGGACAGCTTCTATTTCAGAAGCTTCAGCTTTCCACGGACCTTCAGGAAGTCTGTCCTTGTTAATTTCTCTTCGTAATGACATTTGGATAGTTTCATCTTCTAATGAGTATGAGGATTGAATGGCCCAGAATAAGCGAAAGGTTTGTCCCCATGATCCAGAAAGTTTGACGGATTGCTGAGAGTCTGAGGCAAAGAGAACTTGCATAGTTTCTTCAATGGCCTGCGCCAAAGCTATGGCCGTATCTCGAACCAAAATGTGTCTTTTACCCCAGTGACTGCTATGTTCCGACTCTGGTTCTTCCAGCCCTGTCATACGAGCAAGCCGACTTCTATAAAAGCACGTCTTCACGGTCGTATTCGGGCCCAACTCACAGCTATCAAGTGTACAATAATGCTGAGTTTTTCCAGTGCAGTATTCTGCTGAGATCCACCGAGCAATCTCCTTCTCAGCCACTTTCATAACACTCTCCGCTGGATTAGACTCGTATGATTGGATTCGAAACCCAGAAAGGATAGGCAAACCGCCTGAAACCCCTTGAAGTATTTCCAATACACAAGATATATTTTTTCCTTGGGCTTCGGAATAGGAAGACACATTTACGGCAGTGCTAATAGTAGTGTCTGCGCAACTTGTCCTCTGTGTACTAATAATCCTCCATTTGCAGGTGTTGGGTTTAGAAGGCATATCAGACTGACCAATCTTGATTGCCAACCAGTCCAGTTCGTGCCCCTGGAAGAAGTTTGGGTCTCCCGCCATGCCGTTATCCTCCTCCCTTAGTCGCTGGGCTCTAAGCCCTGCACGGATGATGCTCATAATGATGGTCACACCCAGCTGGAGGACTGACACAGATGAGTGACATGCTCTGAGACCTAAAAACTGGCAGATAAATCCTATCGTGGATAATGAGACTGCGGTCCAAATATAGCCCATCGTAACATTTCCCTTTTTGTCTTTGTACGACGTGATATATTTCAGTAAGGGGAATTTGGTGTCCGAATACCCAAAGGGGTCAAACATCTGATCGCCTATGGTTTGATTTCCTGGTTGGACCCAATAGAACCTAGATTTGATCGTAGCTTTGGCGTTAGGACTAACTTTCTTTTCAAATACATGCTCCTTAGTTTTGCTTTCGATCAAGTAAGCACATAGAGCCATTCCGAGGCAAAGTAGGATCGTCCCGATTACCATCAACGGGACCGCATAGTCGTCTAAAATTAGTATTTAGCATTGAAATAAAACGAAGACATGGGATTTATGGTTTACCTTCATTAGGGTTTCGTGTCCATTGATAGTGGTATCTTGTGAGAACTGCCCATACCAATACGAAAGACTGCATCATAATCCCTAGTATGGCCGCAAAAACAAACCAACCACGACCTAATGGCTTGATTCCAACATTGAGGGAAAGATTTGGGTTTGGTGCGAAACGTGCTGGCTTTGCTCCGACATGGTTCTCTTCGTCCGATCCCGAAGATTTATTCCGTTTTTGTGTCTCGCTCCATTCTTCACTTCCGTTTTTTGTTTTGATGTATTGCCGGAACGAATATATACCAGCCGTTAGCTTGCTTCCATCTGTAGGATAAAATGCATTGCCCGAATACTTGGGATCGTGTATGACTTCGAGTAGCTTAGGACGACCGAAAACACGAGCAATACCTCCATTAGTGTAAAGCTCACAAACGTCACGGCTAGTAGATGAACATAATTCTGCTTCAACTGTGCCGGCTCCCTCTTGAGCTCTCCCAACGAAAGCTCTAAGCGATGGTGTCCCACACACTCGAATTGCAGATACAACGGCAGTGATAACTCCAAGGGGGGCCATAGAGAATATAACAATATCTAAAATGGTTAAGCATTCGCTGAGATACTGCTTGGTCGGATTTTCCCCGAAAAGGCTGATAAGGGGAGCAAGATCTGTAGCAAGGTTGTTGGAAAAGTCGTCCCACCAGTCATCGCCCATGATTAATGATTCCTATGACGCTTGTTGCTGTGGAAAAGAGTATAGAAAGGTGTTAGGGTATGTAGGTATTCATCCGAAAGTGCAAGCAAGTGAAAGTATCCACACCAACATATCGCTTCACATGCGAGAGAAAGACAGAGTTATTAGACCTTAGGTGGAATGATGCGTTGGGCAGCAAAGCATACGGCCAATAGAAGGCCCGCGCAATCGCATGAGATAGTGAAGCGTATTATGGAGGTAGGAAGGTCTTGATGAAAAAGAGAATAAAAATAGAAACGGCGTATACTTATTCAGAAGAAACTACTACACGTCCCCTTGGAAAGGGTCTAAGAAGGTGTTTTGAGTAAATATGAATATTGTGCTTTTCTAACTCCCCACAGTGGTAGCTGAAAGTCAGGCATTATGACACTGTTGTACGAAGTAGGTAGTTATGCCTTTTATATTGGCTGCCTACTCGCTTTATGCAAGTGAATAATTCAGTGAATAGTAAGCTACATAATCTTCAGCCCCGTACATGTAACGCCGACATCATTTCCGGAGACCCTCTCCATCCCTCTTTCCCAAACAGAAACTACAGCCCGATGACTACCTAATCTAGGTGCTGGGATCACGGGGAGGGACATTATAATCCACATTCTGTAGAAACACAACATCGATAGAGCTATTGATATACTAGTCATATCTACCAAAATAAAACTACCGAGAGCTCGCAAGACCGCGGCGATCATCAACAGCAAAGTCTCGGCCGGTGATAATTCCTCAGGTCCGACCTGAATTCTCCTCTAAGAGCCGCAAGGCAGACAGGGAGCAAGCGTAGCGTGGACATACCTTCCGCAAATAACTACCTGAGGCATTATTAGTTAGGTAGTCATGCAGGTCATAGACTGAGATTTGGGAAGAGTGGTTGGAATTGGGACCTGGGTCCACACACGATAATCAGTCCCAGTTGTACGCCAGCCATCCACTAGAATTCATAAGCCGATAGTCTTTTCAAGGACGCCAAGAATGCCAACGATAGGTGCAAGCGAAGATCTTTACCGTTACCTACAGTAGAACAACTAATATTTCCTGCAGGGATGCTCATGCGCATAGTCAGATCTGGCATTGCGGGCCGCCAAACTACCAGCATTATCATGACAGAGCCTCAAATTAAATTCGGGGCCGAGCGGCTTCGTGTACCCCACCGTCAACCCCGGCAGCCCGGGCGTGCAGGCGTGGTGCCGACAAGTGTCTCCACAAACGATCGTAACTAGCTTCTCCGATCCACGGGAATCAGCGGGCATCAGATACCAGTCCGCTCTTGAGCGAGAGGCTAAAAGACTTGTATCATTTTAATTGGTCTCAACTCGGGGAAGTAAGCACTAAGGCGAGAGACAGGCAGACGGGTTAGTAGCGGGAGATACCCGGCCCAATCTTACACCTTGTTAGAGGCCCCCATCGTGTCTCGGTACTGGCGTTAAGTCTACCGACGTCGAAAGAGAGTTTTCCATATTCAATAAGGATGCATTTTACGCATGTCCGGAAAGTCCACAGAAAGCCTTAGAGGAACCCTCTGGATCAAAACAGTAGTCCTGTTAGGGAGTTGTCCAGGAGGCACCGATTACGTCGAAAAATAGAAGCTTAAGTAGTCGAATATGATAGTCTCTCAATCCCTCAACCCCCTCATAACTGATAAGCCAGGATCGATCTCATAAATTAGTGACGTCGTTAATGTAATCATACATAAGACCCTTTAATGTTCAGGTTCATCCCGCCCCATAGCTCCTTAAGGCATGGTCATGTATATAGAGCCACCGTGAACAAACAACGAGTAATATATATTATATGCATACCAACATCACCCATCCAGTCCTAGATTCATGTCTCGTCATGTCTCGTTATCAAAAAGGTGAAGGTCTTTGCGTAACTTGATAATAACGAATGTAAAGAAGTAGAGTAGAATAAGAGTAAGAGGCCCACATTTAAGGTGTATAAGCTGGAGGCAAGGAAGCTTTAATATAAATATGAGCATCCAACTTTAGTCATAATTGGGATGCCATTCATCCCGCTGCCTGCGAAATGGGCAACTTTCGAAGGTATAACGTCTGTCATCATAGCATTGAAGCTTGTCGTGGCGGCTCATGAAATAGTAGCTCATGCGTCTCGAAAGGACGGGCATCTCTATGTCGTAAGTAGTTGGGTTTTCGATATATAAGGCAGTCGGATCAGGAAGATAAGTGAAACATTGCTCTAGTCGTTTACTTCGGATGAGCTGCAAGGAGAAACGTATATATCAAATTCATTCATATCACTTAGTTAATGATCGTGGTATGAAAGATAAGATTTGGTCGATATCGATGCGACGGATTAAGCCCAAGAGGCCAAGATAGTCGATGTCTCCCGTAGCCGATAGATGCCAGCATGGAGTGCCTTGAGCAGGAGAATCCCTCCTATAGTTGAAATAATGTAAACCTTAAGAGGCAACGTCCACGACATCGTCCAAATATAACCAGACAAAGACTCGAGAGACAGCCGGGGCCAGGCAACTAGGTGAGAAGATCATGAAGAGGAATCGGATCCGGTATCTAGTCGACCAGATGAGTTGATGGGTCTTCCTCTGGTACTTGTTCGGACATATTCGGCACTTCTCCCTGTAGAAATACAGGGTTAATAAAGCCGTCGCCAATATGGTTATATTCACCACTAGAATTCCCCTGGATGGGGAATTGAGCACCTATGCCTGGGAGAGAACCATCATCTTGCCATGGCTGTTGAGGTAAATAGGGGGGAAACGCCCGCCATGCTTCTTGAAACTGTAGCCGTACCTCTTGCTGTACTGCTTGTCGCACTTCTTGTCGTATTACTTGCCGTACCTCTTCCAGATGTTGTCGTATCTCTCGTAGAATCGCTTGCTGTACTTCTTGAAGCTGTTGCGGTACACTTTGAGGCTGTCCCGATACCCCTTGCGGTGATTGCGGTAGCTCTTGCGGTAGTTCTTCCGGCTGTTGTGGTACCTCTTCCAACTGTTGTCGTATCTCTTGCGTGATCATTTGCTGTACTTCATGGGATCGTTCTTGTGGTTGCCGCGGTGCCTCTTGCAGTTGGTAGTCTGCATGTTCTTCGACATCTATGGGCCGATCAGCTTGAGCATTAGAGTAGCCATAGTAGATAACTTACATGGAGACGGGTACGGACGGTGGGCTCCCGGAAAGATGATCAAGTATATTCTATGCCACTTCTCTTCTTCCGACAAGCCCCGCAAACCTTGTCGGCTCCGCATTGCATTTTCTTGCCCATTATGAATTACAAGTGTGGGGAACCCGTTTTCAGGAGGCGTACAGGACCTCATGTGGAGGTGCTCTCTGTATTCCTCATTCCGGTCGAAGACCTCACCACAGAGCAGGCATTGAGGGCTTCGATGTTTCCGGTAAATGTGTTCCCTATTAAAATGTAAGAACGGTATTAAATACATATAGTTAGGATCTGACATACTTGACTCGAGACGTATCTGCAAAGCCACCTTCATCATGGCAATGGAGAGGTAAAAGGGGGGACACCTTAAGGAATGGGCAGGCAAATTTTGGACGCAGACCTTTCAGATAAGCCGGTTTCTTTCCGTGGCTAGGAGAAACCCCGTCATCGTCATCGTCATCGTCGTCGCCATGTTTTTTTCTTTTCCTTATCCTCTTCCGCCTTGGGTTTGAGGAAGAGCTCACCGTCGGTTGGTGGCCAGCTATATGAATATGCTGCGTCCCACCCCGGCTCGAGCCAGGTATGCCTTGGGCGCATGTAATACTTGTCTCTTGACTTAAGACAGGACGCCTAAGGTTCGAATCAACTCGCGGGGCACTAGTATTCAATATATGTCCGAGGCCGATACGCCGGACGTCTCTATCTCTTAATTCATAGGAAGTTTGCCAAATATCGTCTACCCTGTCAAGAGTTGCCTTGATATCGCTGCATCTGGGCCCAGGGACCTTGCCAGGTACTTGGGTAAGTCGCTCTTGAACTTGCTCAATTCTTAAGCAATTCTCGAGATGCTCTTGGTGGGAAAGTTGGTTTTCCAAGTTTTGGTGAGAATATATTTGGGCCCGGAAATATCCAGCATGGGACTGAGGGCGCATCAGTCCGTTTGACGTGTTACGCATGGTCTGGGAATTAGCCTCGGAGTTTGATAAATCGGCCATAATCTATAACAGGTACTGGTAACCTTTTGATAGACATGGGTAATGAAGGGACTGTAGCGAGATTTCAACAGTAACAAACACCAAGAATTCAGCGGAATATTTAATAAACTCAATATAACCAGCGTTGCTAATTTGAAAATATTGTGATGTGAGATTTAAGATGGAAGAAAGAATTCTAAGATATGCTAATGAAAACCGGTCTACATCCCTCTATTTCAATTTTTATATGGTACCTAGATGGACAACACGTTATGCGCTTGCGAATAATGCAGCGTACCTGCAGTAGCAGGCAGAGATAATGGTTCTACTAATACGGTTAACGGGAACACTCCCTGGACGTACAATCCTCTAATCGGGCGTAAGAGCATTTCTGTTCATCGCGGCTACGTTCCCATTGGTAGAGTACCTGGCGCTGGCGTCTACCTACCTCTAAGTAGGTAATCATTATCCTATTCCCCAAGTTAACTATTGACTCAAAGACATGTAATTACGTGGGAAGGTAAAGAATTGGAGCATAGGTAGGATAGGTAAAGGGGAAATACCAATCAAGACAAGTCTATGAAATCTTAGTTACCTAGACTCGAGCATCCGGCGCGTTTTGGAATCTAGGTACGAGGATCTCCCTTAAAACACTTCAATTCGTTACGGTCATGATTTGAACTGGCTGAACGAGGACTTCGTATGTTTTGCAAAGCTCTATCTCGAGGTAGCTGTAATTTTTCATTAGTCGAAACTCCAAAGTCAAACAGAAGTATCCTTACAACTATAGTGCGCCAGGCCTAGGGCTAAGGTCGCATGTGTCTTACAGCGACAGCATTGATAAGTCGTGAAAGAGTAAAAGACGACAACCAGATCTATCTAACTAGTCCAACTACTCATGCGACTAACCTCAATCGGCGCATCGCGTGGGGACTCTACATACTTTATTTCAACGGCTAGAGCCACCTAACTTATTAGAGAGGTTACTTCCGGTGCCGTTGGGGAACTTGGGGAAGATTACAATGCATTAGTTGCCTACCTATAGTTACAGCATCGCAAACATGTGCCACCGCTTTGGGGGATGAGATGGGGAAGTCTGGGGCTAGCTCAAGCATGTGAAGAAGCGCTAAATTCCCCATACGAACATGATGCCTCGGTCAGGTAGCTGTGGGGTCTGACATCAGCGTAATTTTTAGCGGAACTTAGACTGCGTACTGGAACTCTACAAGCGCGAGTAGCCACGCATCCGAGGTCCAATTACTTCTTGCTGTAATCATAAACTCCGGATTCGTTCCTTCTACATTCTCCTTCTCAACTGTATATTAATTTTATAGAATATCTCAACCCTTTAACTAGTCTGGATATCCAACATCTTATATACATCACTACCAACAACACCATAGTTAGACCTTAAACAACAACACAAAACTAACAATGGGTGGTAAGTACTTCGCCAAATCCTAAGCACCACACGCAGCTGACAGAACACAACAATCACAGCCCTCGAAAGATTATCGCAGATCTCAGGCCAGATCTCAGGCTCCAAGTCGGCGCGTGAGAAGCTCCTCGAGAAGAACCCAGACGACGTAAGCTTTTCCTCCAGCCGGTCCGCATTCCCAGCAAGCTAACAACTCCGGGAAACAGATCGTAGTAACAGCATGTCTCCGAACGGCGTTCACGAAAGGCGGCAAGGGCGGGTTCAAGGACACACAAGCGGCTGACCTGATGGCGGGAGCCCTGAAGGGACTCTTGGAGCGGTCCAAGATCGACCCGTCGCTGGTAGAGGATGTGTGCGTGGGTGAGGTACTTGCGCCTGGTGGTGGCGCCACCGAGATGCGCGCTGCAGCTCTTGTTGCCGGCCTCCCCGAGACCGCCGCCGTCCGAACCCTTAACCGCCAATGCTCGTCGGGTCTACAGGCTTGCGTTGATGTCGCGAACCAGATCCGCGCCGGCATGATTGAGATCGGTATCGGTGCTGGTGTCGAGAGCATGAGCTTGCATTACGGGTAGGTCACTCTTCTATCCTCCCCCAATACTCCCCTCATAAAGTACCAACAATCGCCAGACCCTTATAACTAACAACCCTCCTCTAAAAGTCCCCAAGCCGTATCCGAGTTCTCCGAACTCCTCGAGTCCCACCCCGAGGCCGCCAACTGCAAGGTTCCCATGGGTGTCCTCTCCGAAGACATGGCCCGAGACCTCAAGATCCCGCGCGCCAGCCAAGACGCCTTTGCCGCCGCCTCTTACCAGAAGGCCCTCAAGGCCCAGCAAGCAGGTCTCTTCGACGAGGAGATCCACCCACTAACCGTAAAATACACCGACCCCAAGAGCGGCGAGATCAAGAACATTACCGTCAAGAAGGACGACGGCGTGCGCCCCGGCATCACTGCCGAATCCCTCGGCAAGATCCGCCCCGCGTTCGCCGAAAACGGCTCCATCCACGCGGGCAACGCATCGCAAATCAGCGACGGCGCCGCAGCCGTCCTGTTGATGCGCCGATCAACAGCCGAGCGCATCGGCCAGACCATCCTCGGCAAGTTCGTCGCGGCCAGCGTCGTCGGCGTCAAGCCGCTGCTCATGGGCATCGGACCCTGGAAAGCCATCCCCAAGGCCCTATCGCTAGCCGGCGGCCTGACCGTCGACGATATCGACATCTTCGAGATCAACGAGGCTTTCGCCAGCCAGTGCCTCTGGTGCGCTAACGAGCTGAAGATCCCCTCTGAGAAGATCAACCCCAAGGGTGGCGCTATTGCCTTCGGCCACCCTCTCGGCTGCACTGGTGCTCGCCAGGTGAGCACCCTGCTGTACGAGCTTCGACGCCGTGGCCAGAAGGTTGGCGTCACGAGTATGTGCATTGGTACGGGTATGGGTATGGCTGCCGTCTGGGTTGCCGAGTAAGGCTGTTATATCTTTCAAATGGGTTTAAATCCATATTTAATGCCGTGGCATACCACGGTGCACATTGTAGGAACATCATCTTGGGTCTTGGGAGGGCCGTTGCATGTATGAAAGTCATATACGAAGGGTACTTGAAGGAGGCAAAACAGCATTGTGTACAATGTATATCTAGGGCGTTTTAGTATATCATCTATATCGTATATGCAAATTATTGCAAGCTTCGTTGCCATCCATCTCTATGAAATAAATATCAACAATATAATTCAGTCGCATGGCGTATTTTTAAATCCAATATTAACATTTCTCTCATCTGTGCCGAGATAAGTCTCGGCGGAACGTAGATAGCCCCAGATCATCCAATATAGGTGCCAACGGGCTATTCTCGCACTACGAGAACCCCTCGATGTAGCTGCCCAGCCCTCTTTCCTTTGCCAAACGTATAACCTCAAATCCGACTACGAGATCCATGAGCCCCAGCCCTACGCTCTTATAAATAACATTGCCAGCCGAGAGCCAACGCGCCAAGTGGTGGTCATGCCCCAGTTGCTGCTGCTTTTGCCGCTGTTCGTCCACAGTCCCCTGACTCGAACTTTGCCGATGGTGGAAAGGCAAGGAGCGGCTGCTGCTGCTCCTCCGACTCGGGCTGCGCGACGAAGATCGCTTACCTCCGCTATCCGGTGCCCAGTTACCCGAGTCGGTCCCGAAGACGGTTGACATAGCCGACCCGGGTGATGCGAGGTCTAGCCTTTCGGAAGACTCGTTGATGGAGGAAACTTCGGTTGAGCTCTGAGATACAAGCGCTTCCTCTTCTTCCTTTGCTAGCCTGTGAATCATGGCCAGCTCGCCCAGTCTAGTTTTAATTAGTTAGCACTATGTTCATGAACAGTTAAGCAATATACTACGAGACTTACTCAACGAGTTGCGTGGGCTCCAAGCCTGCTTCGATGATCTCGCCCGCCTCCTTCAGTGCCCCGTCCAGAGTATCCACAATAATAACTCCGCCCTCCGTTGCGTGTTTATGATAATGATGTCCGAGTGTACGTGTCTTGACGGCCTGGAGTAGCAGCTCTCGAGGTAGCTCACGCATCTGCTTTGTATAGCTCCCTATCGCAACAATCAACCTACCTTTTCTCCGACCTTCGCGACTTGTCAGTATGCTCGCGTCGAATAAATCTTCGGTGCTTGGCGTGCAACAGTAGATGACATCTGCCGCCCTCAAGTGATCTTTCAGCAATCTGCCATAATCCCCGTAGGTCTGAGTTAGTATGCTAAACTGTGCCTGTTCCCACCCTTCGCGCTGCTTGATATCTTGAGGTATGCCATATATCTTCTTGAACGTATCTTTAGCACTCTCGCTGAACGTTCTATTGATAATGTATACTTGGCGGATGGTATCGCCCCGTAACATCAACGCTAGGCGCATATGCCAGTAAGCTTGTAATCCCGAGCCAAACACAACAAGGGTTCGGACCGAAGCGCGCTTTGCAAGGAGACAGGATGAAGCAAGCGCGGTACGGAAAGCGGTAAGGGTCTTTGCGTGTAGGAAGCCTATAGGAGGGCCCTGGGGAGAGTAGAGGGTCACCGAGCCGGTAGGTCGGATAGGAGGTAGTGCCGTATCTGCCGATTTATTCGCTGATGGTGACGACAAAGTAACGACTGCGATTTGGTTAGCCTAGATAGGTTTAAGATCGCTAATGTCTTGGCTGTAGACCAACCTTTTACCGCATGGCCGAGCGTACTAATCGAAGGCATGAAAAGCGTAGTCGCGCTGGTGGTATTAGAATGTACCGATATTCGCTCGGGTTGGTGAACGATGCCATCCTTTATAGACTGTGTACCGGTTGAGTACTCGTGAAGGGCATTTCTAAGCGTGTCGATCAGTTCTTGAGCTTCGTCGTGGCTAAGACTCTCCAGCAAGCCGCAAATTTGATCGTCCGAAAGAACTGTTAAAGACATGGCTGTCAACCTCGGAGTTAACGCGTAAGTAAACACGTTCCTGTAACATTTATAGTTGATCACTAAGCTATTGATTCTTTCGATAGACTTGGCTCTGGGTTACACGAAGATAATTCTAAGGAATCTTGAGGTTGGATGCTTGAGTCCAGGTGGGAGAGAGGAGATAGCCGACTCTCGGCAACCGAGTTGAAGGCTTGGCTGAGCGCATATCCACACATAATTGATATTCCATAATACACACGTAAAAGATAAGGTTCTTTTAGAATGCCATGGATCTTGGCGTTGACCCATTCCTTTCATGATATATCCGAGAAAGGATATGAGATAGTATGGTGTGATGTTGTAGATGACCGTCATTGGTTCTGACAGAATACCAAGTTGAAGGTGCCGTACCTGTATTATACTGCACCTAGGGCGTTATACTTATGGCTGTTATGGCTTCTAATGAGGTAGCTGCTACATGTATGTACCTATTGCACCTGCTAGGCATGCACCTATCTTGCGCAGAGCTAGCCTGTAGCTACCCCCGCTATTGTAACACCAGAACCCTCAGTGACGTAGGGAATCTATAGGAAATCTAGAAGGGTCAGCTTGGCGACGAATAAGTACATCATATATGTACCTAGATGACCTTATGTAAATCGCAAGTGCCCACCTAAGTGAGGAAAGAATTGATTCCAAATTGAAGAAAACCCGTCGGAACGGTGAAGATAAATTAACCAACCAACCAACCAACCAATAATCCAACCGGCCTAGACTCGGAATTAAAGCACATGGTAATCATACGATTATAAAATGCAAGGCATATAAATCCTCATTGACCAATAAACACCAAATCCCCATTCATAGAAAGCGGCTCAATCGCACGCTGTTTTCGCAATTTCGCAATATTCCAATAACGTACGGAAAACCCGTCGCCAGACTTTTCGAAACTTTGGATACATCTCCGTTTCTCGAACGCCGTCCGCCGTCCGCCAAAATGACCCTTTCTGTCGGGTATCTTTAAGATCAACCTCGCTAGTAAACCCCCATATTCACTACCCATATTCGCTCTCCGTTAGATGACATTTCCCTCCTATGCTCTTCTGATGCCAAGACAAGACAAGACACACATATCCCAGTGTATAAACGCCCCTAACTTGTACCTAACCGCTTGCTTCCGTCCGTTCCGTCTAGAGAGCTTGCATGCTGCCCTCGCCGTCCGTCCTAAAAACTAGCATCGCATGCTTGCCCCTAACAATGTCCGAGTCTCCATTAACGCCTGATAGCCCGTGATGTCCCCCCTTGCCTGTGCCTATGCCTAGGTCGCGGATGCGGCCCGTCCCGATGTCGAAAAAGGTTCCGTGGACCTGCAGGCCCCTTTCGGCGATGGCGTCCTGAATCGATGCGTTGGCCATGAGCACGTTGATGCCGGCCTCGACGTTGAGCTCCGCGATGCGCACCGCACGCTTCTTGTCGTCGGTGATGCTCTCCAACTCTTCCTTATGCGCATTGCGCACAGCCTTAAGAGGCATTAACCAGATGTCCAGCACGCCGCCGACGCGGTTGTCGCTAAGCGCAGCTGCGGCCCCGCCACACGACGAGTGTCCGCAAAGCACCACGTGCTTCACCTTGAGGTGCACAACTGCATACTCGATGACAGCTGCCGTGTTGATGTCGGTCGGCGAAATAATGTTGGCGATGTTACGATGCACGAACACATCGCCTGGCTGCAGGCCTAGAATCGTCGTCTCTGGGCAGCGCGAGTCAGAGCAACCTAGCCAAACTGTTGCACCACGTTTAACCGCGTTAGCTTCCTAACTTCTTCAGTAGGTAGATTACCATCTCCAATCTCCAATGCGACATCTCCGCATTGCATAAGCTGCGGCGCAGCAGGCTCAGGATTCAGGATGACCAAGACCGTACTAGTGTTCTGTTGAGTGGGTCTTTGCTCATCTCGCATCTCGCATCTCGCATCTCAACAAAGGTGTATATATTATGCCAAAAAGAAATTGTTTAAAACTTACGGATTGCTGGCGACTGTCCCGATGCCAATTTGGGGAAGAAGTCGGGGTTCTGATGACCTTTGTAGCCGGCCCAGGCTTGGTTAGAACTCAGCGCGTAGGCAAAAGCATCTTCTGCGGCCATGGTAAGCGAACGTTCCCCCCAAAGTTACCTCGCCAATCTCGGGGATCTCAAAAATAAATTTAAGCGTATTTTTGGGTGTAGTGTATGAGATGCCGGCGTCCACCCCTGTGGATCCAGATCTGGGATTTACTAACCCCCTTTTCTTGGCGGGGGAGATAAGCAGCGAGTAGAAGAGGAATAGCAACACGTACGCGGAGGAGCGGGCATCTCGAAGCTACGAAGCTGGATGCGGCCTTTTATATATGTGAGGTTCGGAGATATGTAAGGTAGCTATGATGACTACAGCCTACAGGGCGGCACCCAAGATCCCAGCCGGTACCAACTGAAGGCGGGATGTAGGGATGCAGGATATGAGCGAATTAGGAAGTCCCAAGCCCAATCAGATATGGCGCTCGCCCACTTCGTCCACACCTTCAGGAGGATCCTATCCTGTATGCTTGATGACTTGACCGAGGTTCTGGCTTTCGTCTGGTCTCGCTCAAATCGCGCTCGACCGGATCGGTATTCACTCGGAGGCGGCCGTGATCGTACGGAGGTGTGAATCACGCGACGGGCTGGTATCACTGGCTAAGTATGTGGATAGCGGTGATGATGCAACTCGGCTTTAGACGGATAATCCCTCATGAAGTGGATTCAGTAGGGAAGTTTATTTGGAAAGGAGTAAACAAAGGTAGGGGACACGTAGGCGTATAAAAAGAGCCGAGTGGAATCAAGAGAGAAGAAGTCTCAGGATACTAACAAGGGCTTGTCAAACTTGGCGTCAGCAAGCGATGATCCATGAGGCTTTAATAGCGTATCACGCTGGAACTATCGAGAGGAGAGATCAACAGGTAGCATCGCTAAGTCCGGAGTCCGGGGTAAAACAGCAATCTCAACTACTTAATCTTAGATAGATAACCGTCTAACCATCCCAAGCATAAATAACACCCCCAATCTTCCCAATCTTCCCAATCTTCCTGGTGACCGGTCGCCCAGACCTTCCAAACCAAGGTTCGAAGGCTTTGCCCTTTGCGGTGTTACCAAACCATGTAGATCTATAGACAGGCGCCCGTTGGATAAGCATAAGCATGAAACGGGGGGGGGGGGTTCGCAGGCGTGAGGCGGCGCACGGGATTTTGGGATAGGCGCGGCATGGATCTAGATTACGGATATTGGAGCTAAGCTTGGTTTCCCGTGGATTTGCCAAGACGTATTACATGCTTGCGCTGCTGTGTGCTGGGTACCCTCCGAGGGAGGCCAATAGCCAATCTGCTTGCAACGTGCCGGGCGTGCTTCGTCGGACCCCCCTCCCCCCTGCCTGGGAACAAGGGGCCTCGTTGGGTGCGCGGCTTCGCGACATGGGAGATAGAGGTACCGGTACGTAGAAGAAAGCGGTGAGGGACGGGGGGAGGAGGGGCTGTCAAACGAATACCCTGGGACTATGATGTATCTACATCTTGCTTGCGTAGATGCTGGGTCGGTTGCTATGCGTTTGTAAGTTGTGACTAACTACGGGTAGATAGATAGATACTCGTTTGCTTTGAGTACATACCTAACCTAAGGATATGCCCATGTGACCCTAGTTGCCTTGGTTATATGTAATGAATATTTTCTATTCACTAGCTTCTTACATATTGTTGTGAATGAGAAAATTACTTCATGTACTAAGGTCACAACGGAGGGTGTCCTCTTGCTTTTAGTTTATATTGTTCTTGCACGTGACGTTACCGTCCATATGGCTCCCCTTCGACAAGCTTCCCCTCCTTACAACCAGGAATAAATTAGAGACAAGACTAGGAGGTGGGATGTATATTGGTAAAAGCAAATATTTCCCGTAAGAGACAGATGGAGTAAGTAAGTAGAGTTTGTTACAAAGTTGCTATTTCGAAACTATCTTTTATATTTACTCTGTTCTTAAGTCTTATCTCTGCTCTCGCTTCGCGACAATAATATCAAATGGAAGCCGCTTAGATAAGCTCTCCCTATCTCCGAGATCTACTTGGCGGTCAGCTTGTATGTACCAGGTAAGCTATTAATGTCAAGTAAGTTCAGGATTAATTCATACGCTGCTCGCTATAGGTTTCTTTTTTGTAATTCAAATACTTAAGTCGCAATAATAACTAAGGCATTCATTCTATTCAATATCTATCTCGATATCTATCACGATAACCCTTTCCTCAACAAAAAGCTTATTAATAACTTGGTGGTGGCTGTGACGCCTCAATTAAAACGGTTATATTAATATACGCTGCCAAGACCTTGGACCCTGGAACCCAAACGCCTGTCAGCTCCAATCAAGAGCCTCATAAGTTTCAATACATCTATCGGTCATGTGCCGACACCACGTACGATGTAGTTTATTACCTGGGCTTAAGACGCCTTGGTTTTTTCTTGGCATCATTTATAACAATTCTATATTTCTCATACTACTAGGTACTCGGTTTCGACGCTGTAATATATACGGTCCTGCGTTTGCTAACTGGAAGCCAAGCATTTTTAGTAATTAGGTAGGTATCCTAAAACCTAAACGATATCCATCTTGTCAAGAAACACTCGTATTTAAACCACACAATGCACGGCTTTCAACGTCGACCGTCGGCAATAATAATCTGAATATATCTACACTAGCCAGGCACCAGGTTCCCCAAAGTGACGGGGGTCATCTTCGTTGTCGACGCTATGTACAGATAACGAATATTTTACCCAAAGTCAAAGCCGAGCTAAACACGCCCCTATCCCGGGGAAGCTATTCACCGGCCCCCCTATTTTTTTATTTTTTAGTTCTAATAACAAGACCCGAGTTGACCATGACGACATCCATACCTGCCTGTCTCCGAGGATAAGCATCGTAGCTAACTCGGCATTCACCCGTGTATCCACTCTGTCTAGTGTAGCCGACCTGCACATGAAGCTTGTTATGTGTTGTACATATAGCTCAAGAGGTAAGGACTAGCAGAGGGTTCCACTAGCTAGCACGGTATCTTTCTTCAACGCCTTCACCGACGGGTTCAAGTAGGGCCATTTCTCGGTGAGATGGGTTTTCGAGCGACTACCGACGAGACTCCTTAACCGAGATAGGTTGTCAAATACCTACCTAATTCCACGAACAGTCGCACTAACAACACGGCAACGACGACAGTCCCGATGATGCCGGTAGGGAACTAGAATATGGCTTTGACAGCATCGCAGATCCCATGTCACAATACTTGTTTGATCTTATCCCAAAACATTCTGATCTAGATCCCATGCATGCCTTGTCTTGGCATACTCAAGATCTCAAGATGCCGCATTACAGGCCATAGCATGGGATAGCACATGGTGTTTCAGTACATATATAGTATATCCCCGATGCACAATGTTACAGCCTAACGAGCTAGATGATACAAATAGATCTCCCATAACAAGATACGCATGAATGGCAGCACTTAGCTCTATGTACTTCCAATCAACTGAACAGTGCCAATGCAAGCCCGGTGCAAGTATCCGTATTTCAGACAAAGGTTGCCATGACAGCCAAGATAGAATCAAACGATAAACCAATACTTAGATACTAATATACTAATATACGAGACCAAACATGTCTGCGCCGCATAAGCTCCAACATGGATGTGAGGCTGCAGACCCAGCGCTCAGGAACGTTTTCTGTATCAATACCTAGTCTGAGCCAAGAGCGTGGGAAAATACGACGCTACGAAGAGATTTACTTGGCATGCTTGGCTCGGTTCAACTATCCTCATGCGGTAATCTCCCACAACACCAAGCGTACGAACTAATCCGGGTCCAGGAAATTCACCTATTTGGAAGATACAATAGCCAAGTCTTGGCTCGAACGGTTAGGATATTACGGGAAAATAGCGAACATGGACTTTACGAAATTGCATCGATCATTCATTTGTCACATTGGTCGTCGGCGAAACTCTGCAGATGGAGTCTAGATAGGCTTTATGCAAATCCATGTGGTTGGTATTCCCTTTTACCTCCTCCAACGCCGGAACTGTGCAAATATAGAAATCATGATCCCGTGACCAGCCCTAACGCTTAGACCTTGATGGCCGACTCCAGAGCCTTCTTATTCTTCTCGATGCGCTTGTTGGCCTTGGCACCCATGATACCACCACCCCACTGTCGTCGAGCGTTCTCGGATCCGGCGAGGTAGCCGTCCTTGATAGCGCTCACGAGCTTGGAGAGCTCGTTCTTGTCCTCGGATCGGACCTCAGTGATGGCGAGGACAGCAGCAGTCTAAAATTTAATTAGTCAAACGTATCCAGTACAATATTGGTGGTTGATGCATACCTTCTTGTGGACAACAGTTCCGAGACGGGCCTTGCCCTTGATGATGGCGTAGGGGACGCCCATCTTTCGGCAGAGAGCAGGCAGGAAGATGACAAGCTCGATGGGGTCAACGTCGTTGGGGATCAGGACGAGAGAAGCCTTCTTGTTCTCGATCAGGCCGACAACGTGGTTCAGACCGAACTTGACAGCGTAGGGCTTCTTGCTGACATCCTCCTTCTTCTTGCCCTCCTTGATGGCGGTAGCCTCCTTGACTAATCGCTCCTTCTTCTCGGCCTTAGACTCGGGTCGGTACTTGTTAAGGAGCTTGAAAGCCTGGGCGGCAGTGTTGCGGTCCAGAACGTGCTGGAACTGGGAGATGGCTGGGGGAACCTTTAGGCGGAGGTTGATGATCTTCCTCTGGCGCTGGAGACGGACATACTCGGGCCACTTCACCATGCGGGAGAGGTTGCGCTTGGGCTGGATGTCCTGGCCAATGCCATAGTTGCGCGGTCGCTTCTCGATGAGGGGGTTCTAATTGACATGTCAGCATCACTTTCAGGCTCTTCAATAGAGCAAATGATTGAAGAGGATTCTACTCACCTTGGGTGCCTTCTTGGAACCTGCCTTAGAAGCGAAGGGGGCCGGGGCGGCCTTCTTACCGGACTTGGGAGGCTATCATTGAGAAGAAAGACATCAGCAAATGTGTTCCATTGACTGTAGTCTTTCTTGAACTCTAGAGAGATAATCGCGAATGGTATTTCACATTGCGCGAAGATCTCAAGCCAGTTCCTCACCTGCGTCCGAAGACAACAGGCGGAAATGAAGCAACTCGACAAGCGAGTGCCATTGAATTATTTGGCCGAGTGCAGAAGCACAGCAGTCTCGGACGTCAGGAGCTTACCATATTGATGATTTGGTCGTGTGGTCGGCGTTGGGTGAAAGGTTGCGACCGAAATGAGAGGTGTGAAGAGTAAAAGAAATCTCGTGTAAAGTTGCGAGCTTTGAAAAAAAAAACAGATAAAGTTGTGCGTAGGGTTTCGCAGTGGGCCGGATGGTAAAATGTCGGACAATTAGCCCCGAGTGACTAAACCTATATTAGCCTAGTGCACTGTGCCCCTCTATCGTACCTTAGGTATCTTTGTACCCCTTGATATCTTCAACCCCACCAAAATTCTTCGAACCACTGGAACTTTGCATGTGCTGTATTCCGTAAGCAACCTTGAATGACGGGCATGAGTCAATCTCGGCGAATCTTAAATGTTATGATACTATTCCAATTTATTCTCCAATAATATTCATATATCTTCATAAATAAAATTTACTCCATCATTTATACCATCGTTGAAAGCCCAAGTACTATAGAGAATGCCACCGGCGCTTTGTGCCCTCTGCAAGACAGAGCGAGCCTTGATCAAGAGGCCAAAAAACTACCAGAAGCTCTGCAAGGGCTGTTTCATCCGGATATTCGAAGATGAAGTGCATCACACCATAACTTCATCACGGCTTTTCTTTCCGGGAGAAAAAGTTGCCATCGGTGCATCAGGTGGCAAGGATTCAACCGTTTTAGCTTCGGTGCTCAAGACACTGAACGAGAGACATAACTATGGAGTTGAATTAATACTTCTAAGTATCGACGAGGGTATTAAGGGTTACAGGGATGATTCCCTCGAAACAGTTAAACGCAACGCGATACAGTACGACATGCCGTTGAAAATAGTAGGCTATGATGAACTATACGGCTGGACCATGGACCAGGTTGTAGAGACAATCGGCAAGAAAGGCAATTGTACTTATTGTGGCGTCTTCCGACGACAGGCTCTAGATAGGGGCGCGAAGATGTTGGGGATCAAACATGTCGTCACTGGTCATAATGCCGATGACGTCGCAGAGACCGTTCTTATGAACCTCCTTCGAGGAGATCTACCGCGCTTATCAAGGAGTACGAGCATTGTCACCGGAAGCGACGCGAGTGAGGTCAAGAGGAGCAAGCCGCTAAAATACTCATACGAGAAGGAAATTGTATTGTATGCGCACCACAAAAAGCTTGACTATTTCAGCACCGAATGCATCTACAGTCCGGAAGCCTTCAGGGGAAGTGCTAGGAGTTTGATCAAGAATCTAGAGAAAGTCCGTCCCAGTGCCATATTGGACGTTGTTCGAAGCGGGGAGGACATGGCGAGACTGGTACCCGGTGCTACACCAAGTTCTTGTGCTTGTGATGGGAAAGCTGCACCTAACCGAGCCCCTACTGACGAGGATAACATCGGCGGCTGCGGTTCGTCAAATGGTCGTACAAACGGTGGCGAGATGGCAGCTATGGAGAAACAACTCAGAGAAAATGAAGCCGCCAAGGCCGCTGGACTCGAAACAGAGGTCACGGTTGAAGCCCCCAAGGCACGATCTCATGACAGGCCAAACCCAGCCAATGGCCAACTAAAGACAGCAGGCACCACTCTTCCCATCAGGTTAAAGCAAAAGCTTGGCACATGCGAGAAATGTGGTTATATGTCGAGCCAGAAGCTATGCCAAGCTTGTATGCTTCTCGAAACCCTGAATAAGAACCGTCCAGAGATTACGATATAGACATAAAGTAGGCAGGCGTTCCGGCATCCCTGGGTCTGTTAGAATAGGATTTAAATGATACCCTAAATAAAGTGATGACCAGCAACAGACGCACGACAAGACGACTTGAATATCAGGTGCTGTATTTTGTAGACTTTGTACAAGTAGTTGTCCGTCGTAGACAATATGTCTTCCTTCTCCACCTCTCTATTCTTCCGTCTACGTAAATCGCTTCTCGACCTACATGATATATTAGTACCAGGTATCACCAATGTATTCATCAGTTGTAGAAACATACCCGCCATGGATTGTTCAGCTCGAATCCTGCGGGGGCTGCAGTTGCGTCGCTCTGTCCTCGTAGGTATCCAGTAAGGCGCCTGTCGCGGTTCATCACTGCAAGAAATAAAGTCAGTTTCCTCCAAGCCTAAATGCATCGTATTGCGGATTCGCCGTACTCTGTCTATCCCACTGGTCTAACGATCGCCTTGCCCTCTTGCCGCCGTTTTGCCAATTTCTAAATTTGGAAAGTCCCGCGCCGGTAGCGCTAAACATCTGATAAGGTCTTAGTATCCAAGCAGTCTATTATCGAGGTAAGTTGTCATCGGCCGGGAGTTCTTACGGCGAGGATGATTCCATATGGAATCAGTGCTTCGAAGGGGACGCCCATTGCGGAACTACAGGCTATGGTAAGAGGAAAAGTTAGTATAGAAACATTGGGGATATATCGTGATTATGGTTGAGGAACTCACAATGATGTATGACCGCACGGTCTGTTGCAATTATTTGTTGAGGGCGTCAGTTGACAGGCAACTTGCGGTAGCTTATTGTGTGATTGAGGTTGAGATGGCCAAGTTCAACAGCCAATGATGTCGACTCGATATTACAGCCTAAGGCAGAACAATTTGCCTTAGCAGTCTTAGCGACATTAGCTAAGCAGTTCCAGGTCTTATCTTTCTTATTTAAATGGCTTTGGCAAGCTTCGGCGTTAAATGGCTCAATGGGTCTAAGCTTGGGGTATGTACCTAGGGTACTATCCGTATCGGGTTGGTCAATGCGCCTTCTAACGTGCATAAATGTTGTTAAAACTTTCTGAGCTGACTAAGTTATGGAGCCATAGCCGGGCAGTTACACCACCAACTTTAACTCACCTCATCTAAAGACGGCGCGAGAGGGGATTCATTTCATCGCTTTTAAGTACATTAATCACCCTTCGTCGCATCTTTTACTCTTTATTTTCCCAGAAGGACGCGTCGAATTCTTCCCTGAATCATGGGATTCTATGACTAATATACAATAATTGCCTTAGCAACGATAGACAGCGCGTCTACAACGTCACTTCCAAGTCGGCAGAATAAACTCCAGTCCACACGCTTCAAATGCCTTGGGTATTACCAGCATTCGACTCTATACCTATCCCGTCTTTATACCCCCAATACTTCCGAGCTTCATAGTCATCTTCGTCCTTTTATGATAGGCATGCGACAAGGTCCTTGGTAACGCGAAGTGGCGCGACCCAGAGGCGTTAGAGCACTCGTCGCAAGATACACCTAATCCTACGCTGCCGCCTCTGACGTAAATAAAAAGAAACCACGCTCTACTAAACAATACTTGTCGACCCTACCTGCCGAATCGGTAAGGCGATGGCCAATACGCAACTCATGCAAGAAGAACTACAACAAAGCATAGTACTATCCGAAGAGGATGCCGAGTTTGAGGAAGATCTACCAGACGACCCAATGATGGTAGATAGTAGCGGCCCCCTGCCCTCGGGCAACTCAGGGGATTCGGCCTATATAGTAGCCGATCATATTGTACCAAGTTACGGTAATGATAGTACTATAGGTGCCAACATGGTACTTGCAGACGAAACGGCTCCACACCACGACGCAGAAGGAGGATTAGATGGTATGCCAGCTAGTGGTGGTGAAGCTGGTGATCACGATGGTGAGACCTCGGTCAGCGATGGTGGCATCCATGACGATGACGATGCCTCTGATGTTGACGCAGAAGGAGAGGACGATGACGATGACGCTGGACAACATCACATTAATCCAAACGCTAATTCTAGTGACGAGGAGGATGTAGCGGAAGGAGCTGCTGACGAAGACGAAGAGGAAGACGAAAACGAAGGTGTTGGCGCCGTAAAGATCAAACCTGGTGATGAAGAGAGCGATAGTGACGATGATATCAGCCTGGCGTCAGGTTCCAGTCGGGAATCAACGGCAGAATGGGAAGAAGTTGTCGAAAATGATGATGAAGAAGAAGAGGAAGACTCTGACGCTGCTGACCCTAATAACTGCATATTCTGTAAAAAGGACGAGGAACACGATCCGGGAGTAGAATTCGAGGCCTACCTTGCATGCAAGAGATGTGGTGAACATGGTACGTACAATGTCTTTATACCTGTTTATACCTTTTTGTGAGTAATCTAACTTGCGACACCTAGCTCACCAACAATGCGCCCGCGAAGAAGGAGCACTTGACGATAAAAACAGTACGTTCTGCATACAATAGTTCATGTTTAGTTATGTCACTCACCTATTTATACAGATGCATCAATTTGGAGATGCCCAGACTGCGCTGCTGGTGATTCAGGATCAGACTCGGAAGCGCCGTTCGATCGTGAGAACGCAGAAGGCGATCACGATATGGTGCTAGATGGTGCTGATGATAGTGATTTATCCCCTACTGCAACCAGTCTATCAACCGCTCCTAAACTTGCCCGAGATCTACTCCCTTCTCAACGTGGTATGAACAAGCCAGATTCGCACTCTGTTTTTAATCAGTTGGTACTCGACGAAGACCCTATGGATGGCTCGCGAGTCCTGCGAAAAAGGAAGACGTCGTCACCTGAGGCGGAGGTAGACGTAGAGGAAGTAATGTCACTACGGAAGCGAAGAAAAAATACTTCTGATGAATCTGCCCAAGATGAAGTTATACAGGAGACAGCAAATTCGGCAGAAACATCAAGTAGACCAAGGTCAGGGCGTTCCCTGCGGCACAAAGCATCAAGCTCGGAGGCTCTATGCACGATAGTTAAGAAGTCACGCTCTAGCCTACTAGTAAAGATGCGAGTGGGCGCTACGGAATTACAGAAACTTTCACACAACTCAAGAGCCCGGAGGAGGAAACGATCTGGCCGGGCAACCACATCCCGATCATCTCGTTCATCTAGAAATGTCACGTCAACACGAGCTGCGGCTGTTGCGGAACCACCCCCAATGACGCCATTCTTTCCTTCCAGCTATTCCCAGCCGTTTTACTCATTTTATGATAAGGAGCCAGATGAGCTTAAGGGCAAGCCATATGGTGGCATCCTAAGCGAGGAACAGGCGGACACGACGAAGACGCTGCCCACTAAAGATGACCGGCGCCGGTTCGATGAGGCGAAACAGAAGGCGGAAGAAGAATGGAGAAATAGATTGATTGCTATGCAAGCCGAAGCCGAGGTACCAGTGAAGAAGTCACGGAAGGCTTCTGGTCCTGCAAGCCAGATTGAATGCATCGAATTTGGCGGCTGGGAAATAGACACGTGGTATGCTGCACCGTACCCCGAAGAGTATAGTCGCAACCGAGTCTTATACATTTGCGAATTTTGCTTAAAATATATGAACTCGGATTACGTTGCCTGGCGACACAAGCTCAAATGCGCCGCAAAGCACCCTCCTGGCGATGAGATATATCGACATGGCTCAGTTTCCTTCTTCGAGGTTGATGGTCGAAAAAATCCAGTATACTGTCAAAACCTCTGTCTTCTAGCCAAGCTCTTTCTCGGTTCTAAGACGCTATACTACGACGTCGAGCCGTTCCTATTCTACGTCCTTTGCGAGTACGACGATCTAGGCTACCACTTCGTCGGCTACTTTTCCAAAGAAAAGCGCGCGAGTAGTCAGAATAATGTGAGCTGCATCCTCACATTACCCATCCATCAGCGAAAAGGTTACGGCCATCTGCTTATCGACTTCTCTTATCTTTTAACAAAAGTAGAGGAGAAAACTGGTTCTCCTGAGAAGCCGCTATCTGATATGGGTCTGGTGTCGTATCGAAATTATTGGAGATTGGTCATGTGCAAGTACCTCATTGAACACATGCCTGAAAACAAGTTGCAGAGGAAGGGCCTGAGCATTAGGCAGATATCAGACGATACAGGAATGACCCCGGATGATGTTATCTCGGCCCTCGAGGCACTCCGTTTCCTCGTTCGGGATCCCGTCACTCAAGTCTACGCGTTCCGGATTGATATATCCTACTGTCATAAAGAAGTAGCGAAATGGGAGGCAAAGAATTACGTTAAGCTAATTCCCAAAAATCTCACATGGATGCCTTATGTCATGGGCCGTAGCAACGCTACAAATTTCGAGTTAGGGCCAGCCCTTAACACGATCGCTCCCCGCGAAGAGGACGAAGAGGTCAAAGCTGTCCAGACCCTGGAAGAGAGCGGCATTGCGACCGGAGATTTCGCCATCCCGCAGCCTGCCAGCCAAAAGCCGCCTCTAGGCGCCGAATCATCCGTCCTCGAATCGACGGAACCAAATGATAATGCCATTATCGAGCCTCCTGAGGATATAAAACCTAATGGTATTGGCAAGGAAAATGCAAACACTTCTGCAAGCCGGTCTGAAGACCCAAGTACTTCAGTTGGTGCTACTGCTCCTGCGAATATTGTAGACGACGAAAACGATTGGCTTAAGCCATACGATACTATCCCAGCCAACAGATTCCAAGTTTTCCCTCCGATAAATAACAGGCGCACGGCCATTTCACGCCTCAACTCGAGTATTGCTAGACCGCCGCCTCTGCCGCGTATCCCACCTCCAAGCTCACGACGAACTGTACGGCCCAAAGCTCGTCGCTCAACAGGCGGCGCCGCTGTTCGGAAGTCGGCTCAGAAGACAACTTCAGGTAAACGTAAGCCTGGCGGCACCGGGCGTGGTCCCGGTCGATGGCCAAAGGGTACCAAGAAGAGTGATTACGGCAACGCGGATAGCGGTCCTGGTTTACCACCGGCGTGGGTTGAGCGAAAGCGACTAGCAGATCTAGTAACTACCATAGATGAAAACGACACTCAAGACACAGTCCAGGTGCAAGTCACCGAGGCCAGCAAGAGTCAGAAGGGCAAGCAAGTCGCATCCTTCTCTGCCAAGTTCGATACCACAGCCGATACTGCAACCAACAGCGGAGCCGCGTTGCCTAGCGATGCTGACGCCGATGTGGATATGAGCGGAGTTGGTAGCTACCAAGAGGACGTAGGTGCAGAAGCAGGAGAGACGTAAAGCACCGTTTATAGTCTCGGGCAGGTATTGTAGTTATTTGTATTGTATCTAGTGTATAGTCGCGATGGGTTTTAGGGATTCGTAAAGAAGATATTCATTGATTCGCGGCGCCGCGAGCTTAGGGAATGCACAAAGCCAAGGGAATGGCGTATGGCGAAGAAATTTAGTTGCGATGCTGGTAGATACCTAATGGAACGTTTGATTTTTATCATTCCTCGGTTTGACTTCTTTCCATGGCTCCAGTTTTAAGGTCTAAGAGATGTGTGTAAAGGCTCGAAGAAATTCAGGGGCAGAAGCATTTATGTATAGCTACCTCCTAACGTCTGTCCTATACTAATTAAGGTCGACTTTGCTCAAGACTATAACCAATTCAGTGTTAGAAGCTCTATTTTTATTCCCTTACGCGACAAATGACTTGATCCTTCATCTCTTATGCGGGAAATTCATATCATGCTCGTAGATATTTGAAGCATTAAGTACCTCCTAACTTACCTATGTATATTACTACTTGTGACATGATTTCGCTTCCGTAGGGTGGTGTTGGGACATATCTAACCTTTCATCCTATATTATGTAGAACCCACTCGCTGAATCTTACAGGTCACTTGTTACTACAACTGTTGATTTCATGTTTGGGATTTCAAGACAGAGTAAGTCTTATGTTTGACTGATAGTACATTAGTTATTCAAGTCAATGTACATGCCACGTATGTATTCTTTATTCTTAGCTAGTATTAGATAGCTATTAGAAGAAAACTCAGGTGTTTTTAGACTGGGACAAAGGGCTTCAATGGATATAAGTGGACCAGTCTTAACTACGTATATCGCTCTTTGTGCTTCAATGGAGTTCTATCCTTACTTTCTACTCGCATCATCAGATGTATCTAGTACCCGGATAGGTTTGAACATCTCGATAGATACGACTATATACCCATATTATCACTGTGTCTCTAAATTCATAGGACATGCTGCAATAACGAGTCAATTCTCGAATTTAATTTTTTACTACTGGCCTGGTTTATCGAAGAGTTTCGCTTCAAAGGTCTGATGATTTCGTAATTCTAACAGTTCAAAAGTTCTATGTCATCTTTGGCTCATGAAGCTTAACTAAGCGCCAACCAACTATGGAATACGGATGATGTGATTCTTTATATGTTATATGTATGAATCCATCTCCCGAAGTACCAGCTACAGAGTAGTTCCCTTTGAATTGCCAAAAAGAAACCTGTATGGTTTAAGCGTAGAGCGGTTCCCCCTAAGAGGTTATAATCCTAGCCTTAAATGGAAATTAATTTTCTAGGTAATTACTCTATAGACAGTTGGTACTTTAGGAGACAGGTCCGCTTAGAATATTTCCGCTATTTACGGCTAAATCGTTAAACTATGTTTACAAGTATGAAAATGCTACTCGTTTTGAATATGTTTAAAAGCCTATCAAGACACGAAGGTGCTTGTATAATTATCACATATGGGATGTTGTATAAAGATAAATTTAAAGGTGAACTTGCTTAGCAGTTTTAATCACCTCGATGTGAATTGTTAAATTATCTGCTTACCTACTGAACTTGTGTATAAATACCCTAAAGTGAGAAATCCTATATCTTAGATTCTTAATATCAGCTTTTGTTATTGCTAACTGCCCTTTGTATAATATTGTGGCGATGGGCGGTTGGCAATGATATGTACTCGCGCGGGCTTTATATACGGCTTATTGCATTTAACTCATAAACGCATATCCCTAAATCGGCTAAGGGCGTATTCAGGTACAGTCGGCGACAACTTGTAATTGATGCCGTCCATGTTTCAGCCTTGCAGATAAGGATAAGGGGTAATGACCAATTATTACAGACACGGCTAAAGTTGAACTTGTCCAGTTCGTTTAATTTCAATTCTAACGCATCACCTGGCATCTTCCGTTTCGATTAGACAGGTGTATAATGAATGGCCTCGCCGGTTCGAGGTAGTCAGCAGATCAGGCAGCTATGAAGCGCCCGAACATGTTGAACTTAGTAATGCCGGGCCGCGTAATCTCGACGCTATTCCTCTTGGCCCTGCATCAGCTTCTCATCGCACCCGTCGTCGCATACACGGCGCTATCGGACAACTTTCTTAAATTGGTCCCATCGGGAGGTGATGACTTCGATATTGAGAAAGGTAAGCTTCTAGCGCCGGTTTTAATCCCGCGAGTTCCGGGCACTCCAGGTCAGGCTGCTGTCCAAAAACATTTCGTGGACTTCTTCACGAACGAGCTACCAAAATGGAATATCGAGTGGTATAACTCAACTTCAAAAACCCCTGTCTCAGGGAACAAAGAGTTACCATTCGCGAATCTGGTATTCAAGAGGGAACCACCATGGGTTAAAGAGGGACAGTCAAATCTGTTGACGCTCGCGGCTCATTACGATAGCTTGATTACCCCTGAAGGATTCATTGGTGCTACTGATAGCGCAGTGCCTTGTGCTATTCTCATGCACGTTGCGAGATACATCGACAAGTTTATTACACAGATGCACGATGAGATGTCTGCGCTTGGTGAAGGTGGGACCGTGGCGATGGATATGGGCGTCCAGATTATTTTGTTCGATGGCGAGGAAGCATTTCAGAGGTGGTCGGAAACCGACTCGCTCTATGGATCCCGGTAAGCCCCAACATATACTCACTTTTGCAAGACAAAGCACGGACTGACGAAGACTCAGAGCTCTGGCTGAGCATTGGGAGAATTCCCCTCACCCAGCAATGTCGTTTTACCGCAACCCGTTGGATCAGATTAGCATGCTTGTGCTTCTGGACCTTCTCGGCGCGCCCGACCCAACGGTGCCGTCGTTGTTCCTGCCAACGCACTGGGCTTATAAGGCCATGGCTACTATCGAAGATAGAATGCGTAAGCTAAATCTTCTTGAGTCGAAGCCGAAGCGTCCCTTTCTACCCGAATCGGAGAAGAAGCCGACTTCTTTTCGATCTCTCTACATCGAGGACGATCACAAGCCCTTTATTGCTCGTGGGGTGCCGATTCTACATATGATTGCCTCCCCGTTCCCTGATGCGTGGCACAAAATGGAAGACGACGGTGCTCACCTAGATATGCCGACTGTGCGTGACTGGTCTAAAATCGTCACGGCTTTTACGCTCGAGTGGTTGGACATGATGGAGGTTGAACCTACAAAAGCTACCGAGGCTCTAGCGCCAGGCCGATAGCCGATAACCTATTTGGGATGAACTGGTTGCTGAATCTTTTTGTATTTTATATGGGAGCGATTTTATATATTAGCGTTGAATAGGCATAGCGATTCTCAGCTGGAGGTTGTGTTGCATACCTCTTGACCGATTAAAAAACAACTCTAAATCGAATGAATTATGAGCTCTATGTATGATAGAGCTGTATATGGTCTTAGGTGTTTGCCAATACTACTACCGAACCAAGCCCCTGACTTATTTCTCTCAACGGTGTAAGGAGGTGCCTTTGTCACAAGCAAGCGTTGTATTGTAATAATTATCTCCAGTACTCCTGACTGCATATTACCAATAATACTACGTTCATGTATGCGCTCACCAGTAAGCAGGTCGTAATGCAATGTATGTATGAAGATTTTGTGCATAAGGGTACATTCGATGAAGCTGAAAGGTTTCTAAAGGGTTCAATTGAGATTGAAGACTCCACTAATCTACGTCATCTTTGACTTAACGAATAGGATGACATGCTTCCATGCATACTAAAGTAGTACGTGGAGTACATTATGTAGGTACCTAAGGTAATGCAATAAATGTACGTAAATGTACTTGGAGGTTCGTGCTCATGTGTAAAACGGAAGAAGCGCAGCTTGCCCGACGCTGACCAACAGGAAGACAGTACACGTTGATGGGGCTCACGGGGACGCTTTCCTGCCGCGTCACAAATGGCCACCGAATGGAAGTAAGAACCTTGGAAGTATCTTATGTATAATGTACGTACCTATCTTATCATGTATCAATTATCCCGCCTGACTGACCCATCCATGCTAGCCAACCCATTCCAACCTTATTATTGCCTACCTTACCTTAGGTATGTTTAGGTAGTCTCCTATTTTTGACCATTCTAACCAACCTAATCTACCCTAATTTGCTGTTGCTGATTTGCCTTCAACAATTGTTTGCTTTCCTTTTCGTCAATTGTTAACTAATTGTTAACTAATTGTAAAGACGAAAGGATAAACTCCTTACCATTGAATTATCTATTTTTCCACGTTATTACTTGCCTAGTTTTATCCTATATCTAATCTTTCCCCCTTTCCTCTGTATCGATAATTTCTTTTCAAAGACCTTCGGCGCCCGGTTACACGACTAAAGTTCTAATACCTGCAACAAATAACCCCCGGGTACGTATCGCTGCTGCGTCTCCTGTTGCCAAGGCCCGCATTACGCCTGTCTCGTCTCTTTTGGGTGTGTACGGTACAACGTGTACGGGGCACAGCTTTGGGCTCCCCTCCCAACTTCCTCAGTTCATCAATTAAAAGTTACTCTAATCAACCAATTCCACCAACCTCCTCCCCCCTCTCCGAAGAACTCGGCCCCCCTTAATCGCGATTAAACTACTAGAGGATCTGTACTTGTCTATTACCTTATTCCGAAGTCGCGGGAAAAAGTTGCCGTCGGAGCTGTCGACGGCTCTTGCATTAGACGAGTCTGCGACGACGCTGGGTTTATAATAAACGGTAACTGAGAGATAATCCGCCGGCTGGATTGCGCTTTCGTCGCGCCGACTACTTATCATTCTGCGATCGTATCATCCCCAACATTTCAACCCATCACAACAGGGCTCGTCTTCGCCTCCTTCTGTTATTGTTACATTCGCATAGCCGGGTTCGTTCGTTTGGAGGAATATCGCCAAGATGTCTAAGGTTATGAGAAGTGTGAAAAATGTCACCAAGGGTTACTCGAGTGTCCAGGTCAAAGTGCGCGAAGGTCAGTAGAGTGCAACCATTTACTATCCATCCATACCGAACTATCTTGCGCCTAGTTGAAGTCGAATGCTGATTTATTTTCCGCAGCGACGAGTAATGACCCATGGGGTCCGACCGGAACCCAGATGAGCGAGATCGCTCAGCTCACATACAATTCGTATGCTCACCCACAATTGCACTATATTTACATTATACCAGTATCTCTAACTACTTCTCCAGGTCGACGGAGTTCTATGACATCGTTGATATGCTCGACAAGCGCCTAAACGACAAAGGCAAGAATTGGAGACACGTTTTGAAGGCTTTGAAAGTCCTAGACTATTGTCTTCACGAAGGGTCCGAGCTCATCGTTACCTGGGCGCGGAAGAGTATTTACATCATCAAGACCCTGCGCGAGTTTGTCTATATCGACGAAGAGGGCCGGGACGTAGGACAAAATGGTAAGTCATTCCGAGATGTAATTGGAAGTCGTGCCATTAATTATGGGTGTATAGTTCGAGTTGCCGCGAAGGAGTTGACAGCCTTGATTCTGGATGAAGAGAGGCTGCGAGCCGAACGCAGCGATAGGAAGACGTGGAAGTCTCGTGTTACTGGTATCGAAGAATTCGCGCCTGAGGGTGCCACGGTCCCACGAGGAAACAACCGACCTCACCGACGACATAGCGACGAGGAAGATGATGCCGAGTACAAGTTAGCAATAGAAGCTAGCAAATACCAAGAAGAAGAGGATCGAAGGAAACGCGAAAGCCGCCAGGGACCCGAGGACGACGACGACTTGGCTAAGGCCATTAAGCTTAGCCAGGAAGAAGATGAACGAAGAAGACGAGAATTGGAAGAAAGTAATGCTAGTTCACTCTTCGACGATGCTGGACCGAGCAACGCGCCTCAACCGACTGGGTTGAACATGGGATACCAGCAAGGCAGCAATGTTGATTGGCTTGGAAACCCGATCGATCAGAACCAGATGATGCAACCGCAACCGACCGGATACGTGAACAACTCGTACACTGGATACCCGGCGAATGGCTACACGAATGGTTTTAACAACGGTTTCAACCCTCAACCGACAGGTGTGTATGACCCTTACGGTCAACAACAGCAACAACAGCAGCAACAATATCAACAGCAGTTGCAACAACAAAACACTCTCCAGCCTCCGGCGCAGCAGTTCCAGATGCAGCCTACTGGATACAATCCTTACGGCCAGCAACCCCAGTTCCAGCCTCAGTTCCAACCTCAGCCTACTGCTTCTCCGGAGCCAGTCGCCCAGCCTGGAAGCAACAACCCATGGGCTTCTAACAACAACCAAGCGACACTCAAGCCGATGCCAACCGGGTCGAATAATCCCTTCGCTAGCGGCTTTGGACGACAGCAGCAGCAATCCCAGGCCCCGGCAATCCCCACTCTGAACAGCTTGCAGAGTCTTCCCGAGCAGAAGTCGCTCCAGGGATTCGCTCCGTCTCCTCAACCTCAATTCCAGTCTCAGCCCCAGCCCCAGCCCCAGCCGTCCTTTCAAATCAAGCAGCCTCAGAAGCCTCTCAGTGAACATGAACAGAGGCTTAACGCCCTTCTTGCTAGCGGCGATGGCATGGATACATTTGGAAATACTGGTGAACTTCGTATTCCTTCCCAGCATACAGCACCTGGTACCTTCGTCAATTCGGCTGGTGCAGGCGTAAACAGACTCACGGCCGAGGCTACGGGCAATAATCCATTCCTTCGGCAGCAGTTCACCGGTATGCCAACGGTATCTTATGGCGCACCACAGATGCCTGCAGCTACTGGACCGGTTAGTATGAATGGGTACGGCGGGGCGAGCAACCCGTTCGCGGCACGGCCGCAGCAGAATAATAACCAGGGGCAAGACCTCATCCAGTTTTAGAATTTCTGTTTGTGAGGACGTTCGCGATGCAGATCGCGTGCTCTTCATTCGCATGTGGCGATGCATACATTCTCCTAAGTTGGGTGATACCCATCCTAGTCCACACTTCTCGTATTGCGTTCTCTCCGCCCTCCGGCCGACTAATGGTAGATAGGAGTTGGGTACCGGAGGGTTGCTATTTGCTCTCCAAGGAAAATCATAGGTGAGGATTAGGTCTATGGTACAACTCCCTCTGCTGCCTCGTGTTGTGCTTTTGGGGAGAAGCTGGGACGGATTTCATTTGATGGCAGCAGTCCCATAGTGCCAAAAACGATCAATAGAAGACATTGAATGGGCCTCGTTTTTAAACGGTGTAGCAAGATAATATTGTTATAATTAAACGTGATGTTTTCAAATCCCGACCCCCTTATCCTTCCTTATACCCTGACTGGATATATAAACATGCATACATATCCCATGTATACTCGCCATTCCCATCTGCCTTTGCCTGAACGCCCGCCCTCCTAGCTTCCATGAAGAGCAGACAGACAAAACAGATACTATGTAGTTAGACCCAATGCGCAACTTAAAACCAATCCATACTAGAGGAGTAGTGCACTTCGTACGCAAGATGGGTATATACAATTCCAACCTAACCCAGTCCAGCCCAGCCACTCCCTTCTTACTGCCCTTTGAATACAGGTTCTTGGGGTATATTAAAACAGACCCCAGCACGGTAGGTAGCACAAGGTAAGGTGGTAAGGTACCTAGGTAATAGCGTAAAATGTAGAATCGGAGGGAAATATAGCGCAATATTAGACAGAACGTAACGTAACGTAATGTAATGTAATGTGGGTATCGGGTATCTTGTAAGCTTGCTTTCATCTCTCCTCCAGCTTCCTTCTACGTCGCGTCTTCTTCTTCTTCTTCTTCCGTAGCACGCCCCTTTGTTCGTTTGCCGAGCGGGACCATTCTCCTATCTTCTTCTTGTCTGTTGCATCCTGGCCGGCTGTCTCGGCTACCTACCCTCTTGGCTTGCCGCTTGGGTATTCTTGCTCCGTCTTGCGGGCTCCCGGACACGCGCTGGATGGCGGCGTGTGGTGCTTAGAGGGATAGATACTCGGAGCAAACTCTCTCCTGATGCTGCTTCTGCTAGATTCCCAGTTCCTAGGTGTCTTGTTTCTGGGACTAGCGAAGCAGACGGGGATTCTTCAGCCGCGCTCTTCTCGCTTCTCGGCTACCTGCTTGCTTCTTTCTAGCTAGCTCCCGTCATCACCTATCGAGGAAGATACCTAGAAACTCCTCGCGGCTGACGCCGCCCTTGCCCTCGACGTCGAACTGCTCGATCATGCTGTGCAGCTCGTTGTCGGGCACGTCTTCGCCGAGCTCTTTTACAACGCTGCGCAGGTCGTCGACGGTGATGACGCCCTTGCCGCCGCGGTCGAATAGCGCAAATGTCTTGAGTAGCTCCTCGCGCGGGTCGCGTGCTGCTACGTACCGCGCCGCGACTGCTTGGAAGCCCTCGCGCGATAACCGCAGGTCGACTACGCCCGGCGTGGTTTGTGGCGGCGGCTGGTTCGGGAGAGATGGCAGAGGTGTCCAGCCTGGACGCGGTCGCGCGGCCGATTTAAATGACGCGATGAGATCGGGCCGCGAGAGGTTGGAGAAGCCGAGGGCTTGGAGCGCGTACCGGAATTCGCTGAAGTCGAGCTGTTCGTCTTTGTTCATGTCGAAGAGGTGGAACTGCGCGTTTGTAACCGTTACTAGTTAGCTTGATGTGGTCTCTTCTACAGTGTTTGTCTTGCTTCCTGGTTGAGGCTTCGCATGGTTGTTATACGTAGCGAAATATGGTCGCGTATGGGCTTGGGAAAGGGGGTACTCACGCAATCGTTGATCTCGTTCCGATGCTCGTCGCTTATCTGATCCCAAGGCTCTGCGTGCTCTGGATTCCGAATTGGGGCTGCGAATCGCGTACCTGGTCTCGTTGACCCTGGTCGCACTGACGCATTGTACTCGTTCATGGCGCTGCTCGCGTAGTTGTTCATGCTCTCTTGTACGTAGCCCCAGGAGCTATCCTCTTTTACGCGCGAAGGTTTCGAGTCGTGTTTTAAGAGTGGAAGCCGTTGTCGCTAGGTAGATTGGTCGCGTTATAGGGCTGATAGTTAGGCTTAAAGTAGAGATAGCCCTTCAACGAATTGGTGTATCTTGCGTGATCCTAATTCGAGAGAAAGAGAGAGAGAGAGAGGTAGCGAGTGACGTGGAAGCGGTAAGCATGCAGGCTATTGATTATACGATTGCATGCGATTAGAAACCTGCAACGGCAAGAAATACGATATCCAAGCGAGCAAATAGACTCTCGGTATGCTGACCGACACGGAATCGGAATTTTCGGGCTGCAGCGACTATAGCAGAACGGGTTGAATCTAGCGGTCGCGAAACTGCAATTCGAAGTTGTAGGTGGTCCCCGTTGACGCGAGCCCGGGGATGCGCACGCACGGTTGGAAAAATGGAGAAGAAAAAAAAAGAAGAAAAAAAGAGCTGCGCGACAATAGAGATTTTCGAATGCAAATGTAAGTAGTGAGTGCAGAGCCAATGCCAATGGATTATACTGAGTGTATTAATTAGGTCGGAAAATTATAACTTCATTTCCTGTTCCTTTTTTTTTGTGTGGTTGCATACTGCAGCTTAACTCGCGATGTTTTTTTTTTCTTCTTCTTTCTTCTTCCGGTGTAAGTCAGGGGGGCTGGACGCGATGCACGAAATGGGGTACACGTAGACGCGCTTGATAGGTACCTGCAAGCTTAACTACACTATCTTACCTGGTCGTACTTACGGAGCTAGCCTTGTCCCACCCGAGAGACAGTCGGGGCTAGCGGTTACAGTACACAACACAATGAGGTCACGGCGCGTGCTCTTAGCTTATGGAAGCTTCACTACGATCTAGGTATTCAATGTGTACAGCATAGACGCTTTAGAAGGACAATATGTAACTACCTAAATTCATATTAAACTGGTTGTTGTCTTGTGTTGAAATATACATATCGCTAAGTACTTCATATAATCCATAAGTGAGAGGTGAGAGGTGAGAGATGGTTTGTCGATTTTATTATACTCATTTTCAACTCATCTTGAGTAGTCATGATGATTTCTGAATTGTGCTTCCTGGTTGGCGCATATACATAGAATAAGAAGAAAAAAAAATTAACTGCGACTTATTAACACAGTATGCGAAAACTTTATATACAAAACGAAAATGAACTGTGGAAGTGATACTAGCCACATTATACCTGAAGCTCACTTTACTGGGTTAGGCTGTGGTCCAAGCTCTCTATCATTAGCCTCACCAACTATTACATAATCGCTACATGCCTCTAAAAGCCATTAAATATGGTCTCGGGAATTCATCCACTCGACATTTGCATGCCTAACATTATATTGTATGAAATGCAGAGATGGTGGAATAATTGCTAGGTATATTGTATGGCTTTGGTAACTCGAGTAGGAGTAGGCAGACAAGGGCAGGCAGTGATATGTAAATTTTACATGCGCGTGACCGGTGACTGGTTTCTACTTTGTACATGTAGGTTTCTACTTTGTACGCCCAATGTTTTGGAATAAAAGCACACCCTCCTTCTGTTAAAGTTCTAAGTGCGCTTGGTGCTCTTTAAAAAGCACCTAAAACAAGTATCAATGCTATATATATAAGTGAGAAAGTACGACGATAGGTAATATGTACCCAGCTAGGCATGTACTTGCAAACGGGCCTCAGGCAGGTACAGCTTCTCGCGCAGCAAACTTGTGGACCCACTATTTACCTACCTAGTCTAAACTCTGTAATGATGAGCCAGAGGTGGTCCGGCCTCCTCCTTATCCTGGGCAACCCAACCGTGTCAATTCTCTCTACCTTACTACTTTCCCCCAAGGCGAAACCGTCACATCTACGCATCTTCTACAGATCACGGATTTGTTTCTTTCCTTAGTCAGGTATCGTACCTGGCGCATGTAGCCATTAACTTCTTATTCTACAACAGTCTTTGCCATAATTTATCTTACGTCTATATTCCTCACTTTTCTACGGGGAATTGAGGCATCTTCATACATCAGATTCTCTCGAGGCCCCAGCAGCGCGGATCGCAGAAAAAAAAAGTTGAACCCTAGTTCGCGATACTTTTTACCCTGCGCATCATCGCCTAATTACTCCCACGACACTCCTCTGCATCAGAATCAACCGACCGTCATCTCGGCTATTGACCATTTACCTTCCATGTCTTCTTCTACTTAGTGTTGTCTCTCCTCCCAAATTCGATTCCACGCGTCAGACGCGCTCTTTCACCATCTCGCAGGCCGCGTGCCTGGAGCTGATTTAATCCCATTCTAATATATCGAACTGTCACCATGTCGGGCTTCGGTGGATTCGGCACCGGTGCTGGCGGTAGCGGCTTCGGCAGCAACTCCAACAATACCTCTACTGGATTCGGTGGATTCGGTAGCAATAGCGCGGCCAATACAACAGGTAGGCTTCTTCCATGCTACTCCTTTGATCCCTTCTATCCTTTCCCCAACACTCAACTAACTCGGCGTGGGTTCTCAAGGATTTGGCGCAAATACTACCACCAGCGGCTTTGGTGCTCCCGGCAATACAGGAGGTGGCTTATTCAGTTCTGGGAGCACACCGTCCAGCTTCGGTACCAACACCGGTAAGTGGCATATAGCCACCAATATTATTTGGCCCTTTTTCACTCTATTTTGAATGCAAATTTTTTTTTATAATTAGGATACTAATATGTTTCTCTACAGGTGCATTCGGATCGACGAGCAATGCCGGCGGCGCGTTTGGTTCTAAGCCTGCTTTCGGCGGCACACCTTCGAGCGGCGGCTTGTTCGGTGCCTCTACCACATCGACCTCAGGTGGTTTCGGTGGCGGCTTCGGATCTACAAACAACCCTTCAACATCAAGCCCTTTTGGTGGCGGTAGTGGTGGCGGTACTGGTGCGTCCATTTTTGGAAGCAACAATAATAAACCGGCCTTTGGAACCTCGAACACTGGCACGGCAGGCACTGGGATATTTGGAAGTGGGACCACGACTAATAATACCGGCACCTCGACCGGCTTTGGCGCATTTGGTAGCACATCTAACGCTCCCACCAGTACAGCACTAGGTCCGGTGGGCGACCCCCCTGGTACTGGTAATCTAACGAACTTCCAGCCCCTGGTAGAAAAGGAGAGTCCTGCCAGCTCTGCGCAGAACTCTTTCCAGAATATTTTATTCCTGGATCCGTACAAAAAATGGTCCGCAGAAGAGCTAAGACTTGCTGATTACGCAGCCGGGCGTCGCTTTGGCGGCACCTCGGGCACTGGGACCTTCGGTGTCGGTTCCGGCTTTGGTGCATTCGGCACGAATAACCAGCCAACAAATTCGTTTGGCACCTCGAACACGGCGGCGAACACCGGCGGCGGTTTATTCAGTAATGCCTCGTCATCTGGTGGCTTTGGAGCACAGAATAACTCTGGCGCGAGTGGTTTTGGTTCCAACACCGGTGCTGCTGGTGGTGGTCTATTTGGCGCCAACAAGCCAGCAGCGACAGGCGGCCTATTTGCCAGTTCCGCGGCGCCCCAGCCGGCACAATCTGGTGGTGTATTTGGCACTGGGAACACTGGGTTCAACACTGGTAATACTGGTCCTGGTTTCGGATCTACGAATGCCAACACTGGAAGCTCATTGTTCTCGAACGCCAATAATCAGCAGAAGCCCGGCTTCAGTTTCAGCAATACAGGTAGCAATACGACAGGTGGCTTTGGCAGCAACACTGGTGGTTTTGGTACCAACAATAGTACTACTCCAGGTGGTGGTCTCTTCGGTAACACCAACAATGCCAATCAGACTGCTGGAACTGGCCTTTTCAGCAATCCGAACCAGCAGAATAGTAGTGGCATGTTCGGTGGCGGCAGTGGCGGCGGTGGTTTTGGGACCCAGAATCAGCAACAGCCCGGATCGTCCCTATTTAGCAACACGCAACAGAAGCCGGCTGGGACAGGCCTGTTTGGAAGCACCGCCACCACTCCTGGAACCGGTGGCGG